GAAGAACATCGACGGCTGCCTTGCTGGACTTGAGGAATCCTTCTGGTTGTTCAGCAGCTCTTGTCGCCACACTGACACCATCAACACGAAGCGCAATCGATCAAGGAAGGCATATATTCCTCCAGTCGAGAACGCGATGGTGGTAGCAATCCTGAGGGAGGCAAAGATCTTTGATCTACTCATTCAAAGGGAGATCACAAGGATGCCTACTATTCCAACAGCGAACTATGATGACAACCCCGAGTTGATTGAAATTTCATCCAGTGAAGATGAAGAAGAAGAAGCTGAAGTTGAAGGACCAGAAGATGACCCTTCGTCGCCTACGGCGCGTGGTACTCGGATGGAACAAACTTCAGGCGAAACTGGCACCGGGGATGATGACATTGAAGTGGATGATGACGTAGAGGACATGGGGGGTCAACCATCCGAGGCGAAGAAACGCCGAACGGAAGTTCGAAGTCTCCGTGATCAGTTTGAGAAGGTAGTCGCAGATGCATCGAGTGTCCGATATTGTCTAGTATGTGGGGGCAATCACAATCTTGATGAATGCCAAGCACAGGACAACGAGGCGGTGATTGATGCAATTGTGCGCATGAGACTGATGATGGAACAGCAATCGAAATCCCCATCTTCTTCTGAAAGATCAGGAGCAGCCACAAGAGGAAGAAAGGACAAGCTCCCAAAGAAAGGAATCATGCCCGAAGGAAAGAGATGGAGAAGGACGAGATTCACGGAAAAGGAAGAAGTGACCAAGAGCTTCTATAGCCAACCTGCATTCATGTATGAGATTGGTGATCGAGAAGAAGGTGGATCTTTCCTAGTGAACGGAGTTGAAGTCCATCCTCCAGGTCAAGGCGTGAGGACTCGTCAAGAGCTTGATGCACTTGTTGAGAGAGCAGCCGAAGATTCTCCTCCCGTGCTGCCCACGATCCAAGAACTCAATGAACTGAACCCCAGGAGCGCAGAGCAATTCCAAAGATGGATGAAAGATCAACGAACTGAACACGGAACCAACTGGAATTTCCGTTACCTTCAACCATACACCTATGGCAACGACGTTGGCGTTCTCCAAATGGCCCGACTTTCAGGTGAAGACTACGTTGGCAATGGATGGTGCAACGTCAAGAAATATGCCGAGAACGAGTGGATGGGAAAGAAATGGGAGACACCTCAATGGGAGATTGATTTGTCGAAGAGGTTCAATGCCGCTCTTCGTCACTCAATAGGCTGTGTCAAAGATAAGAGAGATCATTTTGGACTGCCCTGCGACGAAGCTAGATGGGTCAATGTCGAACACATCATGAAATACGACCAGATATGGAAAGATGGATACACCCTGGCAGGAACCTCAGAACCTGACTACAAGATCATCGTTGAGAGATGGAACATCTTCCAGAAAATCATCTTCGCTGAGTACAAGCAAAAGAGAAGGATTAGGGCACAGATCCTTGGTTTGAAAGTCACAAAAGGTGAATTGGAAAGATTCTTGAAAGCGGACAACGCATTCACGAAGAGGATCAACCGCCAAAGACTCAGGATCGAGATCGGCAACGATGATCGAGAGATATGGCTTTGGCCAGTGGCGATCAGAGCGCCGATGGCTCATTCCAAGATACAAGGCGGAGTTCGAATCGATGACAGCAAAACTTCCTATTTGATGAACCCTGGTGTAGGATATACACTTGGAGGTGGTTTCCATTGTACGACATTTGAGTGCATAGCACAAATCTTCCGAGAAGGTTTACGCCCCGGAGGAGGAGGAGACCGAATCAATACATTCTTTGTACCTTTTGCACCATGGGATGAAAGAAGTCAATCGGTTTTGAGATTCAGGAAGATCGAAGGTGCAGACCTTGTCTACATCTACATGGCGTATGAATCGATTGCCAAATTTGCTCCACGAGTTTCAGCTGATGGACACATCCTGGTGCAACAGACGATCCCATTCAATGCCTTTGATGCAGTATGGCATTACGACTGGAACAGAAAGGAATACTATCGTCTGATGGTCACAAGAGGCTACGAGCAACTCGTGCTGTCTGTGAAGGATGCAAAGAAAATTGCAACCATTGATCGATTTGACAACCTCCTCAAGAATGTTGTGCCTGATGATTCCTCTCCAGATCTGAGTGAGCTCCGCAAACTCATTGACATCAAGACAGCGCATGAAAGTTTCACATGCCGACTTTTCCCGCAGCACAACTACTGGTATGATGCCATTGCATTGCTTGCACTTACTCATCGTCCGAACAAAGAAGGTCACAGACTCTGCCCAGCTTGTCTATGTGAGACTCCGGCGACATTGGCAATTTGTGTATTCTGCAAAGGATATCTAATCAGCCATGGATTCAGAAAACGTGTCAAGATCACCGTCGCCAGCGTTCCAACTGCCGAACAACGTTCGCATGAGGATGATGTTAAGGATCACGTCAAACAAACCTGGGAGAAGATCAAGATTGACCTGACCAGTGACGACGATGAAGACGTGAAAGTCGAACAAGACGATGATGTCGAAATGAAGAGTCCACCGGAAGAAACCCAACAAGGCAATGATGACATGAGTCAAAAGCCAGACACTGATGAGCTCAAGTCGGAGAAGAGGGACTTCAGAGAACAAGATGAAGTTGATGACTTCCTCACAGAAGAACGTGAAAAGGCCGAAACCATGGGAGAGGAAGGAGCAGATGATGCCAACATCAACATCGGGGAGTACCATGCCGGTGAAGCAAGAAATGTCTACATCGCATACCCCGCATGGATGAAACGAGTGGAATTTGGATCCAAAGTTCTACCATCCGAACCATGTCAGATCGGTGATGCTCAACCCGACCTCATCAAGATCTTATTGCTGCAAATCGGAAACAACATACTCAGGATCTACAGACACTTCCAACGGAATTTCTGCGAAGGGATTGAGTCTGGATGGCAGCAATTTCAGAGGAATCCGAACTACCGATTGGACCTGGACCCCAAAGTTCCGTACTTAGGGGAGGATGATGACGGACATTGAGCCGAGTGATGATCAAATGAAAGAGCTCTACCAAGATATCGGCAATCCGAATTCGAAAGACGATCTCGGTGAAGAGGGCTTTGTCAACGCGTATCATGGATCCCTCGTATTCAAGAAGCTGGTCACCTACATACTGGAATGTGGATATGAATTCTCTGACTTACAAATGATATTTGGTGATGAGAACATCCAACAGTTAGCAAGGGGTGACACTGCTGAAGAAGAAATGAGGAAATCAACGCTTGCCCGCAATTCACTAGACGCACAGTCGACATTTATTCGACGAGTGATCGCTGGAGCATACCAAGTGTCTGCAGTCTACTTCTTCAGAAATGTTGATTATCAGACCGCTGTGACGCTTAATCCAGTTGACATTCTTTGTGCTTGCCGACCACAACTCAGACGCATTGCTGTGATGCACTTGATTCTACAGAATGGTCAGCGATTGCCAGGACCGTTACTGAACAAATTGTGCGATGCCATTGAGGATCACAACAGGAGCAAGAAACGTGATGGACAGCGACCAAGATGGGGAGCACACATGACGGAAGCTCATGTAGCTGCAATTGCCAACATGCCTACCACAGAAGATATCCGTCGAGATGCGGAAGCAAAGGCAAAAGCAATGCCGAAACCCAGTGCTACTCCAGATGCAAGATCATCACAATCTGCTTCATCCACGAACGCAGGTGAAGCTGCCCCTTTGCCAAAGCAGGCTCCAAAAGCACCACCACCGTGGAGAGAATGGGAAAATCGCGGAGCAGGTAGAGGTACACCCTCACACCGAGGTGGCGATTGGAATTGAAACTACACTGGACGTGACTATGGAAACAGAGGATGGAGATAATGGTATCTGACCTCTGCATAGGTCCTACTGCTGCGATCATGGGTCAGCAATCAATGCTCAAAATCAACCTCTTCTTTGTGTCCGATGACTATTGAGAGTAGTCTGAACCGGCTAATTCACGTGATTCATGTACGAACATTTTTTTTTGGATACGATGCTATCTGAAACGCAATGCATCGTGGGTTGAATTTTAACTGCGGTCTATGTCTCACTTCTTTGTCTGGAAAGAGCAGGAGTGTACTCTCCAGCTCTATGTTCATTTTCATCCTTTGTAGCTGACGTCGTGCATGTCTGAAACCAATTGCCGGCAACGCCGCAATGGGTGGATTTCAATGTCATGTACATATGCTGAGTGTCATTGTATAGACAGGTGTAGACATAGCAAGCCGCGGTGAGAACTTTCGACTCGCCATAATTCAATCAATGTAAATGCAGAATGAGGGACTTTAAAACGACTCTCCTGCGCGTGACTGATAAAATCAGTCATGCGTGGGGGGTGCGAATGGGGACACAGTAAGAACATCACATGTATTCCCCATGTATATAGTCGTTTACCTGCACGCCAGGGGACCACAAAACTGCTGGTCCTTTTGGCTCAAGATCCCATACTGCACAGCTCTAGCAAAAGGAAGCCATGCCGCCGCCTGCCTCTGGTTGACCATTGGAAACGACAAACTCGTCTATTTGAAACGACCGACGTATTCAAGGGAACGTCCAATTCACAGTATATATATATACACACACACTACGTCAGTGAGCACTTTGGCCCTAGCCCATGGGGAGTGGGGGTAGGGTATACCAGTTTGGTGGTGTGTCAGTATCAAATGTGTGTGTGTGTGTATCCCACAGTGTGTGTGTGTGGCAAATTGCATTCAATATGATCAGTATGGAGCAGCCAGCAGTGCAACAGCTTGTCAGGAGACAACATGAGAGAATAATTCCTTGATATGAAACCAAAGTTCGGTTTTTGGGTCAGGCATTTGGTATGTAACTATGTCGCATGGACTCTTGCCTTTCAATCTCTGGAGCTGAGCTGTCTCTGGAGTCTCGAGTTGGGAATTTTGTGGATTGAGGGAACTTTGAGTGAACATCGAATCGAGTGGGTTTTGCGGTTTGTTTTCATCTCTTTGTGCAGCGCCTTTGGAGGCTGAGTCCGCGACATTCTTCTCTCCTTGGATGGCATCTCAATTTTCGGTTCGCAAAGTTGCCCAGGTGAGGCTAAATGAAACTGGGTGAAACTTGGGTGAATGTGAGCAATTGTGAGCAACAAAAAGACATAAAAAAACATTTAAACAACAGAATAGTTGCTTAACTGCTCAACTTTCTGGATCCAAGTTGCTCAGGGCTCTCGAATTGGGACCGGATCCGGTCAGACCCGGTCGGATGGCTTCATGCTTCATGTTTCTCCGTGTTTCTTCATGCTTCATGTCACTTCATGTGTTCTTTCTGTTTTGACATTCTTGGAAAGGCCAGTGGCTTGTTTTTGCTCGCTGCAACCTTGGTATTTGCTGTGGCTGATCACCAAGCATCTCGGTATTTGTGGACTTGTGGGCTCAATCAATCCTCAGAAGCTTCAGGGGAAACTTTGAATTTGCTGAATCAAGGGTGGAGTGCGAGGCTCCAGTTCAGCACTGGCAGCCTGAAACCGGGGACACATCTCATGCTCTACGGCTTTGATAGGCCAACTGCTATTGACATCAATTGCTCTCTAACCTTTGGATCCTCCATCCCTTGGTGACCCAAGCCTTAAAGTTTCACTCCAACTGGTCAAGAAACCCGTCCCGTAGGCTACGTAGTAACATGACATGTAGTAACTATGCAGCTCATCGCAAGTCCTTCCCAGTCGGCCCACTCGTCCCCGTCGAAAGCTTGACCGCTGAGGGCCTCCTGACCTTCGGTGCAACCCATGGGAAAACGACGCTGAGCGACTCCGGTGCGATCGCAAAAGCTCATGAAGCCAAAGGTACCAAAGTGAACGCCAGCCACACCCACAAGACCAAGGCTTGGTTTGGATTGGTTTGATGGTTTATGATTATTTTTAAAATGATCATTATGAATTATGAATCATTATTTGATTAAAGAACAGCTGATTTGTTGTTGCATGTTGCTACAGTGGCGTGTTGATCACAAGATTGCGGGTTGTTGTAGCGGTTGATGTCATTCGGTTCGCGCCGTGACCAGGAGAAGGAAGCAGAGAAAGAGGAATGTTCCAACGCAGTTCCTGGAGACCCCTGTTACGGAGCTGTCACTTCCTGGCACTAAAGGGCCGTTGCAACATCTTGGGGGGAAGGTGTTGGGTAACACATCAAGGAACTGACAACACAGGATGCAACCGATGCAACTGATGCAACGGATGCAATGATCAAGGGACTCAAGGGAATCAAGGGACTCAAGGGAGTCAAGGGAGTCAAGTACTTGCGCCATCTCCAAGTCTCACCAAGGTCTTGTGGCACAAATGGATTGGGCTGATTGAACAGCCATATGCCTACGACGGCAACCTGACCAGGCCAGGATGTTTCGAGACATAGATCCTATGTGCACCACGGAAAGCCTCACGTCGGGATGGCATCTCTATTTGTCAAAGGCTAGACCCCCTCCCCCAGTACACACAAGCGAAAACGAGTCTTGATCATTTTCCAAACTACATTCAAGGATAGTCCATTTAGTCCATTTACGTTTGATTTTATAAACTCTCCATTTTCGCTTTTCCCAAGCGAATTGGTAGTCCCCCAAAAATGGTTTAGTCAGAGTACTTGTAGGAACACATGCCCAAATGACCCAAATGGCTGCATCCAATCCTCCGACGGCAGGGAATCGGACCGTCACAACATCCAATCTTGGCTCCATGAAAAGGGGCACCTTGGACAGATGAGAAAGCAGGGCGTCGTGATTTCGTCTCATACTTTCCCATGCCTTCATGGACAACTATTCGCCAAATTGAAGCGGTGGAGTTTATTTTTTTCTTTTTGCGTATTATGCGTATCGGCCTTCCCGAATGGGAACATTGCGAGCACAATATGCGTAATGCTCAGTTCATTTGCAGTACCTTGATATCAATGTTTTCCTGGTTTGCCTTTTCCTCATCGTTCCTGGCATTTTCGTTTTCTATGTGGCATGGATGGTATCGGCCTAGGAGGTCGGGGTGCCCCAGGCCGTGCAAGGACACTCGGAAAAAAATCAGAACTTTCTGACCTTTTCTTTTTTCAATGCGATCCCAAGAGATTCCCAAGAGCAATGTGCAATATTTCCACTGCTTTTCGATCATAGAACCAAGAACCTGACGAAGTAGCCATCTGCAGCAGATAATTTCTCATGAGTATCTTGAAGTCAAGGCAATTTGGCGATCTATCATGATTTGCCCAAATCCCGCAGTTTGGATTGACTCGACTTGTGTTTGGACCCATGAAATCCAGGGCTGCCTTTGGGTCAAACGACTTTGGCTGATGATCCACTCGCTAATGACATGATCATTTCCAAACACACACACACATATATATATACACAATAGATATCCTAGAAAAGTTTCTTTATCCTTTTCAAATGATGAAATCTCCTTTATTGTTGGTGAAATGGTGAAACATCTCAAGAGATCCTCTGGATGCGATTTCTTGATCCATCTAAGGAATCGATTGCATATCCCATCCCAAAGGTTGCACATCCAGGGGGCCCACAGATCTACTGCTTCTCAGTTGCGCGCACCGGCCCTGAGATGGATTCTTGGCGCCGCGACGATTTCTGCTTTTGCACATGTTTTTGGATGTTGTCGGCAGCCAACATACTGTATGCAGATGAAAGATGGGTAGACGTGCAAAAATGCACAATGCATATCCATATCAAAAAGTGTGTATGGATACATGCGGATATCTTTCTACATGTATACACATGTACTTGTAGTTTTTCATACACACCTGTCACATGTCTATCAAGTGACTTGGTTAGACATCAGACATGTTTTGTCATTTACTTTTACGTTTCTCCAATCTATACAGTTAAATCGGATCTAGTCTTACCTTTTGAGCATGGGTTTTGATCTTGGATGATCTTGGCCCGATTCTAAGACACACCTTTAGGGTGTGTTGTTTGAAGTCCTTGGAGTACTCGTCTGGTTGTCTTCTCTTGATCCAGCAGTTTGTGACATGCAGCCTGGGAAAACTGCAGGGATGTACTCCATGCATGGATACAAGCCAGAATCCGAACATTTTGGTGTGTCTTTGTGCAAAAAAATCAGGTTGTATTTTGTAGTTTATGCCGAAAAAGTCTTGGATTGTTGATTGGACGTTTGTGGGCAGTCATGACTTTGCAGTCCAGGTTCTAAAACTGTATCATACCCAGAATTTCAAGCAGATGTTAAAGTGAGGGTATCTCCTGGAGGGAATTTTCTACCTCAGATTGCTTCTTTGATAAGAGTCAAACGGATGTCCATGTGGTCGCGCATTGGGTAAGTAGATGTAAGTAGTTGATTTCGAAAATTGCAGCACAGGCACGAAGGTCCAACCACAAAGCAAGAGTTGGCCGGAAGATTGGAGACTGATATGGAGCACCTACAAGTCATATCTAGTCATCCTAATGCTTGCATCCCTTTGCTTCAGGTTTCAGAAGTGTGAAAGGTCCCTACGTTTTTTATGTGAAATCGAACTCTCGCTACAGTTTCGTGCACATTTTGCCGACCTCATCTTCCAAAAGTGCTCCCAATGCCTCAGTTTTTGAACATTTTCAAGTTGAAATCGAGCTCTCGCCACAGTCCTGTGCACTTTTTGTCGACGACTTCCCCGATCGAGCCGCGCACCCGCGGAAACAGAGACCCTCCTTCGGCGACCGCGGCAGCCACTTTATCCAAAAAAAACACAGGGTTTCGCGCCCGAGAACGTTTTCAAACCTGAATTCACGGGTTCCCGATCTCTTACATTTCCCAACTACTTGATGATGTGGTTGCCATGATGATTTGGTTGCCTTGCTGGTGAGAAAACTGGCCATGACAATCGTCCGTAACTCGGAAGTTTCCTAACTAAACTTCCTTTGATCACACACCCTTTTTAAACAGTAAAAAAACATATAGTAAATGGACAATTGCCCGCATTCCTCAGCATTTGCTCAGGATTCCATGTTCATGCAGCGTCAAACCGGCACTGGAATCTTCGCATGCAACGGGTGCCTAGCCAGGAATATCTAGCAAACTATCATCAACACCTGAAATGGCACGCCACCTGCATTCCTCATCAGAGATCAGGTGCCATGGTGAATTGAAACCTGTTTTTGCCTGTTTTTGGGTCTCAATCTATTTCGCATCGTTTTTCTTTGCGCAAGACTGTCTCAAAGGTCGGCTGAGCCCATTGCTAGCCAAGGTATGATGTGTACAGTGACCACGAGATTGACATCGATGGATACAAGAGCCTCAAAGGAATTATGATGCAAATCATTGGTGTTTTGCTTAGATGTCATGCGAAACAAGGTCAACTAACCCATATGCCGCCTATGCCATCATGCCGTGGATAAATCCAGGAACACAGTTGAGCATGGTGAGATGCAGTCGTTCATACCTTCAGTAGTGTTTCGGTACTGACCCAGGCCAGTACATGCAAAAAGATCCAACACAACGTTTCAGACATTCTTACTCTCAAAAAAAAAGACGTTGTGTTGCTCGGTGATCCTTTTTTGGGGAGAGTTGCGCAGTCCACACCATGTTTTCTCACTTGTGCCAAATTGTGGTGATTTCTTTGTTTTTCCTGTTCAAATTGATTTATGAACATATGACATCAATTGACATCAGTTAACCTTGACATCAGTTGACCTTTCTCATGGCACGTGACTCCACCAAGGACGAAACTCATTCCCTCCACTGCCGCCGGAGTCAGTGTCGATAGGACGGCAGCCAATTCGCAGGTCTTTATGAAGCCGGGGGCTTAAGGGAAGTGCTGCGAAACTGTGCCGTTTAAACGCATGATTTCAAGTTTTGGATGTGATGTGTTTTTGATGTTGAGTAACACGCGTTAAAATACTGAGCTTCCTTGATTTCTGCATGATTTCTGCCAATTCGGTGGCAATGGCACTTTGCTGAGTCTCAGATTTCGTTCGAGAGACTTTTGTTCGACCGGGTATTTTGTTAAACTTTGTGATGCACTGCCAAGGACGTGGATGTATATTTTGGGGTCTCATTGGTGGTACAAATACGACTTTCTGGCAAAGGCCTGCGGCCCTCCAGGATCTTTTTCTTCGAGACGCCAGCATTAGCCAGCTAGTCGCACTGCTAGTACAGTAAGCCCGTGTAATAAACAGTGTAATATCTTGTAAGCCCGGCTGATCCCGGCTGCAAGCCCTGTGCGCGTCTTGGTATTTTGTGACATTTTGTGACTGTGCATTTGCTACATTTGCAGGTCGACCCTGATGCCATTCTCTTCCCTGAACGTTTGAGGGGACATGTGGCCGCCCATGTGGGACAGTTGCTTGGCTCGTAGGCTATTAGAATTTGTTCGAGATGATGGGTTGAGCCAGTACAGCCTGAAATGGTGGAATATGCTTGGTGTGTGGATATGCTTGGTGGTTGGGTAATTTTGATAAAGGAAGAAATAGGAAGAAGTGCACAAGTTCACTATTGCTTTAGAAGCTCGCTTGAAAGGAGTGAACTCAACGGCAACGGGCAAGTGTTTCATGCGAGAGCGAAGATTAATTCAGTTGTTGGTCTAGTGGCACCTTGACATCATTTGGACTAGCCAATTCTCACATGATCATCAAATGATCATCAAATGATCATCAAATGATCATCAAATGATCATCAAATGTCAAGGTGTTGCCTTGTGAAAATTGTGATTTCAGCTCCTGCCTTCAGGAACGTCTTTTTTCTGAACTGCGCTGTGCATGCTCCTGCCATGTACGGAGCTGTGGAGGCACTTTTCAGATTCGCATATAATAAGTGCATGTAAGTGTGTACGTATAAATGTATATAAGTGTATATACAATATTGTGTAGTATCCATACGTCTGTACCGAGTCTATACCTCTCTATATGTTTAGAAAGTGAATCATCCATTTTGCATTAAGATCCAAGATTTGCGTCACAGGTTTTTGCCAAGTCCGCATTGGGAGCATACCAAGCTGCGCATGGACGTTGTGAGCAATCGCTTCCTTTCTGGAGCTGGGGAGAAGACAGGCGCTACACCTGTTCAGTAGGACCCAGGGTAGTTTTCAGTAGGATGTAGCAGCTGAGTAGCTGATGCAAAGCGCAGAACGCTTCTGCTGAGATTTCGTTGCAGGTTCATGCAAGAATGCTTGAAAATGCTTGGAGTGACTTGGTTGCCAATTTCCTCTGAATGCTTTTTAACTATTGCCGGCAGATTTGGTCGTTGTCTAGTGCACAAGGAAAATGAACCCTTTAGAAGCAATTGGGTCTATTTTTATGTCTTTTTCCCGAGAGCGTTTGAGCGAAGGGTTCTTTACAAAAATGAGGTGAGGCATATATCTTACATCTTCACATCTTCACATCTTACATCTGCACATCTGCATATCTTACATCTTCATACCTTACACCTGCACTTCTTACATCTTCTCTCTGTCTCTCTGTCTCTCTCTGTCTCTCTCTGTCTCTCTCTGTCTCTCTCTGTCTCTGTGTCTCTGTGTCTCTGTCTCTCTGTCTCTGTCTCTCTGTCTCTCTGTCTCTCTGTCTCTCTGTCTCTCTGTCTCTCTGTCTCTCTGTCTCTCTGTCTCTCTGTCTCTCTGTCTCTCTGTCTCTCTGTCTCTCTGTCTCTCTGTCTCTCTGTCTCTCTGTCTCTCTGTCTCTCTGTCTCTCTGTCTCTCTGTCTCTCTCTCTCCCTCTCTCCCTCTCTCCCTCTCTCTCTCTCTCACTCTCTCTCTCTCTCTCTCCATCCTCTCTATCTCCTTTTTTTTTCTCTCTCCTTTTCTTTTCCCCCTCTCCCTGTCTCTCATATTTCTCTCATATTTTCTCTTTTTTAAAGCGGGGGTTGGTGCCGACGAGTTACAATACGCAAACCTTTGGAACGAAATGATGGTCGGGGGTCAACTGTGATTATCACGTTTTCGCAAACTCCTGCAAGAATGTGATTTTTCTTCTATCGCACAACGTTTCGCAGAAAATAAGGGTCGAGCGTCAAAAACTGGCGCAACATGTGTGTATAAAAGGGTTTCTGTAAAAGCACGCGTGTGTAATAGTGTTCGTGTAAAAGCGCGCGTGTGTAACAGTGCTCGTGTGAGGGTGCCTGTGTAAAAGCATATGTATGCATATGCATGTGTGCAGCAGCATTTGTGGAAACGCATGCGTGCAAACGCATATGTGTAAAAACATGTGTGTAAAGGCTTGTGTGTAAAGGTGCGTGCCCGCGCGCGCATGTGTGTGTGTGTGTGCTGGTGTGAAGCAGCATTTGTGTGAAAACGTGTGTGTGGAAGTATGGAGTAAAAGCATGTTGTAACAGCGTATAACAGCGTGTAGCAGTGTAAACGTGTGTGTGCGTGTGTGCCTGTGTGTGTGAGTGTAAAAACGTCTTATGCTGGTGTTTATCTTTGCGGTCATCTCCTTCGCACACAATATATTCAGGTACATATATTAGATTTCTCATCATATTTTTATTTCCATCTTCCTGACTATCTCTTCTTACATACTCACATTAGTTTACTCATCGTACGGGTTTAACATACACCTGAATAATTATGTTCCTCTGCGCTCTCGGGCCATCTGTCGTCTAGTTTTGTAGTTTTTCACTGGTCGCTTCTCCGGGTACGTATCTAACTACCAGTTGAGGGTGGATGCGGTTTCATGGCCTCTTAGGTTATTCCGATTCCTGATTATACGGAGAACGTCCGTGACGCCCGTTGCTGGGGTTCAGATTGTGGCAACAAGGGAGCCGTGGCATTCCATCCGTTCCTCGCCATGAAACGACAGTGACATGGCCAGCGCCTCATTGATCTAACCAGCCATCCCCGAAAAAAACGTCACACCTTCGAGGAAAAGGGTCACACATTTACCCCGAATCTGTTCTGCCATGTAGTGCACGATTCATTCCCCAGCACCTTTTAGCTCCTGACTTGGAAGCTCCTCCATGGTTTTGGTCCTTAGACCCCTGAAACCGCAGGAAAAATACCCACAGGGGGACGGGTATGCAACTCCAGATTCCCAAAAATGTTTGTTACTGCTTTTTGGGTTGTAGTCTCTGGGTTTGGACTGGTGCATCACGGATGCACAGCACTCAAAATCAGAATGGAATTCTGGAACCCTGGAACCTGGAACTGTTACTGCTGTTGACCTGTTACTGCTGTTGGGTTGGTTAATTTTCTGCGTGACATAAGCAGTGTCAGCGATGTACTAAGCTACACACACACACAAGGCGCACGTACATATACATGTATATACTACGTGTATCCTGTCAAACATGGAGCTATCTCCCTGGACCAAAGGATGATGAAGTGACGCTGTGCATGACGGTCCAAGTACACACAGAAGGTATCCGTTTCAAAGTTGACACCACTGCCAGTTCTCCCACAGCATCTGCGAGGTTCAAGGCGGTGAACGGTTGGTACCGCTGCTATTTGGCCTCTCAATGATGCGCTGAGATGGGCCCAAGAGATCGCATAGTCTACTCTGAAACTTGATTTTTTTTCAGGGTACGGCGGATATGGTAGTGCATCTCCAACTTGAGACGAGCTGATACTGAGCTAACTGACTCTCAAAGAGCCAAAGCCACTGTGCCATGTTTGTCACAGTTTTCACTTCATATTTTCTCCTGGAATGCCTTAGGGAAGGCTGCCACGGCCCTGCGTCCGCGTTCAATAGCTTCATCTGCTCACTGCACCAATTTCCAAATATGACGTAAATCATCGTAAATCGTTACACGTTTTGTTCGACCGAATGAACGGGGAGGTAGACGGGGTGGTTTTAAGACCATGTGCCTTGAGCTCAAAGCTCGTGATTCAAGGCTGACAAAGCCAAAGTTGCTTCGGCGCTTTAGTTGATCCTTTGAAGAGGATCCTTTGACTGGTTGCCAATGTTACCGGCTTCACATCTAAAGGGTCTCGATCGGTTCGATCCCTAATTCCTTGGTTTTGCCCTGGCAACCAGGCACCACGTTAGGCGCCGTTTGAATCCTTGGTCATGCCTTTCCTATCTTTCCTTGCACAAGCGTCGAAACTCGCTAAAAAGACGATGTAATTATTAATACGTAATTGAGGTTTGATACTCAGCATCGCCCTTGTTGGGTGATTTAGGTGTTTGCAAGACTCGAGGGTGGCTTCTCTGCACGGTCCATCATCGTTTGACACTGGCATCCATCCCCTGACACTAGCATGGAAAATTTGTAGAATTTGCGGGACCAAAGTCACATGCATCCGTGCATGACAATTCTTGGCTGTGCTGAGTTGGGTCGAGCTTTCCCATCAGAGGGCCACTTTCGCACGAAAGGGAACTGCCATGGCGAATGTCAAGGACTTGGAAGTCTCTGAGCGAAGCTTGGCGACATAAAATCCTGTTGAAAGCTTTCAGATCAGAAAAAACACAGCGGGATAGAAAATGGTAGCAACCATAGCAATCATAGCACGTTGCAACCTGCTGTGTTTCCTTCTTTGGGTGAAACAATGATCGTGCAACGCGATGTTTTTCTGGAGATGCAGATGTCACAGAAGAGCAATTCTCGTGTTGTCCCTTTAGGCGAATCATCAGATGTGGGAAGCAGCATGGCACTGCTGGCAGTTCGCGAGGAGACAGCTGGAAGATCCAAAGCCGTGCTCAGATTTCAGCAAACAAACATTGGTTTCACAAGAGCACTAAGCCCAATCACGCAGTACCACGGTAGATACCTTTTCTGTTTTTGAATTGTTTCGTATCTCTTGACATGAAAATCCACCGTGCTTCCCTGTGTAGACTGTTGAGTGGATCTTCACCGATCAGGACACCTGGCCAGAAAATCTTTCGGAAGCCCCTGGCTCTGGGCCCGTGGCCGTGATGAATTCACGGAGCCTATTCAAACCAGTGACGCTCTTCCAGGTGTGATGACTTGTGATGTGATGACCCATGGAATGTGAAGCCACTTGACCCATTGGCCCATGGACCGTCATGGACCGTCATGGACCGTAACACTCGACGCCTTGGGGGTGGCCGTGCATGTCTGTGCCAGGTCGGTGCCTTGTTGGCTCTGGTTGGAATCGTTGTGGTGGTTGTGTACGGACGAGTTGCCTCTGTTTCATGGGCAGGATCAAGTCATTTTTTTTCCAGGGATGCTGAGGACGCAGTCCAGGCTCAACCCAAAAATGTCCCAAAATTGCTCAGTTTTACCTTTAAAGTTCCTGAAGTTGTGGCTTGAAACAAGGCACAGGAGACACCACTAACATAGTACCCCTGCAATGCTCGAAATTGGATGGATGAGTTGGGGTATTCCCTGGAGAAGACATTTTCAAAAACAAGTTGATTTCGGTGCTCAGTGATCTTAAGCCTCTCATGTTGCAGATATTAATTAGCATGTTCAAAAGACATGCACTAGTGTGATATGACAAATCACGGCGGGTCCATATGACGATGGACCCGACGGCACGACGACAATGTGCCGACGGCCTCACGGCGATAGCTCGGCAGCACGACGACGATGTGCTGACGGCACGACGACTATAGACATGACGGCATGACGACGGCATGACGACGACATGACGACGGCATGACGACGAGGACACGACGGTGCGACGACGGAGCGACGACCGTCATAAGCCCGGGTTCGGCGTCCAACCCCAGCTTATGACATGTCATAAGCCCGGGTTCGGGTCCGAACCCGGGCTTATGACGGTCGTCGCTCCGTCGTCGCACCGACGTGTCCTCGTCGTCATGTCGTCGTCATGCCGTCGTCATGCCGTCGGTCTATCGTCGTCGTGCTGTCGGCACATCGTCGTCAGGTCGTCTTCATGCTGTCGTCGTGCCGTCGTAGTGACATAGCCACTCCGTCGTCATAGGGCCCGAACTATCGTCAAAAGCCTCCCGTCGTGGAGCTCCTGCTTCCACTAGAAAACCTGGCCTGCATGTGTTTAGAATTTAGCTAAGATATTAAGTGGATTTGTCCTGAACACATGTCATCCCAGGGCTAGTATTGGATAAGGCAGAGTAAATTTCGCGCTTGTAGTGTTCTCAAGGACTTCAGTTACTTTGAGAAGGAAAATACTTCGTTTTGTCCTGCAACTGGCGTAAGGTTGCGGGTGCAGCTCATTCGCAAGATATTGGCCACCGTCTCAACGCAACTCGGACTGCAGAAACATCTAGTTTTTTGCACATAGCAAGCCTGAAAAAGATTCTTGTAGCGGCTGGAATATCAGTATGAGAGTATGAAGAGTATTATGTGTGATACCATGTTAATTTTCCTTTCCTAATCTTCTTCTCCTTCACTGATTGAAAATACTGCTGCCATGTTTGCCCATGGCTACATTGCCACAGGACCAAAGCCGAGAGGGTTGCAAGTTGGGTAACATGTCCACATCACATGTAGAGATTGGCGTTACCGCTGCCAAGGCTGATGCACTCGCAGATGCTCGTGCCAAGGCGGCTGCAGCCGAAGCAGCCGCTGCGGCGTTGAATGCGAAGAACGCCCGGATTGCTGCTGAGGCGAAGAAACACGCGAAGGAAGTGGCAGCAAAAAACAAAGCCATTGCTGCGAAGGCAGCTGCCAAGAACCATGCCAAGGGATCCGCAGGATCCGCATCCCCAGCACCTGCTGCGCATGCGAATTCTTCAGCAGCTGCACCTGAATGTCACACAGCAAATCCAGGAGAACCGTGCTATGGATCTGCAACTTGGTGTGCGCAATCCCTGTGTCCAACTGTTGACGTGGCAACAGGATCTTTACCTCCACCTTTGTATCATTATATCAGTTGTATCAGTTATCATGAAAGGTACTGGTAGCTCTTGGGGGGCCTCGGACACCTTAGCTTTGAATTACATTGTTCGGCTGGTATGACATGCGACCTACTCTTCCACTCTCCATCTTGGCCGCCTACCTTTCATGTTCCCCACCTCAATGAGTCAAGTATCGCATCCCGAGGTGCTTTGGCACAAGTGGATTGGACTCGTCGAAAGTCCACAGACATACGGAGACAGCGGACTTTCCAGGATTGGGTCGAAAGATGTCGAAAGTCCACTTTTGTTTCCAAGTCATCGGCAACTCGAACCGGATCCCAAGAGCCCAGCACCGCCAGGGAATCGAATCGCCACGCAATTCAAGAATGGCTTTGGAAAACCAAGTAACATGGCTTTCAGCGGCTTTCAGCGGCTTTCAGCTTTCAGAACTCTTGGGTACTGTCATTGCATGTCATTGCATGTCATTGCATGTCATTGCATGTCATTGCATGTCATTGCAATCATGTACGTGTCAGCCAAACGTTTGTGGTTACTGTAGCAATGAGTCTGGTAGGCAATACCGGCAATACCTTACTTGTTGCACTGGTTCCGTGCCAGTTCTGGATGATGAGATGCATATGGGATCGGAGTTTGGAGGAGATACAAATGGCAGCCTTGTCAACTGAGGCAATCACAATGCCAGAAGCCATGCGGCGAAGCTTTGACAGCACCCCAAACTCAAAGAATCTAGTGAGATCTAGTGAGAAAGTTTATGAGGATGGTATCAATCGTATCAATCGTATCAATCCCATGCATTTATCTTCAGATGTTTAGAATGTGGGCCGTCTCATGCCCCGGCATGACTGGATGATACTGGATGATACTGGATGATACTGGATGATACTGGATGATACTGGATGATACTAGGTAATACAATATATCATAGTATATCAGAATATATCAATATAACTTTAATATAACTATGCAGACTATGCACATCCCAGGCTGTATCCTATCCGGAGACGTTCAGCATGTTCAGCCCAGGGTGCTTATCCTGTACCAACAGCAGCACCGAAAGCGTCGCCCTTGCTCTACTGCTTTTCCGTGGCGAGAGGTGGTCCAGAAATGGTGTCTTGGCAAAGCCACATCCCACACAGTCTCGCACATTTAAACCAATTGAAATCATTAAAACCCAGACTGCCGGGATATTTGAAATTTGAAACATATTTGAAACATAGTGAAAGGTGGTGAAATGTGTGAAGTTTCGATTCGATTGGTGACGTCTCACTCCTTAGGACTCCATGTTCATGCAACGCCAGAGCGGAACTGGTATCTTTGGCTGCAATGGGTTCCTTGGCGAACCTCTCATGGCCTCTGAGGAGAACATGGAGAACATCATCGTTGTGCTGTGCCCCGTGTGTTGTTCTATATTAGTATATTGTTCTAATTGGCTCAGCCTTGGTTCAGAGACGTTCAGAGAAACTTCCCATTCGGAGAACATGCAGTGAACCCCTGCATTTCCTTGAACCTTTCCACTTGCAGTGTGCAACTCCGTTTCAATACTAGCAGTGCCAGCACTAAGGTTCGATGTCTACAGCGATCAAAGCATTAACATCGACGGATACATGATTCTCGTCAAGGGACATGGCTAGCGAACTGACCTGGCGGTTAACTGTTAGTAACTACCACGAATGATGGAAACTTCATGAAACTTCCATACTTTCATAAGTTTCTAGTATTCACGAAAGCTAGCTTCTGCTAGCTGAAGTCCCTCTTGCTTTAGCAAGGTATTGGGGGGGCTGGAATCTCCAATCGCCAGAAACTTCTCAGTTAACTACTCCCCCCCTCCCCCCTCCCCTTCACAAGCAGTTTGGCCGTGGGCTCAACCCCTGCTGGGGTCACCGTCAGCAACATGAACATCGGTATCCTCTGCACTCCCCATTCTACACTTTGCACTCCACACTCTGCACTCTTAACTTCTTAACTTTGCGCTCCACACTTTACACTTTACACTTTACACTTGGCACTCCACACACTAATTCTACACTTGGCACTCCACACTCCACCCTCTAACTTTACACCCCACACACTACACTTTACACTCCAAACTCTACACTCTACACATCACACTGCACACATGAAACTGCGCACTCTATATACACTTTACACTCCACACTCCACACTTTACACTTTGCAGTCCACACATACTACACTTTACACTTCACACTTGACACTTGACACTGTGCACTCTACATTTCACACTCCGCACTCTGAACTTTACACTTGACACTCTACACTACATTTTACACTCCACACTCTACACTCTACACTTTACACTTTCACCTTACACCCTCACAACTTTACACTTTTCACACTTTACGCTCTATGGAACCTTGGCCTAGCTTTATTTTCATGTTGCGCACGCACACCTACCTCTCGTCCTCAACTTCGGCTTTTCACTGCGTTACTTCTTCCCGCGCTTCCAAAGGTCCACTCCGATGCCGAAGTTTGACCTTTGAATCTTCCCCAATCACTAGTCATCATGTTGGCTATGCTAAATTTCCTTGTCCTCTTCGTGTAACAGTACATCACAATCATATATGTTCTCATCCTCGTCCCCTCCAACATACATCGCCTCAATACGCAGGTTTGGATGTTCACCTTACCAACATGCCCTAGCTTCAGACCCGCTCGTCCACGTTGACGAAAAAGCTGCACAGCTGCGCTGTACCCTTTGTGTTTTCATGCCAAGCTCCCAAACTAGCTTTCGCCCCTAACCCCTGGGCCTCAAGTCTACCATAATTTTGCAGTTTGCGGATTATTTGTGGTGATTCAGTTGGTGCCTCTGAACATGGGGCTTCCCAACCAGTGCCATTTGACAAGTGGCTACGTAGCATCTGAATCCTGTTCCAAGGACAAAGTTGATCCCTTCCACTACCGCCGGAGTATCTGTGGATGGGTGGGCGGCCAATTCTCAAGTCTTTATGAAGTCAGGGCACTCAGAGAATCTCAGAGATACTCAGTGATGAAGTGCCGCTTTTCCGAGCTGCCAAGAATCTTGAGATTCTTTATCCATGATTCTGTACTGCGACTCAGGACGTGGATGGACATCTTGTATGGCAATATCTGGTACAACTACGACTTCATTGCCAAGGCACCTTTCCAAAAGCTGACGACAAGTTCCGCAGATTCAAATGCTTCGGATAAAGGACCTGGTTGTCTCATGTTGTCTCACTGTTCTGGGGCTAACTATCCGTTGAGCCCGTTGAGCCGTTGAGTGGTTTGTTTAAAGGCACCACTCCCAGGCGAAATGATCCGCAGCACTTTGGCAAGTTTGGACATTGTGAGACAAGAGCCCGCCCAAGATTTACTTCAAGCAAAGATGCCCTTTGTTCAAGCAATCTGGTGCTGGAACACTAGGTAGAGGGACATGTAAAGATGATAGACACTTCAGATGCAACGAAGCAGGCCGAACACAACAACTAAAGACCGGGTAAGATTCTGGAGTCACTAGACCACTGCACAAAGAGAGACCCCAATCCGAACGGAGTCTCAAATCCCAATTCAAGTCTGTAGATTTGTTTTGCCAAGGTTGCAAATCAAAAGTCCTTTAAAGAATTGAGAGGTAAGTAAGCTACGTCAAGTGCTTAAGATCTCATCATCCTTGGCTGTGTGTAGGTGGATCCAGATGCTATTCTCTTTGCAGATCGATTGAGATGGCACGTCCAGTCACACACTGGACAGCACCTTTGCAAAGATGGGGTATTGAGTCATTGGAAGAAACTCCTCAAAGTTCGGCAAGCTCGGCATGGTAACAAATATCAATCTTATCCAATCTTTTGCTCTACTGAATGATATCCAAGTCTTATATAATTTCACGGTATGTCACTGTTGTCATGGTCGATATGATTTTTTAGGCGCGCAGGATCCGAAGGGCATGAGACACCAATGTCTTTGCGCGAAGCTGTCACCTTGGTGAGGTTTGTTCCCAAAGAGCTTTGGTGTTTTTTCATTGTTTCATTGGCAAGTCCCAACTCTTCCAAGTGCATTGAGCTTTTTGATTCTGTTTCATGACGGTGCTTCTCATCACCAAGAAAGGACAATGTGATGTGGCTCATATTGAGGGGCAAGGGTGGCCGACTCAAATTTGGAGCCCAAAGTGATTTTTTTTGTTGACTTTAGGTCGATCTCGATCCCAGTGCCGCTGCAACTGCCAAAGTTTTCGACGTTTGTCCAGCCTTGAATCAGGCAATACAGTGAGTACAAGAAGATGGAATATGCATGAATACGATGTAGCTTGCACATGCTTGGACCCCATCAACAGCATCAGAATCGAATGAGGTTCATATCTACTCAGTGGTGACATGATGTGACATGTTTGATTATTTTGATGTTAAATGCCTTCCAGGGCTTGAAGAACACTCAACCACAAAGCTGCCCAGTCAGTGCAGATACAGTCCACAGCACCGCACAGCACCGCACAGCACCGCACAAAGGAATGTTTTCTTCCTCAACTGTGCTGTGCATGCGCCTGCTATGTATGGAGCGGTAGAGGCAGAGCAGTGCAGAGCAATGCAAAGCAGTGCGGCCTATTTGCACCCTCCACTTGTCCCAAAAGATGCATGTCGGACGCATGTCGAGTTCCCTTGTTCCCCTAATTTTGAATTCAACATATGTTACATGATTAATTCATTCTGCTACAATATGTTGCAATTTGTTACGTTAAGTTTGAATGTAAATGTCGAATTCTTTTGGTGTGGTGCTGGAAGACATGTGTCACCTGTGTGCAGGTCTTCTCCAAGTCTTCGATGGGCTCGTACAAAGCGCAGCATGCCCGTTGTCAGAGTTCACTTCCCTTCTGGGCATGGGGCGAAGACAGGCCATGGAGCGCTGTGCCGTGTCAATTTTCTATTGTCATTCTGAATCATCTGAATCATTGTTGATGTCTGTTGCCAAATTTTGCCAAATTTTGCCATTCTGTCAGAATCATGACCATGTTGGCCCCAGAAACGTCGTTCAAATGGAATCCTCGTGTTGCCTGGGGCACACCAGCACAGGTTCATGCAAGAGTGCCTGAAGATGTTGGGAGCACCTTGGCTCAATAAGCCTTTGGAGTGTCTTGCTCACTTGATTTAGCGCCTTGCTGGCCATCGCCGACATGGCATGAAAGAATGCGCGGAATGCACTGCCTGGCCGCTGTTTATTGCCGTTGCCGATGCGCACTGCTTGCACAGGTGGTGCCGATTAGTGACTACACCAACAATGTGCGCGACGCTCGCTGCTGGGGATCAGACTGTGGCAACAAGGGAGCCGTGGCATTCCATCCGTTTCTTGGTGCAGCAAAGTGCTGGTGTCAACTCATCATTGTGAGAACAGTGTGAGCCCGGAAAATGGAGCCAGTCCGGCTGTTCCGGCTGTTCCGGCTGTTGGGTAATGCTTTCCACTGAGATCACTGAGGTTCAAGGCAGTCAACAGCTGGTATCGTTGCTATTTGGCGTCTTCATGATCACTGAGATTTTTGGCTCGCGCAGAAACTCGTTTGGCACTGACCCATTTTATGGGGAACTGGTCTGCTTAGTTGAATCCAAACGGATGAGAGTTTCTTCTGAAAACACTTGGCAAACGTGCATCCTTTCCAGTCCTCAATGCTGACAAGTTCGCAGTAGCCAAGTCAATGACAGCCGCATTTCTCCGTACTTGGTGCGCGGCGATTGCCTCTGTCTTGCCAATTGAAAGGGGCTGAGATATCAAAGATAGAGCTTCTTAGGCGTACAAAACTAGCAAGACAAAGAGGCAAACATCCTGTAAGGTCCAAGACCTGCTTGGATTTAGACTGACTAGCATACTGCATACTAATTAGAGATCATCCAATGAAGAGCTCAAACCCATCAACGCGTGAAGATATCAAGATACATCGAGATACATCGAAATCGAAATACATCCCAGATTTTTTTCATCATTTTTTGGTAATTTACATCGGTTTGACGCACTGAATTGAGTTTTGTCGGGCGATCGAAGTCGCGGCCGTCGCAGCCAAAGTTGCCAGATGCCGGAAAGATCCTCGATCGAAAGATCCCAAAAAGATGCTCCGGTTCGAAGCAGCTCGGGGTCCACGGGAAAGTTGAAGAAATTTGAAGACAAGCAAAATGTATTGAGTGTAACAATTCTGCCCATCTTCCATCAGTGTTTGTTTAATTGTGGTACATTTAAGTTCTGAGACATAGGCAAAGTTTTGAAGTCATTTTCAATGAGGTAGGTACCATACTGTTCACCATGAAGCTTCTTTAGAAGAGCTCAAAACCACAAGGTCCGAGACAAATCACTCGAGTCTCATCGAAAGCCCCTGTGAGAGCCCCTGTGACCTACAGCCATGCCAGCACCCTCCAAGCCTGAAGCGCATCTCCAACTCGGATCGAGAAGCAAAAAGTGGACCCACCAAGATCATCCAAAATCCTCACTATGAATCAATGATCCAACGATCGATTTTAGTTGACTCCGAGTTGACTGAGTTTGCCTAATATAGCCACGATGGTTGAAACTGCATCAGTTGCCCAAATGCAACTTCCCAGCTGAACAAAACCTCACATCCTGCATCATCTTTAAAAGCAAAATCCTGACAAGAAGTTCATTTAAAGATTCAAACTGACTTGCGGTGTGGAATCGCCCCGTCCTGTGCTATGGGGGTATGTGCCAGCCAACTTGAGTGGCCTGGCAGAACTGGAGTTGGCGCGGAATGGGCTGAATTGGCTCAGCTGAGTGGACCACAATGGCCATTTGTGCAAGAAAAGCATTAAAGAAAAACATTTAAAAAAATTAAAAGCATAAAGCAGTCGTCGTTTCCCATGGCCTCAGGTACGTTGATGGAGTGGGCGCCTCGAGACAGGAGAGACATGGAGAGACATGGAGAGACAGGATGCTGGACTGACTCAGCTCCCAATTGAACTTTCGCGCTTTGAGGTCACCTTTTCCAAGCGCTCACAATCTGCGTTCTCGCAATGCTTGCAGAAGGCGCGGCTTTTTGACATGTTGTGTGGCGAGGTTTCTTTGTCAAGAAAGCTAGCTTGTGCTAGCTGAAGTTGCTCGCAAGGAATAGGCAGGCACCAGGACCGTTGAACACACTGAAACTTTCAGTTCTATACCTTCCCCCCTGGCATGCCCGGGTTCAATCCCCCCTGGTCCCGGACCCCCCTGCGGACCATAGGTTGCGCGCAAGTACAGGGTTTGTCATAATATTCAATATTTCATGTCGTCGTCGTCCTCCTCCTCCTCCTCAACATCATCGTCATGGTCATGGTCATCGTCATCATCATCCGCACCCACCATCATCGTCATCAGTGTACTCTTGCAGCTGAGCCGTCTCCGGTACAACATTAGTAGCGTCCTGCTAGCTTTCGTACCTCCCCCCAAGTTTGACCTTTTTATAATTTTGCCACATTTTTTTTTGTCTAAAAGAACATGATCAGAATTTCTTCATGCGCCAGATTTTCAATTGACGCAACTGGCAGGCCTCCGGGTTGCGCTTTGTTACCCCTGGGTCTAACGCTGAGATATGGGTTGGACCTTGGACTCGGCGGCTAGTTGCTGATAGTGAACCACAATGCCATAGGTTCCCTAGAGTTCCATAGAGTTCCGTAGTTCAGTCATGTTCACTTCATGTTCATGTCATGTTTAACCAGTTCTATCCAAATATTAAATGAATCAACCCTTGGATGTATATATGTGTGTATATGTATAAATATATTATATTATAGACGTATCTCAGCTTAGCCAGCCCCACCTTTTGGGGATGAGATGATTCGATGATTCCCTCTTATTGGGAGCCAACACCGTCCTACTTTCCTTAGACTGATTTAGACTGGTATGAGTCGGTATGAGGTCAGGGGTTTGTCTGGGCCGAGGCTATCGAACTATCGCTTTTCCTCCAGCTTGATTGCAGCTCATGCGTCGACACACCCAGCTGCAGTGTGCTATATGGGTGGCAGCTGCACCGGCAGCATTTCCGCAATTTCCGCTTTTGCAGGTCAGATTGGTTTGGAAAGAACCTCACTTGATCATCTGGAGACATCTTGCCTTTCCGAACCACTTTTTGTGTCGTGAGTCTCGACTTGATGTGCTGCAGCCGATTCGAAGTACCAAAAACGACATGTCCTGTGGGACAACTTGGCCAAACCTCAGCCAAAATACCAAAGCTAGGGAAGACCATGCAGAGGTTGTTCTGTGTGTCATTGTATGTCACTCTGTATTGAGAGGCATGGAGGCTGATTTAGATCACTGGCAATGTATGTAAAACTCTATCTTGGCAGGTACCGAGCAAAGATCACACAAGATCGAGAAGCTAAACTTTGGACATTGACATTTTCATACCCAGAATCCATCAGAATCCGATAATCCGCACAGTTTCAAGAAAACCTTTTTTTGTCAGACAGACAGTTTGCTTCGTTGCAGCATCAGACCAGCGCCGAGCGATGTCATGCGGCAAAGCCGCTGGGTCATCGGCCGCTTTGAACGCACCGAAGATATGCCAATCCTTCTAGAATTTTTGCATCATTTCTATTGATTTTTGATGATTTTTGTATATTTCTGTCACGTCTCTAGATTAAGAATTGAATAAGACACAGAAAACAAGCTGGGAGGCCACTCCTTTCTCTACCTGTACTGAGTTTTCATCGTGTTTCACCTTGTTTTGGTGGCAGACTTCAGATTTGCCAAGGATTTTTTGCGCTGTCACTGACTTGCTCTTTTCTGCTCATTTTGGAGCGTGAGATTCGCGAATATTTCGCCTTCAGAGATCGCCCTTTGTCTCTGGGTGTGCATTTGTGGAGCATCAAGAAGCATCAAGAAGCATCAAGAAGCATCAAGACCCAGAATGACTCAGAATGACGATTGCAAGAGCAATACCGTAGCGCGGGATGGGCCGGTTGGCCATGAGGTTCCGGGAGCTGGTCAATAAGGTCCCGAATGCGCGGCACGTGTGGTTTGCCTGGAACTTGGCGGACACCAATAACTACCTGCTGTGGCTCTTTGGCAAGGAAATCCGTGGGAGATCCATGCGAGGTTGAGATGTTTGAAGACAACAGCACCATGTACTTTGAATGGTTTGCTTGAAATATTGAACGAATCATACATCTATTCATGTACACTTTCTGCTTGCTGTAGGGAATCCTTCTGCTTCTTTTTCTGGTCTCATATTTCAACAATTTTCAACATCACAGGTTTCCTTGGCGTTGAGAGGACAAAATGTATCAGATCGGATTGTTCGGCTATCATGCGCTGATGACCAACGCTTCATGGAAGGATCCGTTGGGAAGGGCCGACCACTCTGAGGGCTCTTGTTTTATTTTTTGCAATGACAGGGCATGTAGCTGTAGCATATGTAGCTGTTTGGAATTCATGGTTGGGTGCTATGCTTCGAACATGAGAAGTGAGAAGTGTTTTGCTACTCATGCAAGATATGCAAGTCAGCTTTGAACGATAACATCATAGAGAGATCCCATGGAGCAAAGGTGAGCACATGTAGATGTGTCGGGCCGTGTCGGGATCATCAGCAATACTGGAGCCTAGAAATCACTGCAATCCGAGAAATTTCAAGGATGTGAGAGTTGCGACGTGCGATCATGGGGCACATGAGCTGTTGACGTCCACTCAGAGGGGAACAGGTGTCAAGATCCATTCCTCGAAGATAGTTTGGGACGGAAGACCCAGCAACTGTCCTGGAACTGCAATAGGAACCCAGTGACATCCAGTGACATCCAGTGACATCCAGTGACATTGCTTGTAGATTCGAGACATCTCGAGACACTCACGGCATGCAGGCCCTTTGTACCATGGATTCGGACAAGGACCTGCTTTGAGACAAGGGTACGGCATCGTGAACTAGCGAGGATAAACAATCTACCTGGCCAAACAGATATTGTATTACTGTAGATTATTTGATCCTGGGTGGTAGAGGGGAACATTTCCCCAGTTCAACGTTTCCTTGAGGGTGGCACTAAGCGTTTGCTTCACTTAAGGATGCTCATGGCACACCTATGAAGAAACAAGAATCGACACTCAAGAGGAGATTCCAACTTGGTCATACCCATGGCCCCATAGCTGACTCTACCGTCACTGCACCCCCATTAGGATGGTCTCAGCAATGGCGTTGAGCTTGGGGACCCTTGCTGTCATTGGGAACCTGGTGCGTTGGCATCTGGAGACTTCGAGATCCGTCACAACTTGGAATACAGGCGACGAAGCCGCTGATGATGCCACAATATGCCGAAATATTGCTGTATGTTTTGATAGATCTATTAAATATACTGGCCGTTTTTTTTTCGATCAAGACATTGGTAGAAGTTGAGGAAGTCTCAGCAGTGACCGACATCGTGCAGCTTCCTTTTGATGTTGTCAGGCGGTGGCTGGTTTCTCATCCATCTCATCCGACCAAAAGGCAGGTTGAGACGGTTGACATTTCAGATCCAGATTTGCAGAACGTCATACAGAATCATGTCATGTTCCGAATCTTTGACTCTGGCAGGAACAAGCATGTTCATTCCTTCCCTCAGACTTGCGCTGAGGACGTAAAAAAAACAGTTAAATGCTGCATTGTTCTAATTCCAAACTGGCTATGTCTAATTCTCATGATGTTTGTGGTTGGGGCCCGTTGAGTGCTTGCCCTTGTTGTTTGGGAGTGGAGGAATACGACGTTGAGCAATACAAGCGCATTTTTCATGATTTCTACTTCAGTCGTTTGGACGAACCGACGCGTGGCAGCAACTTCATCAAGATATGGTGCATATTATATAATATCATATATCCATTTCATAGTACATGACATGACATGACATTACATTACATTACGTGCCATGACATTACATTACATAATATTATGATACTTAACATTATCATGTATTTCAGTTCTGGGATTGTTTCTAGCAGCCGCTCTGAGGATGGAGGATGTGCCCTGGTCTGTGGTGAAGATGGCAGCCTTTGCATTCATGACTGGGCTAACCTTTTCTGCTGTGGAAATGGGCAGGGTCAAGGTTTGCTGAATGATGCCGTGGCACTCCCAAGACAGACCACGAAATGTTTTGCAGGGTTCAGACCATGTTCCTCTTTGTTGGTAGAGAAAAATGTCTTCAATGTTACATTTTCTTTTGGTGACTTGTCATCGTCCTCCCATCGTTGCTTCCATTGCCTTCTTTACAACCCTGCCATGGTGAGATGCTGCCAGTGACTCTGGAGTGGTGTACCCTCCGGTGCCAGGATTCTTCAACTCTCCCTGTGGTTCGCCTTCGGAGGTCTTGGAGACGATCTCTTCACTCGAAAGTCGCCTCTTTCTACAGGACCTCCTGCGCTGTGACATTCTGTGCGCGTAGCAAAGGGTGGGAAGGTGTGCAGCGGCCCCAGAATTTCATAGGACGCATATTCAGCTCGCAAAGGATTCAAACCTGGTCTTGGTGCAGGCCTCCGAGCCTTTCTGATCGTCCTCAGCTTTCTGTACATGGCTCCTTGGTGTGGATGTGTCAGTGGTGTCAGTGATGTCAGTGGTGTCAGTGGTGTCGTGTCAGATGCGGGGATTGAGATGTGTCAGTGTGGATTCAGATGGCTGTGCCGAATGTCTCCAAGGACCTGAGCTCCGGCGTCATTCATTTGATCCTGGACTATGCACCGCCGTTCCTCCCCATCATTGGAGGCACTGGCACAGCACCAGAATGCCGAATGAAAACCCAATGGCAGCCATCCATGACCAATAAGTGCAGGCTTGGCCGGAGGCTTCCGGTACCATCATGAAGATCCCACGGCCATATGCCGCATCAGCTGGTTCGAATATGCCTCACACACCCATTTACTGGCAGTTGTGGTATTGTGGCTGGGCGTGGAAGAGCCAGAGAGGAACTGTACTCACTGCCGGCTTGTGGGCTCATGCATTCAGGGATAGAAAAAACCCGGTGGGTCAACACCTAGACCAGTGTTGTGGCAGTCGCCAGTGAGAATTGCCATCCATTAATAGTCTCTGTGCGGCTGATGCTTCAGGTTCGTACTCAGACTGGGCCCGCATTCCCGTGGCCTGCGCTTCTTTTGGGTATGGGGACTTGCTTCTTGGCAGATGAGTCACTGCATTGGAGATTTTTTTCCACTTCAGGTCACTTTCACAGCATCACTTCTGTCCCTGAAATATCTTTTGAGGTGTGGAGCCACCTGTTTCAATCCGCGCACCGATGGACGCACTTCCCACCAGACGAGCTGTCACATGGCTTGCAAACGAATTGGACAGCTGTTTTGGACACATTTATTTGGACACATGCTGTGATTTATTTGCTGTCCCACCCAAAACTTCGTCACATGTCACCTCAGGCACTGGTGGGTCACAGGCTTGCAAAGGATGCTGGTGCTTTCCCATGAACGCCGCAACCTCATGCAACCTCAGTACTTGGACTTGGACATGATGAGACAAAGGTGCTGAATCCGCTGCTTTGGGACTTGAGGCCACATGGAGCACCACCAGGATTTGGAGAAGCAATTCACGATTCTGCCACTTGGTGAAAGACTTCTACCTTAAGGACCCTTGCCTCCCGCGGGAACAGCCTCCAGTGACTCCAGTGTTCACGTGCACCTCAGGTCTGGACACACAGATTTGATCCTCGATCCTTTGGTCAAGCTGCTGCCAGCTGCGCACTATGACTATTGGTGTGTGTTGCTGGGCCAAGCGAAGCAACCTCTTGTGTACGGTTTTCTCTTTCTTTTCTGATGTTTAATGTATGAATCGTACGGGGCGCGGCATCGCTTGGAACTCTCGTCTCTGCATCGCTTGTAACTCTCTCAAGCACCATTCAGCAACGTTTGCGAACAGGAAGAATAAGTTGATAGATGCCTGTGCAATCTTGCAAAAATAGAAACAGTGATCCATGGATGGAAAGATAGTTGGCAGAAAGATAGTTGAGAAGAGAGGCGTGTGGAAGCGCATTTGAACGTCATTGTTGCCCGGCCCCACCCCACTGCACCGCACCCCACCCCACCTCACATCACATTATCTTTCCCCTCGCATTCCGGGCGTGCGCAAGCTGTGTGAGTTGTACTCTAAGCGATTAAATTTGAGAGTTGTAAGTGAGATCTAAGAGTTGTAAGTGACTTGTGAGTTGTAAGTTGCGAGTGCGAAAATCTGAGCGTTGTAAGTGAGGTGAATACCACTTGTACGGTTGTATGGTGCTGCACTTGTGATTTTTTGTTTTGTTAGACCTCCAAGCTATTGCTGCATCACAAATTGCGCCTAGGATTGGCGTTCTTTGGTTCTTCCTGCCAGTTTTTGTGGATTTGTGGCTGCTTTCGGACGAGAAAATGTCAAGCGCCTCTGGAAAGGTCGATGACAAAGTGTAGGGCGGCCACAAGACGAACGCGTTTGAACGTGTTTGCTAGTGACCCCCAATAGGATGAACACGGAACTCAAAAACATGCAAACATCCAAACAAGAGAGCGGGAAGACATGGGAAGACATGGAAATCATATCCATTTGGGGGTGACTACAGTGGGTTCCCGCGATGCCAGAACGAACAAAATATTCTTTAGTGCATGAAGAAGATATTTGTGCATACAGACATTTCTACAGTCCTCGATCGCACCCAAAAGTGTCGTGACCACAAAGAGGGTCTTGGACAGAACAAGCTCCAATCGAATCTTGATTTTAAATCATTTATTCCACAGGAAGTACTTGTCCTTGTGCTGACAAGAGTATCGTGATGACCCAAGTTGAAAAGAAGTTTTTCTCAAGACTTCAGGAGCTAGTTGTGGGTGAATTCAAGATCCGATTCTGCGCCGTAATAAGCAGAAGTCCGGTGATTGTTGCGGATCCGCCATTTTGAAGTTGGTGAGTTTTGGCAGCTTCCCATAGCTTCGCAAGCTGCAGAATGTGCCAAGAGAATCCACTTGGATTTTGACTTTTCTGCTCAGATGTCCTGGAACCCTGGTAGCGCCAGGTGAGCACAACTGCAAACGCGTGTCGTTTTGCCAGTGAAGAAAAAACAGTTGTGAGCTGGTGATAGAGGGATGAATGATTGGATGCCCCGTTCTTCGAGATGGGGTGAGAACGTGCTTCACACAGTGCATTTTGATCCTTGTCAAAGAAGATCCAAATCGAAGATGTAACAATGCAGTTCTGCAACATTATGCACATTCGCCAACTCATTCGCCAACTCATTCGCCAACTTGGTTCAACTTCATGTTGTGGCCAAGTCTGCCAAGTCTTTTGCAATTCTGGTGGTGCGCCCAGTGTTTTAGACTTGAGGCCTGGCCGAGGCTTGGACGTGGCGGTGTGGGGCTTGGATGTGGAAGCTCCACAGCTAGAGGGTAGCCACAGGTGGTGCAACAACAATGTTTTGACATGTTTTGACCCAATATGTTCACACTGTGCGTATTTGTTCAAGGTATATATACACTTGTAAACCTTAACATACACACCTGATTGAAAAGCATAGGGTACGGTACATACATTCACAATATCTCAATCCATGTGAATACATGTGACATGTAAATGCATAGCGATGCACACTCTTGCGCATGTGATTGTATGCGTATGCGTATGGCACTAATAGACTGGCCATGATACTACTGTGATTTTGCTTTGATACTCCACGAAGCTGTATTATGTGAGCACAGCCACCAAATGATCTTTCTTGGTATCGTAGTGTTGATGTTTTGAAGGTATAAAACAACTGCAAATGCTACGGAAAGGAGACGTTTTCTCAAAGTCTTATGTTCAGGTTGGGAGTTGAAAAAAGAGACGCTTTAGCAAAACTCATGCGCCAAAGTCATGGAGGGAGTTCCGGAGTTCTTTGCCAACTTGATTTGTGAAATTTTGTGAACTTGTGACAAATTCTGTTTGAATTTTGACAAATTCGAACCTGAGGTGCTGGGTGGTGGACCAGCCTGGAGCCCAGTCGCCACCGAAGGCCATGGCACCTCGCAGCATCCGGCGTGGCTAACGTCATCTTGGCGCATCGCCATGTCCTTGTCATGTTGGCAATCTGTTGCCATGGGATATCATGGGTAAGTCCCAAATACGCAAATTGTATTGGCAATCACTTCAGCAGCTGTTCGGCTACGCAAATTGAATAGTTTGTTTTTTGTTTAAATCTCAATTTGTTGGGCAACTAGGCATAAAATGCACCAAATGTGACCACACGAAGTTGTGGGTGTGGCAAAAACGGGTACGAAACAAAAGGACCCCCCAATAGAGTCATCCCCAAATTCAAAATTGTTGCTAGTATGACATCATCATCACCATCACCATCACCATCACCATCATCATCATCATCATCATCATCATCATCATCACCATCACCATCACCATCACCATCATCATCATGATCATCAACATCATCATCATCATCATCACCATCATCATCATCATCATCATCATCATCATCATCATCATCATCCTCATCCTCATCATCATCATCATCATCATCATCATCATCATCCTCATCCTCCTCCTCCTCATCATCATCAACATCATTATCATCAACATCATTATCATCATCATCATCATCCTCATCATCATCCTCATCCTCATCCTTATCCTCCTCTCCTCTCATCATCATCATCATCATCATCATCATCATCATCATCACCATTAACATCATCATCATCATCAACAACAACATCATCATCATCATCCTCATCCTCATCCTCCTCCTCCTCCTCATCATCATCAACATCATCATCATCATCATCATCATCATCAGCATCCTCCTCATCCTCATCCTCATCCTCATCTTCATCCTCATCCTCATCCTCATCCTCATCCTCATCCTCATCCTTATCCTCCTCCTCCTCATCATCATCATCATCAACATCATCATCATCATCATCATCATCATCATCATCATCCTCATCCTCATCCTCATCCTCATCCTCATCATCCTCATCCTCATCCTCATGCTCATCCTCATCCTCATCCCCATCGTCATCGTCATCGTCATCGTCATCGGTCATCGGCATCATCGTCACAGTCATCGGCATCATCGTCATCATCGGCATCATCGCCATCATCGTCATCATCGTCATCGTTGTCATCCTCGTCATCATCGTCATCCTCGTCATCCTCGTCATCGTCATCCTCATCATCCTCGTCATCCTCGTCATCCTCGTCATCCTCGTCATCCTCGTCATCCTCGTCATCCTCGTCATCCTCGTCATCCTCGTCATCCTCATCATCCTCGTCATCCTCGTCATCCTCGTCATCCTCGTCATCCTCGTCATCCTCGTCATCCTCGTCATTTGCGTCATTCTCGTCATTTGCGTCATTCTCGTCATTTGCGTCATTCTCGTCATCCTCGTCATCCTCGTCATCCTCGTCATCCTCGTCATCCTCGTCATCCTCGTCATCCTCGTCATCCTCGTCATCATCATCCTCGTCATCCTCGTCATCCTCGTCATCCTCGTCATCATCATCCTCGTCATCCTCATCCTCATCCTCATCCTCATCATCATCATCATCATCATCATCATCATGATCATGATCATGATCATGATCATGATTATGCTTGTACCATCCCCCATTTTGGACGTTGCTAGGTGTGGTTGTAGTTTCTTTGTTGTTGTTCTGTCTGGTTTTGGTTCGACCGGAACCAATCCCAGAGTTGTTGGATGTTGGATCCAATTTTCAATTTGTTTGGGATCTTGATGGTTCGATTTCGGGTACTCCGAGGCTGGCTTGCTCTTTGCCTTGAGGTTGCTGGAACTTGGCCCTGCTCTCAAACCTGAATCTGGAATAGAGGATTTATCACTTCTCTGAACCAATGAACATTCAGAAAATCCCGACTTGCGGACTTCAAATTGATTTATCTCAAAATAAGACTTCTCAAAGTGAGCGAGTCGACAAAAAATTAGATGCAATAAGTTGTCGTGATTTGCGATGGACTTCGACGGACTTTTTTTTTGAATCTTCTGAAGTATCTACGGGAATTCGTTTGGCTCCAAGGTGGTCGCAATGTGTCAATCACCGTCTACGACCGGTGGAAGCTCGAGGTAGCTGTGGCCGTGGCCGAGTTGCATCATGGGTTTGACGGTTTGACCAACGGCAGGCTGGTCGTTACGTCTGGGATGAAGCCCCTGAGGACGATCTGCCTGTACTTTCCGATGCCTCACAGGTCTACAAAAACTGAAGCTAGAAATTCCTGATGTTCCTGGATCAGGTCCTAATCTTCTCCAATTTCGAAGATTCTTTGTTGTATTTTCACGTACTTTCTCCGAAATCAATTATGCAAGCGCTATGATGTCAAAAAAAATCTGGAAGTTGCAGGTGAAATTTCTCGTTGTTTCTTGCGTTCCTTGTGGTGAGCAAGCAGTCAAGTTGCAGGTTCCAAAAAACCAGTCCATTTGCGACCCATTCCAGCGGTGTACAGGGGAACGCACACATATTGTAGACGCATTTGTTCAAACTACAACAAGTTTGGCGCTTGGATGCATTTTCTGGTTTGCTTGACCAAACAATCCAGAACAAACATCTACCAATATCTACCATGTCCCACCCGTTCCATACCTAGCCGGGCTACTGCCGGGCTTGGGTTCCAAACATGTCCCACGGCAGGAGCATCGCATCTTTATGGTGCCAGAAAGGCAGCTGGACACCTTCAATTCTGAGGCCAACAACTGGGTCCTATGGTCCTATGGGGCGCTCGTGGTTTAAATTTGGAACTGTCATCACAAAGAAACAGTTACCGCAAACTTCAACATTCTTAGAGGTCACTTGAGCCTTTTGGATCAAGATACCACTTAGCTGATCCTCGAATGTTCCGTTTGTCAAGTTTGCGGCGTTGCAAACCGGCCATGGACAGTTTGTCTTTGCTTGAGGCTCATGAAGTTGTAGCCATGTTGAGAGCGGGTTCTGTGTCGCCATTGGAACTGATCGATGTGGTGGAACGCAGAATTTCTGCCACAGAACCACTTGTTCATGCTACACCCATCACCTGTTTCGAACGCGCAAGAGAAAGGGCGCAGCAATTGGAAAATTCGCCCCCTCAGACTGGTCGAGGATTTCTGCATGGTTTGCCAGTTCTGATCAAGGACTCCTATCAATGACTCAATGCCGCCACACAACATAGGGTCCGATTTTTTTCATCCAAAATGATCCAAAATTGACGTTGCTGCTGACTGATGACTGTGAACTGATGTTAGAGTTTGAACACCTTTGAGGACACTCATGCAGTGGAAGGGGTGCGGTTCACTGAAGGCAGTCTCCTACACGCAGAGCGTATCGCAGAAGAGAATGCGCCTTTGGTCGCCCAGCTGGAGTCCAAAGGAGCGATCATCGTTGGCAAGACAAACGTGCCCGAATTCTGCGCAGGCTGGGGATTTTTGATGATTATTGCCAAAATCCTTCTTTTTTTGAGAAAGAGCTTCGCAGTGATGCAAAGGCCCAGAGTCTGGTACTTGGAATGCTGTTGAATGTTGGCCTTCAGGTATGAAACATAGAATTGTCATGGGGATATGGGAGGCACAGCCAGATTGCACCAGATTACTAGGAAGACCCCGCAGATTTTGAGAAGTTTTCTTCATCAACAGGTACTCAGCAGGTATACTTGTGTTGCTGGCAGTTGCCGGCAGTTGCCGGCAGTTGCCAGGCTCACAAAGCTTCAACTCCATCTTTCCCACCACGGTTTCACCTTGGGATATTCGTACCACTGCTGGTGGCAGCAGTGGTGGATCAGCTGCCGCCTTGGTGAGTTACCAGTGTTGGTTGGCCACGGGCACTGACCTGGGTGGATCCTTGCGGATTCCGGCGGCCTTCTGCGGGGCAGTGGGCTTTCGGGTGTCGCCTGGACGGACGCCTGGGCAAGGCTACGGACCGTTGCTGGGGCTGCATGGGATTGCTGGACCCATGGCAAGGAGCATCAGAGATGCCGCGCTATTCTTGGATGCCATGGAATCCAATACAGGTTGGGATAACGTGGAGCCTCACAGTCCCAGACACTTGGATCAATTGGATCAGAACTGATCAGATCTCAAGGGTTTGTGTCGACACACCGAATCCCTCGAAGAGGAGCATCTAGCTGGTCTAATTAGACTGTGGGGAGGGTTTGAAAAAATCCGCTGGTTGTCTTTTCAGTGAACCTTTTCAGGTGAAGAGACCTTTGAAGCTGCCGCTATTTTGGGAGCAACACAAGGAGTTGAAGGCTAGGGGTCCAAGAATCCCCATATTTTATCATATTTTCAGAATGTAATAACTTGGATCAACGAAGAGCTGAGATGATTTGATTTGCCTTAGACTTTTTGCAAACCGTGCGACGCTTGCTCACATTCGACTCATTCGACCGTTTTCCCTGCAAGGTTTGGGTCTGAAAGTTGGATTTTCGACAGTGGGCTGCAAGTATTCTCCGGATGTAGAAGCTTTGTGCCGGAAGGCCGCGCAGCTGATGAACAACAATCGTGACGTTCTTGAAGTTGGCGAGGACAGCTAGCTTCCTGAGTCCATGGAGCTAGAAACTGTTTCCAGTCTTTCAAAAAAATCCGAATCCATCATCGAAGAGTTTCAGTTTTGAGATCCTTCACCCCAAATGCTCCAGGACATGGTAGATTCCGTGCTTGCCCGGCGCATCTTCCATGCCTTGCGAGCAGAGCAACTTGCTGCAAAGTATGGCGACAAACTGGCGGATCCCGCCACTCGCGCCCTGGTGAAACCAGAATTGCAGTGGATCCTCGGCAGCTTTGCGATTTCTTGGCCTAGTGGCCTAGTGGTTCCAGCGTTGCGGTCACAACGACACCTCCGAAAATTGCATCGTAGGAGTCTTTAGAACTTTAGGACTTAGGATCATTTCGGAGCCATGAATCATAGCTGTCATAGCTGTCATAGCTTCACAAGTTGGCTTAAAAGACCCGAAATTTCTGGCTCTGCTCGACATTTCTTGGCTGTTCTGGGTCTGTCCAAGGAACATTCTGCAGGGGCAAGGGCCCGACATCCAGGAGCGTGCCGAGGAGGCTCGTGGGGAGCTGCGACAGCTGCAGTCGCAGGTGCAGGAGCATTCTGGGTCAAACAGTTGGACAATGTATCAATATCAACTCATTGTATCAACTCATTGTATCAATTTGTATCAATGTCATCGCTGATGTGTAAATGTTTGTATATACAAACGTGGGATCGGATCACCAGGAATGGGACCAAAGTTGCTCTTTAAAGTTGCAGCTGGCATACCTGCTCTTCAAGATTTGCAAAACATTCCAGAACTTTTTGTACGGTTACATGGCATAGCCGGAGTGCTTCTTAATGTCACAGAACTGCGCCACTGCTCTTCAGTCTGCAGCGCAAAGCTTCTTGAACAATGAAGAAACAGGTGCAGATGTTGCAATGTCTCGGCCCGTATTTCTTGGTAAAACAATGCAACATCAATCATCATTAATCCGAAGCTGCATGGACGTGTGAAGACCTGACTCTATCTGTTTTTGCAAACAAGCAGTCAGATGTAATCAGTAAAAACCCAATGACTGGAGATCAAATACCTGTAGTATCCTGTAGTGGGATGTATGTGCAAAAGATGGACCAAACCATCTCGAATCCAGAGACCCACAGGTTGGCTGCTTGAGATTGGTCATCCAATGGGTTGGTCAACGGTTTACAGATTTTACAGTTGGCCCAGGGACGCTGATGGAGATGGAGGAAACATGAGGAAACAACCTCACTTCATGCGTACTGTCTCCGACTTTAGATGACTTTAGAGGGTTTGATGATAGGATTTAGCCTTTGATACTACTTGCTTCACTTCACCAAACCTTCACCAAACCTTTACGGTACCAAGGTCCAAATTCAAATGGTCAGGTTTCACCATTTCTTTTGCGTAGTCTCGCATTTCAGGAGATGTTCAAATCCGTGGATATCCTTTGTGTGCCAGCTACGATGGATGCGGCTTTTGATGCTGAAGTTCGATACCCTACAAAGCAGATAGATCAGAGCTTCTCTAATTATCTTGGCTGGATGATGCCTGCGGCCACAGTGTCGGTGCTTCTTGACCAACAATTATGGTGGTGTTGCGGATGTTGAAAGTCAGACAACACACCGGACTCAGGGATATGCTTGGCCATGAGTCTTGAAAATCTTGAAAGCTCTAGGATTTCATGACATTTCATGACATTTCATGACATTTCATGACCCAGACAGATTCCTGAGGTTTCTATGTCCAGCTGTGGTGTTGCCGTGTGGCTTCCTAGAGGTAGGGATGTGAAATCTCCCGGGCAGAACATGGTAAAACCATGGTAAAGCCACCATTCCTATACATCTTTATTTATCTTTATTTATCTTTATTTATCTTTATTATCTTTTTAAATCTTTTTTTTCTGTATATAATCATTTAATATCACAATATCGATCATTATAGAACTCATCAATTTCCAGAAATGGATCATCATTCAATAATCATTCATGATCAACAATCATTCATGAGTCATACTCATTATAATTATTTTTCATATATTTTTCATATCTCCAGAAATCCGTGTTTTCCAGGATGGTCGCCCTGTGGGTCTCCAAGTGCTGGCCCCGTACGGTGCAGATGCCACGGTGCTGCGCGCCGCGGCAGCACTGGAGCAGTGCTTGGCGCTGCCCAAAGGCACCGAACCGCAGAGTGGGACTGCGGAGCTTAGAACCGAGGGACCCAGGACCGCTTGTGACGTTCCCAGTGCCATGTTGAGCTTAGTTATATTTAGTTATCCTTAGTTAGACATGGTTACGGTTAGTTAGGGTTAGTTAGTGGATCAGTTGGTGTCGGAAAATGATGTAGAGATATTTCTATAGGTATGGGGCATGTGTAGAACTGAAAAAAATGTTGATTTTGTAACGTGTCAATTTTATATGAAGAGGGTCATGAATCTTGGAGATTCATGGATAAGGGCCCAAGATGGCTAGATCTTGGCACAGGTTCGAAAATGCAAAACTTGGTCTGCCTCTGCAATTTTTCTTCCTTTTCTTCATCATCTTGTGTTGTTTGTTCTTGTTCTGTTTGTTTATTCTTCCCCAACGGAATGCTCAGGTTGCTACCGACGCTGTGTTTCCAGTTCCAAACGATTGTGCAGGTTCCGACACGTTCCAAGGGTCGTCCCAATTCAACCCTTCCAAGTTCAAGCCAAGTTCCCCTTCCAATCTGGCTTCCAAGTTTCCAAGTTTCCAACTCCAAACTTCCAAGATTTCAGTGTTTCATTGCAAACTTAGGATTACAGTGCTTCAGGTGTCACAGGTGTCAAGCCCTTCAAGTTGAGTGAAAAGGCACATCTTGGGACTGAGAAATAATTGGCATATCTTGAATCATGTTGAATGCATGGAGCTGTTGGGGATATCGAAGGCATTCATTCTCGATCTGCAATTTCTTAAAGATTTGATTGGCCTTTCCAGGGAGTTTTTTCCCGAACTTTTTAGATCAAACATTAGGTAGATGGCGACGACATGACGACGACGTGACAACGACATGGCGACGATGCCACATTGCCGCCACATTGCCGCCACATTGCCGCCACATTGGTTGCCACAACTGCCACAAGACCTTAGTCCTGTTTGGCCCTAATTGGCAGAAATAAGGTTTTGTGGCAGTTGTGGCAATCAATGCGGCGGCAATGCGGCGGCAATGTGGCAATGTGGCATCGTCGCCATGTCGTCGCCATGTCGTTGTCACGTCGTTGTCATGTCGTCGTGTTGGTGTGGTTGCTTCGTTGCCTTCAATTTGGGGGTGCTCACTAACAGAGGCCTTTAGGCCCTAGCTAAACAGAATAAACATGAAGCATACACATATTTTAATTTTGGTCTAAAAGTGAAACAACACGATTTCCGTCATTTTGGTGCTGATGTGTTGGCAGTTTTGGCAGGACTGCAGAGGAAGCTGCTAAGCACCATGGCATTGAATAGGTCCACGGTACCCCAGCCATGGCCCAGCTCTCTCACATGGAGACTGGTCTGGTTATTCGTGGGAGAAACTGTGCCCACGCAGCGCCTGGCAGCTGGTGACAGCCAACACCCTGCAGCGCCATGGAAGGTGGTGAAAAAGGACAAGCGCAGCGAGGTAGCCATGTTGACCCCAAGAGCTTTCCGAAATTACACGACAGGTGAATTTTGGAGTGCTTTGGAACAGTTTGGAAGCGTTTGTGCCTTCGTTCATCATCATGCCTGGGTCATGCCTCATCCCATGTATTTCGCATCTCAGGGGTAGTGACAAACTAAGACCAGAGGATGTGATGGCTGTCAACATCTCCAACAATCTCCAACAATCTCCAACATAGTGTACGATGTGTACGTGCACCATCTTGATATTTGTATCTTTATTGTTCCGCAGGCCTGTCTCGGGCGTGGCTGGGCTCTGTCTGGTTCCGCGGGGTTGCCCAGTCATTTGGCCCAGAACTGACCCTGAGCTGACCCAAAACAGGCGACACTTGTTGTGTCCCCTCAGATCCAACCGCTACATGGCTATGTCATTTCTGAGCTTCCAAGCATTTCTGTAGGCTGCCCCCTTTGCAACCCCTGACTGATCATGAATGATTGCTGTGTGCTGTGTGTTAGCCAGCAACGGTCGTTTTTATGGTGAGTGAGAAGTTACAACATTGTTGGTTGTAAGGTTAATGACCCCCGGTTTCCATGCAAGCAAGTTTGACTTCTTATCAATCCTTTCAATGCAGCCCGACTTTGAGATCCAATTTGTTTCTATTTTGCTCGTTCAACTGAGCAACGTCACCAATTTCTAAGGCTGTGATACCAGGCGGGTCGAATGACAATGAAAGTGTTGTAGCTGCATGCACTTGATCTAATACATGCTTTAGCAAATCCTTCCAACCAGTTCAATATTTAATATATCGACTAAGGAATATGAAAGGTCATACACGAGAAGACCAGATTAGACCAAATCTGCTCACAGTTTGTGGCCAAGTTTGCAGAAAACTGAAAACACAATGCGAGCGCTGGTTCTATTTAGCGGAAAAGGCCAGCTCCAGCATGCTCCAGCAACGTGTGGATAGATTTTCAACGATTTTCAGATAGTCATCTGGAGGACCCACATTAAGTTGACCATGTTGACCATGTTGACCATGTTGACCATGTTGACCCCGACCGTCTCTCCTGAAACCGTTTCAGGGGAACGCATCGGAAAGTAGACTTTGGGTCTGAGTCGTCAATCTCACCTGGTAGGCGCTCGGTGCTTCTCGATGGGCAGATTGAAGGACCCGCATCCGAGCGCAAGAGCTTTTTTGGGCTTAGTCATAGTCTGCAAAACTTGATCTGATGATCGTTTCCCCAACATCTCTGGGAATCTGGTGTCATTCTGAAGTAAACATGCGCTTGGAATCATTTGAATGTGGGAACATGTGGGAACACTTTCAGGGACATATGGCATGAGCCGTTGGCTTGAGGTTCAGCTTCTAACGTGTGTTGCAAACCCGACAAGACTTGCAGTTTGAACCGGACAGAAAAACAGGAAGCAAACCGTCCATGTAGCTGTACTGTCTGTTGTAGCAAAACAATAAAATACCATATAATACTAAATAGTATATAAATACCATAAACATCTATAAACATAGCAACCTGTTTTTTTTTGGGTTTCTGAAACTTGCCATCTGGGTCCAGTGCTAAGCACTGAACGACCCTTCACAATGCGCCCGATTCACCTCGGCATTGGTGGGGCTGCACTGCTGCTCCTCGCGCTGTCACGGCGGCGAAAGCGGGGTGCGCTGCGGGGGCAAAGGGTGTTGGCAACTTGACCAGAGGAGTTGCCAGTTGACCCAGTCGATCCAGTTGATCCAGTCGATCCAGTTGATCCAGTTGATCCAGTTGATCTCTGGCAGTTGATCCAGGGTGTCCCATTTTTTAACAGTCCGTTAGTAAAGCCCATCCAGAAGCATCAGAACGTTCGCCGAGATCACGGGCGCCAGCCACGGTATTGGGCAAGCGCTGGCCTTGAAAGCTGCTGAGCTTGGTGCTGCTGAGCTCATCCTGGTGGCTCGACAGATAGGTTTGATGGGGGCTTTGATTAATGGTGAAGTGAATCAGCAAAAATGGTGGACTAATGAATGATGAATAGGTATTGAATGGCGAAATCATATGATATAATGTAATGTCAACATTAACAGTGTACAGTATGATATGACCAACTATATCCAATGCGGAATAATGTGGAAGATGATGGAATGCCACACTAAAATTGGGGCAGACAGAGGCAGATGATGAGTCAGATGGTTCGAACGATGAGAATGATGGCAGCTTGAGTTTTTTCTTTTTCGGGTGTTTTGAATCATGGATTTGGAAGTTTCATTCATCTGACTCGATTTTTATGTCCGATTGCGTGGAACATTTGGAGTCGCAGTCCGAAACCATGAATCTCATGGTCACAGCGAAAACTCAGGTGGACCTGGATTCCATGGACCTTGTGGCCAAAGAAGCGCAGACCATTGGAGCCAGTGCAGGCATGTTGTCGCAAAGGGATTCCGAAAAACATCCTGGGGCAAAGTAGTCGGTGCTCTTACTGAAAAAACAGTATTGATTCCTGGCTTGAGACCCCAGGACCCGGACGAAATGAAGCAGTCAGTTTTAAAACCTGATCAACGGTGCCTTTGAATGTAGGTGAGGCAGATGTTGATACCGGAGGTTGATAGTTCTTGCGTTCATTGCGAATTCAAGTCGGAAGACTGTTGGCAGGACAGGACTTGCGGGTTTCTACCTACAAGGTGGACGTGAGACTGGAGGCAAGGCATGGCAGTTCCGGGACATCCAGACATTGCAGTACTAGTAGGTCTAGTACAGCCTCAAGCTGTTGGCATGATCCGTCTCACCTTGCAATTCCACTTCAGCAGCTTCAGCATTGCAAACGGCTTTGTACCCAGATGTGCACCCTTTTGTTCGTTTGTTCACATCTTGGGGTATGAATTTCACAAGAACACAGAACACATAGTCTCTACTAAAGCTCTAGTAGAGCCTCTACTAAAGTTCCCACTAAAGTCTCTAGTCTTGGTATCCATTGCCCCGCCCTTTGCCAAAGTTTGCCTTTAGCATGAATCTTCAGCATCACGTATCTTCATCTCAGGATGCGGTGGCCTCCCTTTGTGCCAAAATCAGCATGCCGCACTCGCCGCAAGTGGTCCTACTTTCTGCAGGGGTCGTTGCAGGACAGCCCTTCCTGCCTGGGCCTGAGCAGCTCGGCAGGGGTCCTGCTTCCAGATGTTTCCAGATGCTTCCAGATGCTTCCAGTATATCAGGGACATTCACCAAGTGTCAGTGGTAGTAGCACTTATCCAGACTTATCCAGACTTATCCGCGATTGTTGGCTCTACCTGCTCTACCTATTTTCATGCGCAGCCAACTTCTGGAAGCCGCTCGGACCACCTGAGGCAGACTCTGTCTGCGAAGGACCTACGAAGGACCATGGAAACCAACTTTCTGGGCAGCGCCTTGACCAGTTGACACACGGTTCGTGTGGTTTGGGACGACTCGAGACGACATTCAGACATCATCCTGAAGCAACCTCGGGGCGCATCGTTCAAGTCAAACAGTACAGCAGAAAAATTGTAAGGTGCGTGGTTTGCCCAGCAGCTGTTGCCTGGAATGCTGCAGCAGCCTGGTGCACTTGTCTTCATCTCGTCGATGATGGGTGACCTAGCGGCATTTGAAAGTCCAAGGTTTAGCCTGGTGAAATTTGAGAGAAGTTCAATACTTGTACCATGTTCGTCCATGTTCACCATTGTTTACCACCACGTATTAGAGGATATCGAAGGTCTTCTTTTGGCGGAAAAATCGACACCAGAGGTTGCTTTCGTGATTGGTTGAGGCCACAATGCTCCAAAATGCATTGCATGTGCATGGGGCATCATGGGTTTGATTTCAACGCAGAGGCGTTCTGGGCAGCGCACGATTGTCTGACTATTGCGCCTCTAAGTGGGCGCTCTTGGGCTTCTCCGTTCCATGGCGAGGGCAGTTTGACGTTAGGCTGTTCTTTCATAGCGAAGGACTTGCAAAAAGCTTGGATGTTGGGCCCCTATTAAACATTATTAAACATTATTAAACATTATTAAACAATTATTTGGCACTTATTGGACATCCGGGCAAACATCATTCGGATCAAAATGGCTCGGGTCTGGGCGGGAGCTTAAGGAGTCTCTGCGCTTGGAGCTGCGAGCGAGACAGTGCGGACGTGTCGGCATCATGGCCGTTTGCCCCTACCTGGTCGACACGGAGCACTTTGGCAGAAACATATGTAGGGAATGTATAATAATATATAGATGATATAGATGATACAGATGATATAGATATAATATATATATAATCAATACAAAAATCCACAATAGATCCGTGGTCTGTCACATGGCTTTTTGATATGATCAAACCTATCCTCTGGAGCCTTTGCCTCATCATTCCCGGGCTACAGTCTAAACTGAGTCTAAACAATAGTAACATGTTTCTAGCAAAATGGCAATTCCTCCATTGCCAGCACAAGTGGATACACATCCATATCATTCCATATCTACATCTGTAAATCAATTAGAACATGCACACAGACACACCAGTTAGACATAGATGATATCAGATGATATCAGATATATCAATGGATTGGTTTAAGGGAAAATCTACAGGAAACCATCGATTTTCCCATTAAATATGGGGTTTTCCTGTAAATTTTCCCTTAAACCAATCCATTGAATATACAAGCAGTGTTCAATTTTCCATCGAGACTGAGGATGTTTCGCGGAGCCTTCGAGGGAGCAGATCGCTCCACTTGGTTCCGTCGATGTGTTGGATGGCTCAGGTGCGGCCAAAAATCACCGGAACGACTGTGGGAACATGACAAGGAATCACACACAATGGCGGACCTAAATGTGGTTAAGACCAACATATTAATATTGTATTGGTATGTATTGGTTATAGAGCAGATGTTGAGATCGGAATATGTTCTATGGTTGGATCGACGGGGCCGTAGATGGAAACACTGAGGTCGCTGGTCTTTTCGAAGCTCCACACAGAGGACGTGGCTGCAGCGATCTTGGCACAGCTGGATCACGACTTGAGCGAAGTACCGCCACAGTGTCGTGGTCAAAACATCCTGTGGAATTGCAAGAAATACTCAGTCAAACAACTGAGAAAACTGTCAAACAACGGGTTTAGCCGCATTGAATGCCCCATCTTTATGAGTAGCGACTTCAATTGATTACCCACTTGCATCCTTTGACTTCCTGCATAAAGAGATGCTAGGTTCAAGCGGTCTGTTATAACACACAAAGACATGTCGATTGCTTTCTGCCTTCGGAAAAAATGTAGTTTTCTTGCCATTGCAACCAGCCACACTGCACTTCCATGTGTTGTCAATGCTTGACATTTGTGTATACAAAGTAATTTATCGCTTATGTTTTATCCATATGTGAGTCAGATATCAGCATGGTTTTAGAATTGATCTCTAATATGCGTTCCGTCTTTCAGCATTTCAGTGCCATTTTCTGACCTTCCTCATCTTTTGATAGGTCATTCAATTATTCAATTGGAATACTGCTGATGATTTACGGCCGGTTCTTTGATGGCAAATTACCACCTTTCACAGAAATCTACGTTGAAAAAGAATGCACACCGTGCACACCGTGCACAACTAAAACTCTTTCAGTTTGGATCTTTCATTTTCAAATGAATTTCATATCATCATATCATCATATTATATCATCTGGATGTCTGGAGGAGTAGCAAACTTTTATTGCTATTCGATTTGTGTTTACCAGCCTGTAGTTTCGAGCTGAATGCCTCATTCAAACCAGGACAAACTCCAACTGTAAGTTTGTGCAATAAAGCAAACACATTTTTTTCCTCGTGTGCTTTTGGCTTACCATTAGCGATCGATAAATGCCAAGAAGGCATGTTCTGCACTTCATCATCGCACTCATGTCCAATATCATTCCAAACAATTTTGTCAATGGGACTCTGATTCGCTCAAATGTTTGAGTGCTGGAACAGTTGAAAGGTATATACGGAGGAAGCAGCTGAATGATATTTGAGCTGATCCATAAATCTAGATATAATATAGGGATTCCATTTTGTGATGCTTTGGATATTTAACTGTGAACAGTTTCGTCCAATTCTTATATACTTATTTTAGTGCATCAAGCAAGTTTGCCTTGAACTTGATGACTATAGTGCCTATGGGCCTTTGGCATCCCTTGGCATCCAAACCGAGGGATTGGTGAGTCACTGTCAGTCAGTGAGTCCAAGACAACGCTGAGCTCCAGGTTGTTTCTGCCCTGGCATGCTGGCTGGGTACCAGTGCTGTTGCGGAGCCTACCAGCGAGCCACTGGGTCTTCAAATGTTCACTGCGGAAGGAATGTGTTTTGGATTTTCAAACGTACATCATTCATGTCATGGATGAAAGCTGGTGAGATCGAATCTCTGCACCACGAGCACCGGGTGTGGGGAAATTCTTGGGCAGCGCATGTCCGACTTGATCTGAGTCGAATCTATTTCTTTCAAGGTCTCAGACAAGTTATACATATAGTCTCTGGCCAATCAGGCCAATCAGGCCAATCAGGCCAATCAGGTTACGTATTTCATGCAGGGTGTCAATCAGAGATGCAGGGTGTCAATCAGAGGTGCCTGAAGGTTCTTGTAGATACACCATGTTGCATAGCAAGACTTGAACTGGACATGTTTTTGCAACGACGCCTTTGTTGTCTGTGCTTGACTTTGACCGAAGGCTTGCAGTACATTCTCCTGGATCTTGGAGGTGGCTGTTTCGGAATGGACTCGTTCCAAGGAAGAGTGCCTTGCACAGTGCCCTCCAACTGATGCGGAAAAAAGCTTTGCTTCAGCTGAGATATGCTGCGATCAGGCTGTTGCAGGATGTATTAAAATTAAAATGCATTTACATTCATTAACATATATTATATTGTATTATATGTTAAATCATACTAGCATTTATTAAAGTGCATTACAAGGATCTCATTCTCGGAGATTGCGACGGAGTGTCACACATTCTGGCGATTCTGCTGTCAGGAAGCCCTGCTGAGCCGTGTGCAGGAGGTGTCCGGTATTCCGTATCGTGGAGAAAGTCATCCAAGTCTCTCTATAAGATATCTGATCGAATCTATGGATATATGAATATATTTTACATCTTATCCTTTTTGTATCTCTTTTTATTCAACGGAGCTGTTCACAATTCGACTTTCTGAGCTGAGCGTGGAACTTAACGTCCGCAGTGGGGCTCAAGTGACACTGTAGCGCTGTGAAGTTTCTCGCTATGGCCAACTCTGATACCATCAGCAGCAACAACGCCGACCTTGAAGGTGCAACAATTTTCTGGGCTTCCACTGGACCATAGAGGATAGAGTCGGATAGAGAGAAGATCGACTTAAACAGATAGATGAATATATATATATATATGTATATATAGATGCTAATATGGAATGATGAATGAACAGAGGAAAATCCATTCCGTTGGCACCCCAAGTTTCAGGTGGGCCTCGAAACCTGCTACTGGCCCCTGGGCACCTAGCTATTGATGAGGACCCGAGCTTCCCGTTCCAAAACTTGTGCTGATGTGTGACCACACTTTGATGACTATGTGAAACCAAGTTGAGAAATCTGGAAAATGGAAGAACTTGGTTGGATTTTGGACGTTGAATTGCTTTATCATACTTTATCATACTTCATCAATTTCCCATCACTGGCCATCACTTTTTCCGTCAGGATGAAGAGACGAGCCCAGGCAAGTCCTGGCCGGTCATGAAGGCGCATCGCGGGTACTGAGTCATGCGCTTCGTTATAGAAATGTATAGAATAGTAATACTGAAAGGAATCACATGTGACAATGATAGTAATGCAGTAGTGACTAGTTATAGGACTAATGGGTGATACTGTTGTGATCATACCACGATTGCAATTTTGGATTTTTTTTTATGTCTTTGGGAGCACATGCTGGGCCTTATCCACCCTCTCTTTTCATCCTCGGAATAGTCGCTTACGAAAAGACTGCCCTTTTGTGCTGCCACGGAATTGGAATCTAAACTGGACACATGGTTTTGGGATACTTCAGACATCTTCAGACAAGTTGCTGAGAGAGGGATACTGAATGATACTGAAGCTTGATCGGCTTGATCTTATGAGGTTGCCCCAAGGTGCTTTTCCGTATACATTGGGATAAGTTACTGCGAACATAGAAAAAAGCACTGTCGCATCAGTCGCAGCCGAGTGTTTGTGTGGTCAAGGCTGAAAACGAGGGCAACACGCGGCAACATTCACAATGCTTGAAATCAGTTATTTGCGTGCCTAGCCGGCCTAGCCTTGCAGCATTCTGAGATTCTCGATGATTCTCGAGTGTTTTCTGGCAGGTCGGTACTTTGGTCCTGATCTTGTTTGGGATAGTCGCCGCCTTTCTTTGTGCACATGTCTCATAGCTGCACTTGACATTGCCTTCCAACTTCATGTGAACACTGGCAGGCGCAAGAAATTGGCTGAAAAGATCTTTTCGGGAATCGAAGTAAATAATAACTTACGATAAACTATAATTTAAACTTAACTTATCGTAACTCTGTAAGTTTGGCCTTGCGAACCGAGGGCACCTATGTACACCATTGGAAGAGATCTCCAACTCACATGAAGGTGCGACCGCGGCTTCCGTGAAGGTGCTGAAACAGTTTGGTTTCAGACTCTGAGCTTCGGAGTCTTTTGCTCTTTTGATTTTCCTGGTTGATGAAACCTACCTACCACTTTCCTCGGCTTCAGATCTGAGGCAGTGGCCATCAACCACAAGTTGGAAGAAACCGCGAAGCACTTGCATCTAGATCTAGAGGTCCAGAGCCAAGAGAATTGCATGGTCAGTCCTGAACAGCGCCATGCCCAGAGTCATCTATGCTGTGGCCACGCAACACTTTAGTATCTTGTGTCATGGTCATCCCACCGATCATCCGTATGTCATGTGCGCATTGAAGAAGATCAACATAGATCAATCATACGCTATACTCTACAACCGCATATGCCGCATATGGGTAGCCAACTGGCGACACCAAAACCCGATCTGAGGCGAAGAGCAACAGTAGCAAGTCCAAGCATTCCAAGTTATCCAATCCGAGTCTGGCGCACCGCAACGCATCCCATGGATCCCATGGCTCCAAGAGCTCCAAGAGCTCCAAGTCAGATGATTGTCACACAGCAGAGCCTCATGAGCCTTGCTATCAAGCTGTGGCTGGGCTTCAGGATGCTGATGTTCGACCGAGTTGGAACATGATGAAAACATGATGAACATGTGTTGAGTTTACGAAATGTTGGACTGTCAGACTGACTCCTCTGTACCTAAAATGCTGCTTGCAGCAGCGGTGCCGCTGAGGTTCTCTGGCACAAGTGGGTTGGACTGGTTGAAAACCCGACCTGGTACAAAAACATCTCAAGGACTGGAGATACCACGAGTTTTTTTTCTATGTCTTCATGGTTTTGATATGGCCATTTGATGCCATTTCAGTGTTCGAAAGCCATAACAAGTCTTTCCCAGAACTGTCACTCGCCTTGGTGCATCATTCCAAGCCTCCAAGAACGACATTCGAACAGTCTAGCGGTACAATCACTGTAGAATGCCATTTTGAATGCAGAAAATCCATCAAAATCCATGAAAATCCTGCATATATTTTTTGAAAACATAATGACAAAGTATTTCTGGGATTGCAGGAACTTGAGGATCAATTGTCTTGGATCACAGCCACTGAGCCACTGACACAATCATACATGTGTACACATATTGCACTCGAAGAAACTATCTTTTTGCCTCCACCTGTGAAAGGTATATACTCCGTTATACTGTAAATTATACAACATGAATCTATATTTACCCTGCTTCGCCGAAGGGACTGCCCGCACTGCCACAAAATTGCCCTTTGGCAAAATACACAACGGTTATTTTTAAAAAAGAGGTGTTTTGGACACCTAAAACATGCAAATATGCGTGGTGTGCTTTGGGTTCAGCATGGATCCAATAAGTAAGGAAACTGTACCTATGAACTCTTCGCCAATTCATGACATGCCTTCGCCGCGGTTGTGGTGTCGCTGGATTTTGGAGGTTGTGTTATTTTGTACTGACATGGAATGTAAAGGTTATGTAGCCAATTTCATGACCACGCATCTTCCCCCCATCCATTTCATCAAATTTGTCACCGAACATGTCATCGAATTTCCTTTGAGGGTTCCTCCCCCCAACTCTTAAGCGCCGCTCTTTTGTGCTGAACAAGTAAAATGGCAAAGGGGCATTGGTGCGAGCGGCCCCCTTTTGTTTCCGTCACCTGCATAAGACTCTACAACAGAGCGCAGGGTTTTTCTACTGGACAACGCTCAGCTCTAACGAGTAGCGTGAAGAGAAAAAGAAAAATGCATCCTCTCTCATTCTACATGTATACATATTCATATAGTTTTATGTACTTATTTTAGCTTGTTGTTTTCCCAGGGAAGTGCGGGCAAACTAGACAGACGCACGAGTGTCTTGAACCAATAGTCTGAAATAAAACATCCGGGAGGCAAACCATATTGAATAGCTTTGCATGGCTAACGGTGTATCAGGTAGATAGATCAAAAAACGTCCGGCCAATGTGGAACAACAAGTCCTCGCCAAGATGCGCATCATTAAGCACAAGAACAACGGAAGAGGTCCCAAGGCTTAAAGTGTTCCAAGTTTGGTCACACTGAAAGTTGGCAAAGAACAGCAACGGGAAAACCAATTCCATCAATAGGTGTGTTCGCATGTCGTCCAAACACATACGTGCAGAGATGCCTGAGACTACTCAGAACATCTCTTTTTGGTCCCGTTTTCTAACTCGTCTTGCAAACATACTAATGATAAATATCTAACAATATTATATAATAGATACTGCAGCCGATCCGCCAATCCCTCCATGTAACCAATCAATGTCTTGAACAGACCCTTTTGGGCCCGACACTTGGTGACCTTGACTCTGCGGTTCCCATGTGCAGGGCATCCAATCGGCACGACATCCAGAAGTATTTGGCAGACACCAAGCTCCTTGGCGGTTCAGCACTGATGCTTCACTGATGCTTCACTGATGCTTCATTGATGCTTATTGGGGTTCAAGTGAACCGGGTTCAAGGTCCTTAAGGTCCTTAAGGTCCTTAAGGTCCTTAAGGTTGTAAGTTGCACGCCTTTGGACCTGCCCTGGTCTATACGAGTTTTTGGACTGAGGCAAGGCCATTGCAAGCGGCCTTGCTCAGAATCTTGGACGGTCTTGTCATGTCTTATCATGTTTTGTCATTTGAAGAGTCTCCACTTTTGTCCAAGTTTTGAGAAGACCAAATTTAGAGACGTGTCAGTGTTGCAGAATCTCGTTGAACCTCTGAACTGAGGGCGCATATCCTGTGCCGCATCCAACGAAAAATGCGAAAGGTCCCAAGGTGTACTGCTTTTCCGTGTCCCGGGGTGGAGCTGAGATGGCTGCTCGACCAGAATGGCCAAGTGATGCCAAGACACGTGCAAGACACCTGCAAGGCTGTTTATCCACATGCAGATGTTGGTAAGCTGCCTACTGAATCTACTGAGCTAGTCTTTCCTCTGTGGATCATTCGATTCAGGTCCAGATTAGGTGCAGGTCTTTTAAGCCTTGGAGACTCAAATCCCGCAGCGACAAGTCTTTGAGGACACCATGTTCTTGCAGAGACAAGTTGGAGGAGGCATCTTTGGTTGCGATGCGTTCCTAGGCATTTTGGATGGCAAAGGTTTATGTCTTGGGCTCTGCAGCGAATCCACAATGACCTTTCGAACACAGAATGTACCTACAACGCTCCTGTGAATAGGACCCTCCCATGAACTATGAAGGATCAGTCATGACTCATGACCAATCTTGACCAATCTGACTGTTGTCCCGAACTTTCAGTTTATCAGAGCACGTTTTGTACTGGTGGAAGCTGCTTGTAGCAAGCAGATGCCGCAACTTTTGGAGGGAACTGACTTGCCTGACTTGCCATCCTCGGAATCCTCCCAGGTTTGATGTTTTCAGCGATGAAGAGATTGACATCGAGGGATACAAGATGCTCAGCTGGCTCAGCCTGGTACCATCTGCAACCATCTCTTCCCCCTTCGTTTGTGCCAATCCCTGATTGATCCTCCATGAACACCCCTGCAGATTGGTGCCCTTAAGCCTTAGTCTTTTGTGTGAAATCATCACACATTTCGTTCATTTCGTTCATTTGGTTCACTTCGTTCATTTCATTCCACAGAGCGGACCCAGGACCAAAAAGATCCCCTCCACTGCATCGGGGGTCTCTGTGGATGGCACTGCGGCCAATTCTCAGGTTTTCCTAAAGACCGGCCACGGCGGCTGCAGTGGTTCAAAAAGTGTCGTTTTGGTGTTGTTTTGGTGTCGTTCCGGTGAAGCATTTCCCGCAGCGTACGCGAGGACTTGGATGGCCATTCTGAACAGCAATAGATGGTACCACTATGATTTCATCGCCAAGGTACCGTAGCCGTCGTAGCCGTCGTAGCCGTCGTAGCCGTCGTAGCCGTCGTAGCCGCACTGTAACCAGACCTAAGGTTTTTGAGCTCTTGGACTCTTGGACTCTTGGACTCTTGACTGGTTGACCTATCAGGTGGTACTCAATGTTTTGGATAGCAGGATTTTAAATGCGGTTAACCGGTTAACCGATCAGGTGGATCCTGATGCTATCCTTTATGCAGACCGTTTGCGCGGACATCTTCAGTGGCATATTGGGCAGTTTCTCGCCAAAGAAGCCCACTGACATATCGTACATTTCTCCGTGGCTGCCATAAGTTGACAAAATGGTTGCATGACACAACAAGAGATACAAGAGTCTGTTATGTTATGTCTGTTTTGTAGATTATTTGGAGATCAATCTTGATCCAATGAATTTAACATTTGAAGATGTTTGAAGGAATGTATTCTTCCTGAACTGCGCCAAATACATCCCGGCCACCATGTATGGAGCCTTGGAGGCCGTCTCTGCACATCCCGAGATTTTGTTTTGCTTTTCATAGGTGTAGAGATGGTGAATGATGTTGCGCCATCCAGGGTCCCAATGCAGGTCTTTTCCAAAGCTGCGCTTGGATCTTACCTCTCCCAGCATCAGAGATGCGAAAGCAGCCTTCCTTTCTGGTCCTGGGGAGAAGACAGGCGCTTGGTGGGAAGCCTTGTGGAATGAAAGTTGGCTCAACATTTGGTCAGGTGCCTTATTCAATCTTATTCATATTTATTCATCCCATTGGGCTCCTGATTTTTTTCGGGTCAGGCGGTCAGTCATCTTGTCAAGTCTTGAGCCATTCATTTCTTGCAGAGGTATATGGCAGGTTGTCTCGAGATGCTGGGAGTGACTTGGCCAAATTGACCAAAGCCGGTACTTGCAGCGGGTTGACCATTGGATTTGCCGATCATTGGTCCACTGACAAGACATATGTCATATTTGTGCCAGAACTCAACACCAAGTCTTGGCCACTACTGGCCAAATGTATCAGTCTGAGGTGAAAACTCAGCCTGACTACATGAATTTCCTGCACGATGAACGATGCTGGGGAGTGGATTGCGGAAACAAGGCAGCCGTCGCATTCCATTCGCTTCTTGGCTCAGTATGCTGCACAGCACGAAGACATTTCAGACATTGTGCGTTGAATGTGTTTGACACGTCCTTACTAAGTGCCTACAAGTCAAAAAACCGGACCCATAATCCTCCTTGGAACTTCCCGCAAAGAATGGGGTAACCCGGGTTGTCCCCTCAAATGCCTTTTTAATGGAAAATCAACAGTTTTCGGTTCGGGAGGAAGCCAGTCCATGCAATTTTGGATTGTTTGGGATGTCTTGGAATTTGGTTTATTTTGGTTGCCTGGGTAGTGAGTTTTTGGAGACCTCAAAGCCTGGTGTCTTGACCCAGAGGTTCAAGCAGGTGAACCACTGGTTCCGCTGCTATGACTCCTCCAAATAGACCTCGGCGTTCAAGACGCCGGAAACCGTGATCAGATACACCAGATTCATGCACTGGTGTTGCAAAATATGGCACAATATTGCAAACCTATATATCAGTTTTTGATAGTTTTTGAGAGTTTTCATACTTTACTGTTTAGCGAAGTAATGAGTAGTTGTTTCGTTTCGGCATGTTTCAAATGTCCCAAAAGGTGGCCGAAAGGTGGCCAAAAACAATTGAGAAACATCGAAACAGTTAGTGACTTGAGAATTACGCTTGGAGACTGCGCCAGTCGTGAAGACTTTGGTCGCACTTAGTGCATTGACCGCGCTCTGAATCTTCAGGTCGACTCCAATGTAACATGAATTAACATGAATTAACATGAATTAACATGATCATGTGAGAATCATGTGGGCACCGTTGGGCACAGTTCTTCGAAATCTTGCTGCAAGTTGGAGTCATTGGAGTCGCTTTGGTTGAACCCATTCTCGGGAACTGATCCTGGCACAAGGAAACCAGCAGCACATCAACAAATTTCTGCATATTAGATTGCACGCAGACATCTGGCTCGGCTTTCCAAACAACTCCGATGGTTGCAAACTGCAATGTTTCTCGGGATTGCTATAATGTCAACCCCGGATTAATAAACCATGGTTTATTAATTAGGGGGGTACTCCCCAAATAGTCATAATCTGATACTTAAATGGTATCCCCCCAATTAAACAACCTAGGGGTTTATTAATCCAGGGTTGACATTACTTCTGAATCAACTGAGCTCGGGTAAAAGCTCTGCTATACCGCGGTGCACCAGTATTGCCAGTTTTTGGTATATCCTGGTGCACTTGATTTGATCCATTCATCATGGGAATCATGGGGGCCTTGTTGGTGTTGGGATGTGTTGCATCGATGGTCACCGAAACTTGCAACGAGTTGGAGCCGACGAAACTCGCAGGTCTCGGCACCCCGCAGCCAAAGGTGCTCTTTGGGGTGATAGTTTGGAATCTGGCTCCCCCAAAAAAATGAAAGATATATTTGAGAGATGGTCATAGATTCTCATAGATAATCATAGATGATCAATGTTGGATGTTGGAGAGGGTTCTGCCAGATTCCAAGCTCAGCAGGCTTTGAGTTTAGATTCCAAGCTGTTTAGATACACTTTCGCCGGAGCCACTGATGGGCGCTTTGCCCATTGCACACATTGCGCAGATTGGAAAAGGCATTCAGGATTGGAGCGGTGCCAACATGTGCAAAGAGAATGATATTTGCAGCATCACATTGCCTTACGTATGTATAATATACTATACTATAATATAATATAATATAATGTAATATAATGTAATATGATATAATATAATATAGTATAATATAATATAACATAACATAACATAATATAAGATAATATAATATAATATAATATAATATAATATAATAATATATATATATATATATAACATGATATAATGTAGTGCACTACATCTATACTGTCTATACATATCATATCCATTTATCATGAATCAATTGGATTTTCATTTGCAGCATCATGCAGCATCTATCATCTCAGCCCCAACGATGGCAGGCTGATGTCTCCGACCAGCTGGCCCTTGTAGAAGGCCAGTCCAACTGGGTACTGTGCGGGGCAATGGGGGTGGGATGAGTCAGTGTAGGTTCGTTGTGTCGAGGTTTATGTAAGGTATATATATATATATTAAAAATCACGGTCTACCATGGTTCATCAATGTTCATCATATTTATGATAAGGCGAATCAGCCTGGTTTTCACAATCTGCACTCAGGACCTCCAAACCTTCGACCTCAACCTGGGGTCGGACAGTCAGACCTGGAAGTGAGACATTGGGTGGCGAAAAGATTTGCAAGTTGGATTTTAGGAGATCCAGTTGGACAGTTGAATCATCCATCTCATTTTTCTTATCATTTGACCTCATTTAATCGCTTGGATTTTCTTCACTTTTTCCTTTCACCAAATATCCAGCCCAGCTGTCACTTCATATTTGCCTGGCCAGGTGCCGGGTCACATTCGTAGCTGGGTGGAGGCACCGAGATCACCGAGCAACGCCGACGGGTTCAGTGGATACATTTTCCATACCTTCGATACCAGTAGCATTTACGACCTTCATGACCTTCACAACGTTCACGATCAGGACATACACTGACAATATGGACCAATCTAACTGATACAGTTGCCTCGATATTGGACAAATACCCTCTGAAGCTTGCGAAGATCCTACGTAACAAGTACCATCATTTATCACTTTTGAACCACAGCAAAAACAGCCATTTCTGGTGTTTGAACAAACACTCCCATTTTGACCCATTTGGGGCATTTTTGCATTCCATGATGCGTCCCCTGTCGTCCGATCCCCTGGCCCAAGCCATGCAGGGTCTCACTGCCACTCATGTGGTGTGTGCGGGCGGCTTCGACGACGCAGTACGCCAGGTGGGACTCTGAAGAAGGGAAGACGACTTGAAGACGACTGGAAGACGAGTGGATGCATCCACAAGCATGGCATAGAATGGCATAGCATGGCTTTTGGCTGTACAGCTATACTGGCTATATTTTTATGTAACGAAGTTGTGCGCACCCTATGGAACGTGAACAAAATGGATCAACATGGCCAAGCTAAAACGATTGATCAAAAGTGGCCATGCGTTGGACCCCTTGGACCCACGCGCGAGGCCTTTGCAGACGAGTTGAGGGCCGCCTGCTCAGCATGCATCATAAACAACCACATGTGGCCTGTCATAAGGTGTTTTTTCCATGTAAAGATCGGTTTGGTGAACTTTTTTTTTTGGAATTGAAGATGAACTGTGATGAATCATGATGTTATCATCTGATGAAGTCTCAAGTTTTCTCCATCAATCTCCAGTGATCCTGAGGTCCGGAAAGGTACATCTTCCAGGCGCTGGGATCACGACAGTACCCAGGGAAATTGAAAGATGTCGCCCAAAATAAGATGGACATTTATAGATTATTAATGTCTATTATCATTTGTAGATTGATAGTTATGCTAAGAATTTTACTAATCTATAATCTATTATAATCTATTATAATCTATATAATCTATAGAAATGCGAGAGCCAATTTTGAGACCCATCTTAGGTGAGTTCTGGCACGATGTCTTGCAAGGAAGCGGCACTTCATCCTTGCAGCCTGCTTTGCTTGCGAGGTGCGCGACAATGCTTCAGTGGGACCAGTAGGATTCTATCACCAATTGGGTCGAGATTTCGACGATTTATCCTATCAGCCTATCAACTCATGGACGATGGAATCAAATCATATCAAATCTAGATCATTATCCAGTGACTTACATGATATTTATCCATATTTTACCTATTTTGGGCAGTAATATGTAGTAATGATAGCATCTGAATATGAATTGTCCAGCTTCGGGTGATCTAAATCGACATCATCCCCTCCTGATCTGCCAGGGTAACGCACGTCTCTCTGGTCCTTTGAGCTGCGTACGCTGGCCCAGTGGGAGGGACGTTGACACCAAGGCTGATTCGACTTATTGTTGCCATCTATCAGCACTATGACCAGCATCACCAATCACCACCCTGTTGTGGCAGAGGAGTGACTAGCCGACTAGCCTGTGAGAGCTTACCCGTCATGATCCAACAATCCAACCCCGGTTCTTGCAGATCTTGAGAGACAGAGATGCTTGGCAGCTTGGCAGCTTGGCAGTTGAAACCGGTCGCAAGGCTCAAGGCAGATTTTTCCACATTCCTGACCTCCAGTCACAGCCGCCACCTTGATGGGGGACGATGGGGATCGGGACCTGCGGACTATGGATCCAAGGTGAACATAAGCAAAGCACTCCAGGGCATCCCGGAAACCAATCTTGGGAACTTGGAGCTGGATGAAAGCTCATGTTTTCATACACTTTATGTGAATCCGTACCATCCAATCATAGACATCGTAGTATATCGTAGTAGTATGTTGCAGCCACACCTCCAACTTGTTCGAGCATCGCTCCAGCTGTGAGGCGCAGTGTCTTGGGCATCAACCTGCGACGGAAGGAGCTAGAAGACGCCTTGCAAAGTTTCAAGGCATGGGACATGGTGGATATGGTGGATATCTGTGGATATGGGATATTCATGGATTTTCAATTGGCAGCGGTTGTGGATGGTTACGGTTCACAACCCATCCAAACATCGGGGTAGGTGAACAACGAACAAACATAACAAATGAACCTGTTTGGCTCTTCAGACAGAGTCTCAGAGGGCCAAGTTTTGACCCCAGCTCGCATGGGGATGCATCCATCGAATAATCAGTTCTGACCCAGGAGAAGAGGACAAAAGAGGACATTATTTGTTAAAGAATGGGTTTGGGACCATCCGATAGGAGGAACATTTTGTGAGACATACAACTCATACAACCAACGATATGCGAGGGTTTTGTAAATCTCCCCACGAATCACCAATCGCTGGTTCTTGTGGTTCGGTGTGCCGGGAACTTCGTGGCATTTGTGGCTCCCAGCTTGATCTAACTATTTTTCGACTGGAGTGGCTTGGCAGCGCCAGCGTGTTGCTGCATGTGGATGAGTCTGAAAGCTCCAGTGAAATTTTGTGGTGAAACATCAGAAGATACCTCAAGTCTACCTTTGCCATTCTGTTTTTGCAGGCACAATCTTCCCAAAGGAATTAGTGAATCATCCCCAAAACATACCAACGCCACTTGGGGCGCCTGGAGTGAAGCGACTGCAGCACTTCTCTGAGGTCTCCCATGCCCAAAGTTGGTGTGGGACTGCCGCTGGCACTGGTGATCGTTGTGCCTCGGCTTCCAATGTATCTTACGATGAATGGATGTAGGGGAACAATATACGGTGCATGCGAGGCTGTCTTTGCAAGGGGATGTTTCATTATTCTCGGGGCCTAGGGAATTTATCGATTGTCCAACTCTCCAATCTCTGTCTTCCAGAAAAGACATGTCCGATTTGGAGGCATTTGGCTCAATTTGGCTGTGTAGCTTTGCTGTGCGACCCTCGCAGACTCCTTCTTTGCTCAGCTCATGTCGGAGTGGGACGGAAGGGATGGGGCGGAGAAGCTGGCGCCACCCCGTCCGTCCTTGGAAGAGATCTTGCGACTGGCAGATGCTTGGCTTGAACGATAAGGCAATAGCAGATGCTTCCAATGGAGTGTTAGCATTTGGGTGGTTTTCAGTTCAAGGTGTGAAGTTCATCAATAGCAAGCAGGTCAGTGTGTAGACACTTTGATACATTTTGGCTGTTTGCTGCTATATTTGGATCTATAAGATCCTCATCGTTATTCGATATGAGCAGAGTGGATCAACGTGAAGACACTGTGACACAAAAATCACCGAAGGTAGTTGACCCGGTGCCAGGATCGTCCTGAAGCAGTTGAAAGTCGTCTCCGTTTGCTGCAAAAGCAACGTGATCGTTTTCAAAAGCTGTTGAGAGGACTGGCTGGAGTGGCTGCTTCTACTTTCGATCTGATAGAGGACTGTTACATTGGAGGGTCATTTGGACGTGGCACGGCTCTGAACTACCACTTTGATGCTGATCTCGTGGTTCTCATTGAAGGGTTCGAACCTCGTTATGCCGAGCAAATCCAAGAAATATTATTGGATGCCCTCGAAGGTAACTTTCGCCGTGGTGTTGAGTGGAGAGGTCAAACTCCCTATACCTTGAAGCTCGGTGTGGGGAAGTCAGCCAGCGGGGACTTTGCCACTGTGGATATGATCACCACTGGAGAGCCACCAGATTATCACATGGATTATGACGAGAAGAGGTCGGGTGTTTGAAATTAACTCCTGTCAAGAACCTGTGAAAGGCACGCAGCACAGTTCTATATTGATTGCAAGATGGTTGACCAAAGCTGAAATGGCAACTTCGTAGAACCCGAGACCAGGTACTACTCTGGTGCAGATTCATCGCGTGTGGATGAACAGATCATGAACTTTGCTGTGAAGCATCGAGAGTTCCGTCCCCTGGTGCTGCTGGTGAAGCACTGGAGAAATCTGGGGCTTGACAGATTTCCAGCTGACATCAGAAGCATCACATCATACCATCTGGAACTTCTTTGCATGAAGGTGATTCGAGAGAGTGAGTCCAAGAGCCTACGAGACCTTTTCCGGGAGTTTTTGGAATTGGTGGCTTGTAGCAATAACAGACTCCTGGTCAAGAACCTGAACCAGTACCATGGTGCCCTTCAAATGAAAGGCAAAGGCAACTTGGATGAAATCGGGTGGTTCTTGGTGAAACCAGCTGGAAGGAGGTTGAACTGTTTTCTTGACGTGTTCCATTTTGATCGACCTCTCAGATGAGAGATCCGATAGAACACAACACCTTTTCAGAACAAATGAGACAGTTAGACTTCGAGCAGAGAGACTCTTCATGGATAAACTTCCACTTCATGTAGATCTCAATGATTGTGAAACCAAAAAGTCGACACCGCAAACACACTGAGGCATGAATATCCTGGCAGCTTATGCAAACGAGACCTTGAACATGTACCACAGGCAATGAGTGGGAGGTTGTTTGGTTCGCAACATCCGATGTTATCAGATTTGCAAGTAAGACTCAGGGATTTGAACCTTTGAAGATCGCAGTGCTGAATCTTCCATCTAAGTTTCTTTAAAAAGCATCGTGAACAGCATGCAGCCGAGGGATGTGACAGGACATTTAGCAGCATTTGCCCTCGGTTGAAAACTGTTTTCAGTTGTAGGCGTATTCTGATGTCAGATAGCTTTGCTGCGCGACCCTCGCAGACCCCACGCTCAGCTCATGTCGGAGTGGGACGGAAGGGATGGGGCGGAGAAGCTGGCGCCACCCCGTCCGTCCTTGGAAGAGATCTTGCGACTGGCAGATGCTTGGCTTGAACGATAAGGCAATAGCAGATGCTTCCAATGGAGTGTTAGCATTTGGGTGGTTTTCAGTTCAAGGTGTGAAGTTCATCAATAGCAAGCAGGTCAGTGTGTAGACACTTTGATACATTTTGGCTGTTTGCTGCTATATTTGGATCTATAAGATCCTCATCGTTATTCGATATGAGCAGAGTGGATCAACGTGAAGACACTGTGACACAAAAATCACCGAAGGTAGTTGACCTGGTGCCAGGATCGTCCTGAAGCAGTTGAAAGTCGTCTCCGTTTGCTGCAAAAGCAACGTGATCGTTTTCAAAAGCTGTTGAGAGGAGTGGCTGGAGTGGCTGCTTCTACTTTCGATCTGATAGAGGACTGTTACATTGGAGGGTCATTTGGACGTGGCACGGCTCTGAACTACCACTTTGATGCTGATCTCGTGGTTCTCATTGAAGGGTTCGAACCTCGTTATGCCGAGCAAATCCAAGAAATATTATTGGATGCCCTCGAAGGTAACTTTCGCCGTGGTGTTGAGTGGAGAGGTCAAACTCCCTATACCTTGAAGCTCGGTGTGGGGAAGTCAGCCAGCGGGGACTTTGCCACTGTGGATATGATCACCACTGGAGAGCCACCAGATTATCACATGGATTATGACGAGAAGAGGTCGGGTGTTTGAAATTAACTCCTGTCAAGAACCTGTGAAAGCCACGCAGCACAGTTCTATATTGATTGCAAGATGGTTGACCAAAGCTGAAATGGCAACTTCGTAGAACCCGAGACCAGGTACTACTCTGGTGCAGATTCATCGCGTGTGGATGAACAGATCATGAACTTTGCTGTGAAGCATCGAGAGTTCCGTCCCCTGGTGCTGCTGGTGAAGCACTGGAGAAATCTGGGGCTTGACAGATTTCCAGCTGACATCAGAATAAGCATCACATCATACCATCTGGAACTTCTTTGCATGAAGGTGATTCGAGAGAGTGAGTCCAAGAGCCTACGAGACCTTTTCCGGGAGTTTTTGGAATTGGTGGCTTGTAGCAATAACAGACTCCTGGTCAAGAACCTGAACCAGTACCATGGTGCCCTTCAAATGAAAGGCAAAGGCAACTTGGATGAAATCGGGTGGTTCTTGGTGAAACCAGCTGGAAGGAGGTTGAACTGTTTTCTTGACGTGTTCCATTTTGATCGACCTCTCAGATGAGAGATCCGATAGAACACAACAATACGCAACACCTTTTCAGAACAAAGGAGACAGTTAGACTTCGAGCAGAGAGACTCTTCATGGATAAACTTCCACTTCATGTAGATCTCAATGATTGTGAAACCAAAAAGTCGACACCGCAAACACACTGAGGCATGAATATCCTGGCAGCTTATGCAAACGAGACCTTGAACGTGTACCACAGGCAATGAGTGGGAGGTTGTTTGGTTCGCAACATCCGATGTTATCAGATTTGCAAGTAAGACTCAGGGATTTGAACCTTTGAAGATCGCAGTGCTGAATCTTCCATCTAAGTTTCTTCAAAAAACATTGTGAACAGCATGCAGCCGAGGGCGTTTCCATTTTGTGTGACAGATGTGACAGGACATTTAGCAGCATTTGCCCTCGGTTGAAAACTGTTTTCAGTTGTAGGCTTATTCTGATGTCAGTAATGCAATCGTAAGTCCATACGCATAGAACATCATAGAGCCACAACTGCTCGCTCTATTGATTTGGTGCAGTGAGATGATGTCAATATATCCAGCTTTAAGCTGCGCTAGGCACATCCGTCCTGGCAACACGGCTGCATGCCCTTGCTGTGGAGAGCGTCGTTTCCTTAGTGCCATCGGAGCAGTGGCACATCTGGAGTCAGGGAACTGTTCGAGACTGGGACAGTGGAATTTGCAATACTTTGCCTCATATCACTCGGGCATTTCCCCAAAAATCCACCCCAATATGCCCCAATTCATTGGTTTTCGTGCTCAAACATTTTTTTGGTTTCCAATTTAGCCGCCGGAATACCACCAATTCTTTTCCAGTCTTTGGCCAAGGAACTGCCGCGGGCAAGAGAAAGCTCAGCGCCAGATCTTGAATGTCGTGAGCCAGCACAAGCAAACGCAGAAATTTCTGCGGCCGATGCTTACAGATGGATATGGAAATGCTTATGGAGACAGCAATCCTTATCAATGCACCTCCTGTGACAGGACATTTGCGAAATTGAGCAGCCTGATGGCACACAGACAGGACAGGCACGGGCAGGTCTTGCGCGCTCTCGCATTCTGAGCATTCTGAGCAACCGTGCCCTCGACTTCCCATGACGCCTGGTGCCGGTTCAGCATTTGAAAGCTTTGATGAACACTTTGAAGCCGAATCAGTGAAGCGTCAATGTGGTCAATGCAAGCTGACTGCCCTTCACCTCAACACATTTCTAACTTTTTCAGCTTAGTTCCTTAGGTGTCTTAGTTTCATTTAGCTTTAGCATCCTTAGCTTTGCTAGTCGCCTTAGCCTGGCTGGTCATTCTCAAGGAAGGCCTGCTGAATCTAGCTGATCTTAGAGCAGAGCCAACCTGTTGGCACATAGAGCCCAGAAGATTGAGATGTTGCGAAACGACTGCGATGGCATTGATTGTGGGTTTGAAAAAACCTCCAATTGATTTGAACCACAGGCATCTGTAGCAAACTGTTCCATCTAGCTGTTTCGAACCTGTTCTGCGACATATCTGGTTTCTCTATCAAGGCACCTCTACAACCTTTCAAATTGGTCTTTTCTGTACTAATGCATCGAGCATCGAAGAGATTGACTTAAGGAGCCACAAGCGGATTGGGACAATCCATGTTTTTCCTAGCAGATGGGAATGTTCAACTGTGGAACGAGGACAGGACATGAATCAAATCCGATGAATAGCCTTCAGTTCTCATGATACGTGGTCTCAAATTAACTTGTTTCAACTCTGCTCAGGTGCTACTGCTACTTTTATTGGTGCAGCGTGTGAGCATCTCAGACGTTCCATTGATTTCTGTAAGCGAAACAAGAACGATTGACATCTATGCGAAGAACTTGTATTGCTTGTATGTCACCCTTTCCAATTGGGCTTATGATGTTACCCATGATATTGGGGGCTTTATCATGCCTTATCAATATCATGATATCATGATGATATCCAGAAGACATCCATGAGGTGTGGGCACTACAGCGAGCGTGCGCTGAGTTGGCCCTGGCCCTGGAGGTTTTTGCAAAGGCCCAGCGATGATGGGAAGCCCCGTTACGTCCCATTTTCCCTTTTCTATGTTTTTTTTTGTATCAGTTTTTTGTGGCAAGATCTGAGATTGTGCAAGACTTTTTTTGGCCCCTGACATCGTAGCTGCTTGGCTGATGTTGCCCAAATGTTTTGGGGCACTGTTTGACGTTTTTTTTTCATGGTTTTTAGGCATATGTGATGTCAGCTTCAGGTCAACTGACGTTCTGAATCTCGATTTTGCTGCATTTCAGAGAGATTATTCCAGCATCATCAACTTTTATCAACTTTTCTATTTATTGGAAGAAATTGCCGATACTTTGACAGGTCTTGGAGCAGCGCACCATGTTTGCTCCCCTCGCAGCAGGAGGCCGGCGGTCCTCACTATACATTGCAGCAACTTCTGCTACTCCTCCTCCGACGACGACGATGATGATGATGATGATCATCATCATCATCTTCATCATCATCATCATCATCATCATCATCACATCCAAGATGCGTCCTATTGCGCACACACACTATATACATTTATTATAGACTGCATATACATATTATCATGTATGGATTCTAGTGCAAGCTGTTTGCTTTGTCAGCATATCGATCCTTGGTCAGGGCCAGAAAGCTTGGCTCACCTACCAACACCTACCCCTGCTGTGAGCTCTGGCAAGTCCTTGGAGGACCTGGGAGTTTCTGGCAGAAGGGCACCCAAACACTTGCTCTGCCTCATGGAACGGGTGATTTCAATGGCCATTGTTAACCCTAAATTCATAGGTTTTAAATTAGACTATACCCCCAGCAATTCCCAATATCTCAAGCTGCACCCCTACATATCTCTACTGGCTTGTACCTACCTTACTCTACCTTTCTTGGTGCCAATATTTTCAAATTCTTGGCACCTCAAGTTCTCAGGATCTGCGTTTGACCTTCACGCCCAGCTTGAAGGCAGAGCTGCGGTGTCAAAATTTTGAGGATTTCCTGACATGAAGGATGGAAAAGGATAGAAAAGGGATGTCCATTTGGCCAAAATTTGATAGCTCCGTCTTTGAGATTCATACAGGAAACTGGTGGAGTGAAGCGTAATCCCAAGTTCACGATGAGCTGGCAACAGCACCAGGCCTATTCATCGACCTTGGGTCTTGGAGGCCACGTGTGCGCAAAAATAATTTCACCTGAACACTGATTGCGCAGTTACAACACATTTTTCATTGTTCCCTTGGAACAACACACCACCATTGCATGAAGAAACAGCTCACGATCAAAAAAAAATCATCAGTGGCACGCTTGGCAGGGTTAAGAGGTTGATCAAACGGCTAGGTGATAGAAGCTCCAATCCCTTGACCTATGGCTATAGCAGCTCTGACAGCTTTGGTTATGACCGTGACTATGAACCTCGGCATGTGGTTGGGATTGCTTGAGGCTTTGAATTGTGCTTCTTTGATCTTCTTTGAACGTGTCCAAAAGCAAGACTTGGCTTGCACTTCTTTGCATCATATCTAGGTTATGTGAGCCTTAATTTCACAAATTTTTGTCGAGCATGTGTGAACTTGTCCCAATCGCTTTCAGACTGTCAAGAATCTAACTTTTCCAACTCATGTCGCTCTTGCAACTGAGGACTACAGTTATGGTTACGACGGCCTAAGCTACGATAGCTACGACACTTTTGGCAGCTATAGGAAGGTCAGGGAACACTTAACTCGTGGGGAGGTTCGGTTTGCATCAAAGATGATCAACTCAAAAGTCACATTTGAAAAGATCAGTGTCATTAGAGAATCATTAGAGATTAACCTGACTAAACGACATTAAAGGACTGGTGATATCTGGTTATCCCGTATCAAACGACTCCTTTGAGATTGGGAGGCGGAGCACCGACGCCGCTTGAGTGCGGGGATGCCCAGGGGAGAAAAAATCCACCAGTGGACGAATACTCAGCAAAACATGGGAATTACATGGAATTACATGGAATTACATGGAATTAACTGTATATAACTGTATATAACTGTATATAACTGTATATAACTGTATATTAATATAGCTGTATTACATCTATTTTACCATCTTTAATTAATTGTATATAACTCTATAATTATGGATAAAATCACACATATATATATATATAAGTCATCAAAAAGCGGAGTGACCAGCCATTTTACAAGATTTTGGCCGATGCTTGGTTGCTCTGGTCCACCAACATTTGTTGATCACAGCAACCACGACAGCTTCTCAGGATGGTTTCCGACGCAACACTCGCTTCCACGAGGACTCAGGTGAGTGTCATTGCAGTCACATCATTTTGCATATTTTGCATATTTTGCATGTTGGAGTGGATGATTTTACACTCCAGACTGTCCAGACTGCCTGGGAGGCCTTGGTGATTGGTACACTTCCAGCCTCTTGGCGGCTGCTAACGTTTCTCAAGCTTGGTTCACCTATCACCGCGTTTAAACGCCCGTTTAAACGCAAATGGTCGTTTCCCAAAAGTCCAGAATCGCAAAATCTCCGGAATGTGGGTCGTTTCCATTCGCCCAAGCCCAAGGCCTGGAGACTCGCCTAAGCTGGAAGCCCGAGGGAATTTTGACCTCGATTCCTCCCATTTTTGTCACCTCTAGAGGCGATTTGGATGATCGGTGGAGTCAATGGACCGCCTGGGATGGTTGGCCTGGGAGCTTACACCTGGGGTCACTGATGGTTACTGATGGTTGGTGGATGTTGCTGGATGTTACTGTTTTCAACCCAAACCGGTGGACTGATTTTTCATTTCTCATATTTCTTTTGACACAGATGTTTTGGACATTTTTTGGACTTGTTTTTTTTTGGTGTTTTTGGATGTTTCCTGTAGAAATCATGTTAGAAATCCATGGTGTTGGATGATTTGGAGCCCAGGTCACCCAGATCGTCCCGGTCCCGGAGCGAGCTGCTCCGCCTGGCGGCCAATCGAAGCAAGGCCTTCGAGGCGACACGACAGGTGAATCTGGAAAGAACAGGATGAACTCATGAAAACGATGAACAAAATGAACAAATAATATAACTATGTATATATATATATGTATATATATATATGAACAAATATATATATATATATATAACATAGACAGAATATAAAATGAATATAATATGATAATATATGAACAAATAATGCATATGAACAGCATAATTTTGAAGTTACGTCCAGTAATCAGTTATGATCTCGCTTTTATGAACCACATTTTGCGTGGGTGTGCAATATTGAATGCAGTGATGAAGCTGACTCGCCGAACCATTTTGCCCACCCTACAATCTGCATGCTATCTGTTCTATTTGTTCACTTAGTGACATTTCTTGAGACAGTGGATGGTTCTCTCTCTCTGTTGGATCAGGAGGCACTCTCTTCAATCCCATCTTCACCTCCTTTTGTGGGAGGCAGTCAGAGACTTGGCATCTTACCGCCTTTCATCATCCTTTCATCACACAGATCTGTGCAGTTTCATCCCAGGTGAGCCTTCCCAGAAGCCGTTCAGGACTCTAAAACGAACAGGTGAAGCCCTTGACACATCACAAGATCAAGTAGGATCAACGAGGGAACTCTGATATCCATTGATATCCAGATTTCTTAAACACTAGCACCCAAGGCTCAAGGCTCATAAATGCACAAGATGTGAAACCATATAGTTTTGGAATGTTTTGGACATCTTGCAAGGATCCCGAGAATCCTTCACCAGACCTGGAAGACTGACCAGGCACATGCCAATTGGTCATAGAAAAAAGACACGTTGTGAAGTCAGACGTTTTGTGGTCATTGATTCGGTATGATTAGTTTGTGCCACAGGTGCCGGCGAAGTTTGCTCATCACTTGCAGTCCTGGCGAAGATTGCATCCAGGCTGCTGGATCTGATGAAAGTTGGACGTTATCAGGACATGATTGATTCCAATGATTGATGCTCATGAGGAGTTATGCAGCTTCTCGATTTTGCAGTTTTTTGCATTGGATTCTCCGCATTTCCGCTTTGGTGAAGATTGGCACTTCGAATTCTGGGACGATCACTCAAGTATGGATCCTGAGAAGCGGCCCAGTGGTGCTCCGCGTGTTGTGGACCATGGCCTTGCTTCTTTTGGTATAATTTTGTAACAGGAAATCCTAAGGACTCTGCAGATTCCCACCCAACATTTTTGGGAACTTTCGCACCCATTTGCTGCACATTCCAAGGTCGAGAACTGATGGCAGAGAAGTTCGGAATCCAAGTGATGTGGGGAATATTTCAAGTTAGGTTCGCTGGCTCCTGTGACTGGATTGCAACTTAATTCATCTTAATTCTACCTCCAAGACCAGCAAAGCACTTGTAAGATCTTGTAAATTCAATGTTTACCCACATTTGATGGAGCTCACAACCTTTACCATGTGGAAGGCCAGCAACACTGCCAAACCCAAGGTACCCAAAACACCTGCGGCAATACGACCGAATGCGCGGATGCCCAATCGCGGGAGCTAAATTGAACCAGTTGGACCTGCTGAAAAGATTGGAGAAGAATCTCCACAGGACACGTGTCGACATCAGTTCACATCAGTTCACAATGCGCTTGGGATCTTTTGCATCTAGGAAGTACGTCCTATATGAACAGAAGATTCAGATCTTTGGCGGAATTTTTTTATCAAGATCCTTGAGGCGTCCAATGAGTCGCTACCTGTTCAGTTGTATCTCAGGTCAGGTATCAAGCGCGCAGATATTGCACGCCTGGTAGCTCTCTCCGTGTACGGGGGCGTGCCAGCCCTAGCAATTGTTCGAGCATGGGTGAGATACTCGTGAAACCTCACGAGTCGGCTAGTTTCATTCAACAATTCATGCAGTTTAAAAGGATTTAAAAGGTACTGTAGCAGTTTCCTTTGCTTCATTCCTTGCTTGTTGCCGAATCTTTTGACTCTCAAGCCCTCCAAAGCAATGGAAGTGGGACAAGGTTTTGTTTGAATCAGGGATTGTATGTTGTGAATTTGTGAATGATATCTTTCTCTAGCTCCCTCCAAGTTGCTTGGGCTTCATTCACTCCTCGATTCCTCGATTGTGCTTCCCTTCGACTAATCACGACGGACATGGACCCAGATGAACACCTTGGTGTCATACGCATTGAGGGAACATCCAGTGAGGATTTCCTAGGAACACCCAATTGATCATTAACCATCAATAAACCAAACAGCAACTCCAACAACCACTTTTTTTTTGGTTCATCAATGGTCCAACTACGGATGCCTCACGGATGCCTCACGGTGTCAGGTCTATGCCGACATCGATGTGGAAGCGACCCGATCCCTGGAGCCGTTGCTGGTGGCCGCTGAAGCCAGCGATGCAGCAGTGCTACTAGGTGCAGCCATTGTTGCGGTATGATTCTATGACATATATGACATATCGTTAAAACAACATGATGTGTGCATAATCTAGACAACATATTATAACATATTAATAAAAAGAAAAGTTTTACACAAATATGAATGAAAACATGTACACTATATGATACATGTACTGCATGGATGCGTATGAAACTGGGAATACAACCTATGAACAACTTGAGCATGTGGTTGTATTACTAGAGGTCTTGTTGCGGATTTATCTTGCCATACCAAAGACCTTGAGTTTCAGGTACTTAAGATCAGGGAAATGCAGATGCAATGAACAGAACTCATTTGCCTCTTTGGAACGCACGAATGAGTTTCACGCGCCCTAGTGCATCTCCTATGGCAGGAGAGGAGAACTTCGTCCATTCCGTGTTGCTGGACTGGAGCAGTGTCGTTGTCCGTTGCAGTTGCACCATACTTTCGCAATCGGCACCAGTTCCAAATAGCGACATGCGAATTCAGACATTGAATCCCAGGAGCACAAGAGCGAACCTTTGGCATCTTGTCTGCAGTTGCCGTTGTGAACGTTGTGAACCGTCATGTCGTCGAATTTGAAGGGTCAGTGACAACTACGTCAGTCAGACCAAATCATTCGTCATTGACGTCCAAAGTTGCCTTTGTATCACGACCTTCACTGGAACTAACCTTTTTAAAAGCTGCCTCAGATAGTTCCAACTGCCACTTTTCAAAACCGTCCGGAACGAGGTGAGCAATGCCGTGATGATCGGTGCCGCTGGACATGCTTTTTGGGAGGACGCGGACACTCATTGCGCTTGTAATTCCAACCTCCAGGATGAACGGATTGGAACGGATTGGAACGGATTGCACATGGAGAGTGCCACGATGTGCCACCTTTGGCTTCATTTTGTGATTTTTCAGGAGGTGTTGCAGGAGATTTTCAGCAAGTCTTGGTGTCTGGGGCTTGGCATCCCCAGTGGGACGGTGGCACCGGAGCAGTGGACTGAGGCGGGGAAGATCCGGTGCAATGCACCGGGCCACGCATTGTGGATCAAGTGAGCTGGGAACATCTCAGGTACGATGAAACAAACGGGAAACAAACGGCACGTAAATATGATGAATTTGATTCAATTTTATGATGAATTTATGATGAATTTCTGATGTTCCTGTTCATTTCTCTGAGTTGTCTTTCTGTTTTCGTTGGCTTCGTGGAGAGAAACTTCTGGGATTGCACGGTCGTTGCAGGCGGAACAGCGGTTGTCGGAAGAAAGGCTGTGCCCGGCTCCCAGCCCAGCGTCAACCGTCCACCGTCAGCCGTCAGTTCCTTTCAGCGCTGTTTCCAGGTTCTTCGACTTCCATTTGACTACTTCTCGCCCAACATCGCGTTGTGGAACGCCGCCAATATGGTGGCTTGGACGGTCAGTTGATGTTTATATATATATAATATAATATATATATATAATAATATATATATAATATAATATATATATATAATATACATATATAATATACACATATAATATACATATATAATATACATATGTTTGATAGGGAGTACTACCAGACTCAGTGGGAATGTGGGAATTACATGGAATTACTAGAACCTGGGATGTCTTTCTGAATCCCTCTTCATCGATCAGCAAGAGGGGCTGCTAATTGAGTCTGATTGATAATTTGGGACATGGCTCATTTGGAACAATGGCTTACAGATGCATTGAGATAATAACTATAATAGTCAATCAGATATTTGTGGCCTTCGTGTTCAGAGTATGCTCCAGAGGTTAAAGAGTGCCGACCGAGAGAAAGACCAAGTCGAGGCTTGGATGCAATCGGATGCAGTAAAGCTAAAAGTTGCCACCCTACACAGGAAAAACAACTTGCGCCCTGCATGTTTTTTAAACGTGTTTTGTATTTGGCAGAAGTTGAGGGTAAGCTGACTTTAAACAGATTGGCCAAGCAGGAATTGTTGCCTGACTTGCATCTCGTTGTCACAAATCTCCGTGAGATGCCACGCCAGGCAGTCTGAACTGGCTGGATCCTCATTTGCACAAGGCCGGTCGGCCGGTCATTTGAGAGTGCTGACGGTGCTGACGTTTTGGCAGATCCGGTTGATTCCGGTTGATTCCGGTTGATTTGGTCTGAGTGAGATATGAAGAGATCCTTTGGAACACTGCAGGGCTCACTGAAGGAGAGCAGGCCGCCGCCACATCCAGAAAAGTTGCAAAATCAGATGGACTTTCAATAATCTTTCAATGAGCGTTTAGAGATTGAATTTCATCAAGGCCGATGTGAATGATTGCAAGGGGTGCCGGGGCGCCTTCGCTGCAGATTGCTGAAACATCCGAAATCGATTTGGTGGATCACGGTCAGGCCGAGCATGGTCTGTGACGCCTGCAGGCCGTTGTGTCGATTGGTTCTCATCTGTCATTCGATGTGTCAGGCTGAACACATCTGAACCATCTGTCGACTTAATGACTTGGTGCTTTCCAGATCTTTCCAGATCTTTCCAGATCTTTCCAGATCTTTCCAGATCTTTCCAGATGAGCGCTTCATCTTCTCATATCCGCTTCATCTTCCCACAGGAGCTTATCCCGAGCTTTGGAGTGGCCAACAGCACTGCACAGCAACCGCCTCTCGTCTGAGTCTGAACTGACGCCAAGGGAAGTTGCTATCTGTCCTGACGCCAAGGCACATATGCGGTCCATCACTGGCAGTGTAGCTGGTGTAGGGAGGATGATGCTTTGAGGACTTGGATGACCATGTAGAATGTGTTGAACTTGTTTATACATAGCTTATTGCATTTCAGTTCATCAGAGGCAAACAAGATCAAACAACACCAGCCGTGTTTCCTGGGTATGTTCCAATTCTTGTGGATTCACTGCATTCGGTCTGGGCTCTGCCACAACCTTCTCAACACACCCTGCTAGGAAGAGCATCTCTCTTGCGGAGATCGTTTCAATCGTCATGAACGAGTCTCAAGCAGAGGCTGCGGATTGGAACCGGGTTTTCCTGCAGTATCAAAGGCACATTTTCCAAACCACTGGAATATTGATGATATTGATGAAACATCGTTTACATCGCAACATTAAGATGTCATTCATCAATTCATCAAGTTCGAATCTTTGACGGAGCTTGGCCAGGCTCTGTTGCTTGCTGAAAACGCGGCGAGCAAAATACGCGCGTATTGGGTTTGTCTCAATGTCGGCCAGCACACTATGACACGCAGATCAAAACGTGAATATGAAATGTGTTTGTTTGAAACATCAAGTAATGTGAGCATAAGATCCTCATGACACACACTAAAACTTCTTAAGACCTCTCTCCTATTGAGATCTGTTCAGGGTTGCAGGTGCTGCATGGTGGTGCACCGTGGGCTGTGTCAGGTCAATCTGGAGAACCCTCTACTCTTGTGACCTTGGGAACTCAGCTTGAAGTTGACGCGTAGAATGTAGAGACCAAAGACAGATCTATTTTATTCAATAATGATATGTGATACATGTGATACCTATACGTATGATGTGTAGGCTCATTGTAAACTCTTGATATTGTATACTCTGAGAATCTCGTGGTGTTAGACACACACAGACATGTAGCATGCGTCCACATTAACGAAGGTAGTGCTTCAACTATATCCTGAAATCATCTTCACTATCTTCACTGTTCAAACCTTGGGAGAGGTACAGAGAGGGGAGCGAAGATGCAGCTTGCAGCAGTAGGTGGCCACTTCATTGGGAATTGGGTGGTGACCACCTTGTGGATTATGTCCCAATTATGTCCCAATTATGTCCCAATTATGTCCCAATTATGTCCCAATTATGTTCAACTTGCTGGGAAAAGTCACCCGAAAATACCTCAGACATCTAGAGAGCACTGGAAATTTGGACGGAACCATGGACGGAATGGGGAACCACTCGGCATCAAATCATGAAAGATTGCCAGGTCTGAGTTGGAGCGACTCCCAAAGATCCAGGAGCTGCTGGCCCCGTACTTCAAAATCGTGCCTCGGTCAACCAACATTTTGTTGCCATGCTGAGGCCATCTTGCTAAGATATCCATTGGATCTTGTCGGAATATGATATGGAATATGATATGGAAATGTAATGACATGTATGGAAGTTGAACTGGTTTGTGACATTTTGTGACAGTATGATGGATTTCGACATTTGTCTATTCGTTTCGTCTAAACCTGGTAAGTGTCAGTGTAACCTGCGCCGCCTGCACCCTGAGTTTCAATTGGATGCAGAGCTGCTGGACTGTGTCATGGTGGCGCCGAATAGGCAGGCCCCACGACATGCGACTTGGCTTGACATCTGTCCCAGGATCAAAGTTGAGGCATGTTATATAATAATAGTTAAACAGTTAAAAACATCCAGTTGAGCCAAACTTAGGCATTTTCCATCATCTTCCCCTTCTGACGTCTTCTCACCTAGGCCTTCTCTTGCGTCAGAAGCTTCCAGGCCAAGATTCTGGCTGATGATTAAAGTATATCAAAGTTAAAGCAACAGTGGAGAGGGCTTACAGCTTTCATAGCGAATTGATGCACTGGGGCATCTGGTATGCAGTCTGCCTGACGCAGGATATTTGCTTTCTTGGTGAATCAGACTGCAGCGATTTGAAGGACCTCAGATTGATCATGCATTCCGCGCGCGCACAAGAAAAGGGCATACAGGTGCAAGGCATGCAGACAGGCTTAAGACATCTTGAGACAAATGATATATATATATAGTATCAAAGATGTTCAGTAATTACTTCGGGATCTCTTCGGGATCTTCAGGCTCTTGGATTCATTTGCGAGACCATGATTGACCATGGCTCTCTGATCACCAGGATGCCGCTGCTGTCCGACCACCTTTCGATTGGCCCCGTTGTGGGCAGGTGACCATGCAAGGGCCGTGTAAAGACATAACACTGTACCCTCGACGGGGGGCTTTATACTGTACCCATCTGTACCCATGATCCCATGAGAGCAGAGTTGCTATATGACATTGGAAACGGACAACTCAACTCAGGTTGCTCAGGTTGCTCAGGCACCAAGTTCTAGCCCTTATCTTGCAGGGCGGCAGACGCGCACCCAGCGGCAGCTTGAGCATTGCCTTAGAGGTGCCGGACTCATACTCACAAAAGTGCAAGCCATCAGCTAGAAATGGACATAGCCAAGGAGGTTCAAGGAGGTTCAAAGAGGGTTGGAAGCCTCTATTTGTTTGACCAGTACAACCACTCCGCTGGGACGTGTTGGGTCAGGCTGCAGAAGTTTTAGCGCAAGTTCTCCACAAGAGGAGCAGCGAGCAATTTCAGAGCACCCTTGCGATTGCATGATTTTTGCCAAGAATAGCTGGCTGTGGGTCAAAAATCTAGGACCTCTGCGGAACAGCACATTTTGATGCTTTTTGGTCTGGAAAGATGTGCTTTTGATACAAGGTTGAGAAGAGAGTGAATACTGCCGGTGAGATTGAAGCAATGATGGTCTGCCATGTTGGCCAGGGCACCCATATCCAGCTATGAGCCGCTATCCCAGAGGAATTTGCCAGAACCAACGTGACAACCATCCCCGGTATCGGTGTGACTCAAAATGGTGGACCTTCAAAATCATCCAAAATCCAATGGAACCAATGGGATTGGGCAATGCAATATTGATACCCTCTAGTAATTTAACATAGCCATGGTATAGATGGCCCATAGAAATAGATGGTTTACCTATTAAAAATGGGTGGATCTTTCCATGGCTATGTTAGTCATAACCAGATGGTAATTTTCATCCAGCCATTACTTAGGTGCTTCATGCAGAGTGTTTGCCGAGCTGGCTTCCATGAGCCACGGCAGCCACGGCAACGGCAGAAGCTGGAGGAGCACCTTGGACCATCCGGAAATTGCCATTTGAACATGCCCATGAAATCCCATGAACATGCTAATTCTGATCATTTCTGATCCATCCGTTTCATCATGAGTTTCATCCATTCGCCATGGAACATGATGGAACATGATGGAACATGATGGAACATGATGGAACATGATGGAACATGCATATTCTTGAGTGATTTCTCATGCTCATTGATTTGAGTCAAGTATTCTGCTGAGACACTAACAATTTAGACCTGCATAATCTTCTTCGTGGTTTCCGCATGTTTCAGCCATATGAATTACCCTGTGGCATTTCCCGGGCGGGAAGGTGTGCTCAACTGACTGACCAACTGACCAACAGATCCCGTTGTTTTCAGGATCCGATCCTTTGCCTTCAGGAGCTCTCGCCTTCGGCAGCCAAAGCGCTGCGCGCATGGCGAGACTTGTTGCAGGCGAGACTCTCATACAGTAGGGTTCCTGGCCATCTTTTCTGTTAAAAGATATATTGCAATATGTCACTGTCCCAAAACTGGGTGTTATCCGAATTTATCCAAAGATTTGCAAATCCCAAAGGTCTGTCCCATGGCTAAACGGCTAAACGGCTAAACGGCTAAACCCTTGCCCGATCACATGCTCCACATTGCTCGACATTGCTCGACTGCTCCAGGCAGAGCCTGACGTGCTGCGAGCCTCAGACGAGGACATTCTGTTCGTATGACGTGGTAGCATGGGGCTTGACCCATACCTTAGTCCTAAGATGTCCTAAGTACATGCTTAAAATGCCTTGAAATATCTCAAAGTTATGTTGAGCTTGATTGCCAGCTGGCTTGTCATTGTCGAATATTTCTCCTGCAATCACATGAAGGACTTGGAAGTAGACTTTACGGAGGCTGGGCACACTGCAGTTCATGCTTTCTTTCAACGGGCGAGCCTCAACACCACATCGAACATACCCGATGTGTTGAAACTCATGCCATATATCAGCATACAGCAAAAACATGCAAACAAATTACATACTATTTGCCCATAAATCCGTGTCAGTAAACGTTTTTTCATGTTTTAATCCATTTTAATCCCAAACTCCCGTGTGCTTTTTGCATCTATGCAGTTTTTGTTGGAACTGGATGTTCAGGGTGGTGCCCTGAGCTCTTGGCTTCCAGAGGAGCAAGTTGGGAATGCGCAGTCGACCCCACTCAATGATGGGTGTCTCCAAAAACACTGGAAAAAACAGGGGATACATCATGATAAGTTATCATGAATATTCATGAATCATTATCACAAGATATCACAAGCCCCCTTTCAGTGGTTGCTCCATGTTGCTCCCAATTTCAAAATGCTATAAACACTCACCACGAAGCTTGCACGGTTGGTGGAAGTCTGTTCCAGGATGCGGAGGAACAACTGCGGGACTTCATCACACAAATTCCTGGAGTAGTGCGGATCTCTGGCTTTTCAAGACTTTTCGAGATGGACTGATTGCGTGTGGCAATTGGTGGTCGTTGGTACAGTACCGAGCCTGGAATGTTTGAGCACACGCGATGGATACGCTGCAAATTTGGCTCTTCTAACTTTCAATGTCAGTGAATCCGATAGGCAAAAGCTGCCTGCAGCCCAAACATCCAGCCTCGCATTAGTTGCAGCACTGTCACACAGCTTTGCAGACAATTCCACACCTTGTGAGCATGATCCCTTCCAGACAACCCAAATACAAGTTTGTCCGTGGTTTATCATCACTATGAAATCAAAATTGCCATGTTTCATGGGATATCCTCATATATCCTCGATATATCCTCATATATCCTGTCCACAGCCATATCAGTTTGTGTTTCTACACAGTGAGTCTACACTCCACTGGCCACAACTGGCCCTTGGATCCCACGTGGATCAGCCGCCATGGAGGACGGCTGGAGACCCAGGACCTGGACGATGGGGACGATGGGTGGCCGGGTGGCCAGGTGGCCATGGCTCAAAGGTGGGGAAGTCGCTGAAGTCGCTGAAGTCGCTGAGGCATGGATGCACTCTTTAGCAGTTTTATGAGCGAAGTCTCCAACATCAAGACTGCCAAGATGAAAAAGCTCTGAACTGAGTCTGAGTGTGCTGAGATTGGACACCACTTCACACCATGAGTGCAGTGTTTGAGGGATGGGACTGTTTCACAAGAAAGAGAACCTAGGCCCTAGTTCAATCCACAAGCGAATCCTGGTTTCTCCCTGTAAACATGCATCAAAGATGATCAAAGCAAACTCTTTGACATCTGAGGGCGATTTCAATGTTTGATTCCATGTGACATCTGAGGATCGAAGGCAACCAAGGTACCCCTGATGAGTGCCGTGGCAGCATGAAAGATGGTTTTCATCGCTGGGCTATTGGAGCAAGGCCAAGAGTATCCTGGAGCCATTGCTTTTTTTGGTTGAGCTTTCTCACATTTTCTCACATTTTCTCACATTTTCTCACATTTTCTCACAGTTCCACTTTTTGTGGAAGGCCGTTGAGAATGGCTGCATGGCACTGAGGATCATCGAGCGTGTTCTGGCGCGACCCTATGACCCAAAACAGGGTCAAGGATCTGCCTATCAGATCCTTCAGGCGTGGCGGGAGCTTGGAGGATGAGGTAATGAATGATGGACGCTGAAAAATGCTGGCTGATATTGTATCGATAGATATCGATAGTAGATCATCTTGATGTTGATGTTGGAGGGCGGATTCTGGGTTTGGGCAACACATTTTTGATCTTCAGCTTAAATTTGAAGAACACCACCAGGTTGCACCAGATGCCACCGAGTCTGAGATCACCAAGCAGTACAGGAGGCTCTCAGTGTGGCACTTGGAGACCCGGCATGGGCACCTGAATTGATGTCATGGATTCACCAATTTGATGATGAAAGATGACTTCCAGATTGTAATCCGGTGATGCTTTGCTGGCCGCCTGAGGTTCTGGTTCACCCGGACAAGTGCAAGCTCGAGAAAGCTGCAGAAGCATTTCAGGTGGATTTCAGCCATTGATTCGCAGACGAACAAAACATAAGAAAATAGCAAAACGCAGTGCAGGTTTCAGTATTTTGAGATTCGGTAGTTTCACAAAACCATAGTCATTATATCTGGAGATTTCATTATTTTTTCATATATTCACCCCGCTTCGCGTGGGGTGGCCGCCCACACCGCAGGTTTATTTCGGTCCGTGAGAGGGGCTAAGGGTGGTTTTCCCCCGGGGGCTCCCCAAGCTAAGAATTTTAACTTTCCCCCCCCGTGGGGGCTCCCCAAGCTAGGGAATTTTCACTTTTCCCCCCCGTAGGGGCTCCCCAAGCTAGGGAATTTTCACTTTTCCCCCCCGTGGGGGCTCCCCAAGCTAGGGAATTTTCACTTTTCCCCCCCGTGGGGGCTCCCCAAGCTAGGGAATTTTCACTTTTCCCCCCCGTGGGGGCTTCCCAAGCTAGGGAATTTTCACTTTTCCCCGCCGTGACAGCTTCCCAAGCTATGGAATTTTCACTTTTCCCTCCCTTGGAGGCTCTCCAAGCTGCGGAATTTCAAATAGCTAGACAACGACGCCTAGATAGTCCCCCAAATCCCGTGTTCTTTGAATGTGTTTCCATGTTTTTGCAATGGTTTCCTTCAAAGCACGGTACTTTACACTTTTGTCGCCATAAAACCGGTCGAAAACATCATGTTCGACAATGCTTCCAATTCCCTTATCTCCCCAACCGTTGAAAATACCGCTATTTACAGTGTTTTCTTCAATTTTTCCATGTTCCAATGCCGGTAGCCAACTCCAACATATATATATATAAGAAATCCTTCCAAAACATTGTTTTTGACAGTGTTTTTCCAATGTTTCCAGTCAAACAGACGGTAATTTACACGTTTTTTGCCATAAAGGCAGTAAATCCTTCCAAAACATTGCTTTTGACAGTGTTTTTGTAATGTTTCCAGTCAAGCATACGGTAATTTACACGTTTTTTGCTATAACGTCAGTCCAAAACACTTGTTTTTGCAGTGTTTTCAATGCTCTGGCATCCAAAAACCCTGCAAAATCTTGCTATGTACAATGTTTTTTTCATTTTTGGCCGTTTTTCCATTGCCGGAAAGCTACCAAAATGACCCAAAATTCCATTTCAATACCCTCTTGCGCTCAGACACCCAAAAATCCTCGAAAAATGTCGAAAACACCACCGTATTCTGGTCTCGGTGCGAAACCGTTTTTGGGCCCCCCCCCAGCTAAAGCTGATATAGCGACTGCTATATTAACAAATGTCATTGAGCATTTAGTGTTGCTGTTTTGCCCCCCAATAAGCACGCCTTCACCGCCAAAGCGGTGTGGGCGGATTTTATTGAGATTTTTATTGAGATATCTCCAGTAAAATCTCCAGTAAAATCTCCAGCGATATCTGGCAGTTTTTGAGTCAGGTCATCGTCAAAGCCTACAACGATACCAAGGATCCGAATTATCAGGACAAGTAACTTTGGCTGAAAGTAAGATGGCTGAAAGTAAGATACCAAGGATCCTTTTCAGACTCATTAAGACTCATTAAGTAAGATGGCTGAAGTACTTTTAGACTCATGATGAGACTCAGCCAAAGTGGGTGCGTATGCAGAGAAATTATGAGTCCAGCGTTTGAAGATCTTCACGCCGAAAGAAGCTGAGCCACCCTCTTTGACAGTGTAGTTGGCAAAATTTGCGATCGCCAAAGGTATGCAGATGTGATCATCGAGGCCAAAAAGCGGGTGAGGTTTTCATCTCAGATTACCTTGCCAGCCTTGCCCAGTGGGGAGATGAGTGCGGCTGACGCTCAGGAAAGAGCGCGAGAAGCAGAACGAGAGCCGTGAAAAGAGAGGGGAAGATCCTTTACCCACAGCAGCAGCCTCAAGAGTTTCCCAGTGAAAGAACTCTTCAATTTTGAGACAATGAATTTCAACGGATCTCTCAGCATTTTCAGCTGTTTCCAGGATGGTGGGGAATTTGACCGAGCTGTATGGGAAGAATGCGAGAGGCCCGACGCGAAGCTGCAAACATCAACATGCAACGAATTCAATGGTTCCGGGGTCACTCATGTTGACAAACAAATAAATGTGATGATGATGATGATGATGATGATGCTGGTGGTGCTGGTGGTGGTGGAACCCCCCTGGTCAACCCGCAATCTTTGACTTCGGAGGATGACCTCTGCTGCCACCGAAAGCGCTGAGCTTGCCAACTCCGTGGCAGAGGCCAACAAGAAGCGCTACGAGGAGCAGGTTCGCTGAAAGGAAATGGGCAGCAGAATCTGTTCAGCCACAAAATCGGATGGTGATGAAAAACTAGCAACCTTAGGGTTCAGACTTTTTGAACTCAAATAAGACCATTGAAGTTTTTGCATTTTTTTTGTCAGGTTTTAGATTTTAAATGCACGAGAGTTTGACATGCTGATTTCTGATGCGTTTCCCAGCTATTTACTCAGCTATCTCCAGGCCAGAGAACGACGGGAGCGCAAAAAAGCTGAGCAGAAAGAGTTGCGAGAATGGGAACGCAACAAGGAGACCTCAAACGCCGAAACTGGTCCGGTGATGTCCGGTGGTGCGAGTGCTTTCCTTTCTTTTTCCTGAGGACAAAAGAGCTGCGGGTTGGCAGGTCTTCATGCAAAATGTGCAGCGCGGGGCTCAGAAACTGAAGCGGTATAAACAGATTAAGCAGTCCCCCTTCATTTCGATCGTAAAGCATTCTGCAAATGGAAGCATTGGATCTTCTGTTCTTGCACACAAAATCAAACCTGCGTTGTATCATGTCGTATCCTTGGGACATCTTGGGACCAGGTCCAAAAAGTTCAAAGCCGGCCACACCATCGGGAAGGTCAGCCGAGTTCAGCTCGCGAGCGTGCTGGTGTGGCTAGCGGCTAGGGTTATGGACGTAGACGTAGCCACCGTAGCAGTGGCAGAGTAAGCAGAGTTGCTCTATGGTGTAATCAAGAGAAACTCACATCACATCTCATGGAGTAAGATGCAATTGTTGCTCTATGCCAAAGTATACTTGGGTCCTGTCAACGTCACAGGTTGGAGCAGCCGATCAGCATCACAAGAGAGAGGACGGGATGCAGCTTCTGATTGACTTGAGATTGAGATTGCCATGCTTGAGCTATGGTGATTTATGGTGCATGAGTGCCAGGAACGCAAGGAGACAGATGGAAAGGCCGAACTGGACATGGAAGACAAGAAAGTCATCCGTTCTGTTGGGAACTCAACGTCGGAGTGGAACGAGTTTCCATTACATAGTTACATAGTTGACACTAGCTGACAATGGAGAGATGTTTGTGACATTTTGATGCATTGTCTCGTCATATGCATTCGGCAAGTGGCTCCCAAGCAATTTTTGTATTTAACAATGCTCATGACAATCGAAGTGAACCCCCTTCGAAAAAGCAGCACCACATGATCCCTGCCCTACTCTTTGAGATATTGCTATGACATCTATGACTTGCTTCAGGGGGTCCTTCGAAGACATTATTTTACCGGAATTCTTGCGGTCCTTGCCCATCAAGAAATATCATGAACAATTCAAGAAATATCGTAAGAGACAATTTCTTGACGAAATCGCATGGACTTCACCAGTGCCCAGGATATGCAGGCCGCTTTCATCGACATGTCCCGATCTTATTCTGCACACGGATGCTAAACACGTCAAGATTTCCACATCTAAAAGTGTATCCGAGCAGTCTAGCAATACTGATGGATAAGATTGGAAAAGTAGAATATCAAGGAACATCACATGATTCAATACTGATGGATAAGATTGGAAAAGTAGAATATCAAGGAACATCACATGATTCAATGTACAACTCTTCGATCGTCTCTGAAAGTAAACGTCCTTCTTGCCACTGTGTTCCTCTTCCGACTGGTGCCGTCTGAGGTCCTACAGGAAGGAGTGGCGCTAGCCACGTGGTGAGCTGCAGAACTTAACCTGGAGAGTACGAGCGGCCAGCCATGGCCTTTCCTTTCTGGGCAGAAAAAGCCCGTGAGGTCTGTGAGCCAAGCGATGCCAAGCGCAAAGAGGCGATCTGCACGCCACGTTGCGCACGTTGTGCACGTTGCGCACGTTGTGCCTCCTGATCTTAGGCACCAGCCAAAACATCCAAAACATCCAAAACTATTTCGAGACCCAGCTGCGTTTCCATTTCGTTGGGGCTTGGCTTTGTCCGAGGTCAGAAGGCAGCAACATCTCATGAAGTCTCTACAGGCCACAGCCTGAAAAAGGATTTGGAGCAGTCAGGATTTCTCGAGCCATTGAGATTTTGTACTTTTTTTATCCAGGTGCTTGATGACCTGACATCTGTATTTTCGATAGTTGCCTCGATGTAGATGTTAGGCAGTCCAAGTTCATACGCACTGTCGGCTGTCACCATGCTCGATATAGCATCTCTTTGCCAAAATAAGGCACAACCAGAGGTTCCTCCTGTAGGAATCATGGAAGTTTGAGCTATATCAGTAGCATCCAGTAGCATCCAGTACCTTCAAATAGAGACCGCACCAGGAGCACCAGGAGCTTTTATTGTAGCATGTCTGTAGCATTTCTTCCATCCCATGAAATCGTTGACGACAGGCCTGGGAGTTTCTCTCCCAAGACTTGGCCCAAGAGGCGATCTGAGATGAGAATGACAGCATTTTTCGCTTGCGGCACATTTTGCACCGAAAAACGCGTGATTTTCTCATTGGGATGTGATATGATGTGATGTGATGTGATATGATGATGGACACGTGTTGTAACATGCTGTATGATTGGGACTTTTGCTTCACTGGATGGTTGGCTCACATGCTCCGGGATCAGGCGCTAGCCGCCTTGAGCGATGTCAAATGGCTCAGTTTCTTCCGATTTGGAGTGACAATTTGAACCAGTTTGGTCTTCTGTTTGGCCATGTTGGTCCTTTCCACCAGAAACACCTCTATAGGGTGGATGGAAAATTGTTCCGTATTGGACATGAAGCTCTAGAGGAAGTCTCTGATGTGTTGATCCTTTTCGACGCTGAAACACAGCTAATTTCATCTGCCATCCAGCCAAGTTGATCGTTGCTGTGCTACTTGTACTGATAGTTGTCGATAGTTGTCATTAGTTATCATTAGTTGTCATCGACCAGGGCTTTTGAGCCAAGACGAGCCAAGACAACCAGTCTGAGGTTAAAGATCGCCAACAACTGGACGCTCTGATGCTCACATTGCGAGCAGAGGTGCCTGACAGGTGTCGGTGTCAGGTGGGATCAAGTGTTAGATGGGAGGTTTTTTGTAGCTCTTGGAGTTTCCAGCTTTGAGAATCAGATTTTTAGATGACGTTGGGGAGTACACTGAGTACACTGAGTGCATGTTCCCCCAAAATGAGCTTCTCAGTTGCAGAATCTGTTTCCGGGGGTTTCGCAGCAGGCGCTTCTGAGATCGGGACGTTGTGATGAAGCTGCAGAGGACTGTATCCAGGTGAGGTTTGGGAACCATGAGCTGATTGGAAAGACTGCACCATTCTATGGAGACATGGAAAATCATGGGAATCCTTATCCATTCCTTATTGCTTGTGGCTCGTTCACGAGGCCTTGAAGATCTTCCCTGAGAGCAGCACAACAAGATTGGTCCAAGCTGAGGCGGCTATTGGAACAGGGACTATTCCGTTGGAACAGGGACTATTCCTGGCAGATCCCTGGATGCTGAAAGACTCTGAACGACATCAAAATTGGGGGTCCGAACAAGAAGAATCTCTTTGGATGGAGAACATATCCGAACAACAACACTCGCTACTGCATGAGAGGACAGGATCTCAATGTGATATTCTTGGAAACGCATATTTGCAAAATTTTGCAAAATGACAAATGACTCTCTACACTCTACACATCCAAATCATGAACTTCAACTTGAATGTCCTGAATGCCATCAGTTCATTTTATCAGCAAACTGGCGTTGGCTTGTCGGCGTTCCAGGTCAATCTTCGTCTTGGATACCCTGCAGACTCTGTGGAGGACGGAACTTGCGCGGACATTTCTACGAAGATCGATGCATCTAAATCATTTACACGCATTTGCAGCTGCATCCATTTCTACAGTAGAACAACGTCTATAATGCAACTCACCTTGATTGTGTTTTGATGATTTTCATGGGTTTCCGTCCGTGTCTGTTCCATGAACTTTTCCATACTTTTCCTGTCTCACCAGGACTGCAATCAGCTACTCGATCTGGATCCTCGCTGTGCTCAAGCTTCAGCACTTCGTGGTGAGGTGCTGGATTCGGATTCATGAAACCAATCGGAGTTTCACATGTTTCACATCCATCTCAAAATTAAACCCTGAGAATCTCTGGTATCCCATGGTATCCCATTCCTGGAATGACTGCATTTTGTGTTATTGGAGTAATGATCATTTTGATATCGTTCGACATTATTCTTAAATCAACTTGCTACAATTCAATTTCGCATCAACCCTGCCCTTTGATGCCGCGTTTAAAGGTGTTTAAAATCTAAAAGGTGTTTAAGTACTCTTGAGATCCTCTGAACCGTGTGAAGCATCAGCGTCCTTTGGAGGCACGTTTGGAGCTTGGACAATTGGACGAGGCAACCCGGAGACCCAATGCAGAAACGGCCAGCTTAGACTTTCATAAATATCATAGGAATCTTAAGAGCCGTGCCTTACCTGGTTCCTGGTTTGGAGTTGTTCCGAGTTGTCATTTTGAAACAGCATGTGATGCTCAAGCAGGCAGTGCAAAGTGGACCATTTGAATTCGCCTCTTCAGGCTGTCTTGGACTGTGACTGGGCGTTGGCTCATGGCCACCGTTCTGCAGCGGTCTTTGTGGTGAGAGGTGCGGGTTGTGAGGCACTTTCATGACTCGCACCGGCTGGACCGGCCTACCTTTTGGTTTCGGCGCTGTTGCAGTTTGGGACATCCTCCCAGGAAAAGCCCATAGAAAGCTGGGGAATCTTAGAGAAGCTATTGCTGATGCAGACGAGGCTGGTAAAGGATGGGGCAACTTCAGTGCTTTGGCTGGTTGTATGCAGTCAGATCCACAGGAAGAAGCAAATTTCCACGGCGACTTAGCAGGAAATTTATTCATCTGCAACCTGGCAAGCGATGTTTTGCAGATAGCATACACGACTTTGGCCTGAAGACGCTTCAGAGATTGGCCAGGCATTGCGAGAATGCCCCAGTTCCTGCGAAGCCCTGGTACTTCGGGGTCAGGCAGGGTCAGGTGAGTGGGACAGTGATTTTGCTCAGAATTCCTGGAGAGTTAGCAGCATGAGGGGCAACTGTTTCCAGAAGGACTTTGATTGAACAGCATCAACAGCAAAGACCTAGTGATGGCAGAGAACTTTTGACCTCGTTGGCAAATGTAAAAACAACTCCTATGTATAATGAAGTATATATATATTATTTAAATTTTATGCTCTCAAGGCAGAACCCCAACTTTCCTTTAATGTGCTGTTCAGCCGTCTCTACAGGCTCAGCTGGAGATGCGGGAGGCCAGTGCTGCCCTCACGGACCTCAACAAGGTCTGGATCTTCAGCTTGGTGCGAAACGACTGCCCTAGGGTCAACAAACCTTATGATTTTCACCACTTTGAAGGTTTTTCAGAGATTTTCCATCATTTCAGAATCATTTCCCATCTTTTCTCATGTTGATCCGCAACTTCCAAGCTCCTGAACTGGGCAAACCGATCCATGAACATTTTTGTGCCATAGGCCATTGAGATGGCTGGTGCTCCGTCTGCAGCAACTCGGCAGAGATCAGAGAGTTGTTTGCTTCCAAATTAGGAACGGCCCACCAAAACCATCAAACGTATCCAAACGTGGTCTGTATAAATTCGGTGAGGGGAAATGAAGGAGACGCCGATATTGATAGTATTTATCATATTATATCGATAAGTTGATTTCATTTTGCGTGATGAATTTCTTGGGCAAGCAGGTGCGTGCTTCAGCCTTGGCCTCACGAGCAGATGCTTTTGTTGGATACTGAGTGGTACAGCGAGAGGGCAGAACAAGCTACTCATCATCCCTAGTCACCAACAGTCACCAACAGTCACCCACAGTCACCCATGGTCATGTGAGGTTGCTCTGCAACAATACCAGAAGGCCATGGTCCTCCGGAATTTCGGACCATCAGCGCATGAAATCTGGACTCTGCCACTTTTGCCCATCACTGGGAGTGCTTTTGGTGTAGGCTGTGGCAGATTGCGACGAGGCAGGTGACTGCTTTTGAGAAATATCCACTGTTGAACTCACTTTGAAGCAACATGAACACCAATTGAAATGCCACATTGAAAACATAGACATACCCAAGCCGTCAGTCAATATCGTCTCACAAACCCGGAAAAACCAAGAGAAAGTGATAGACACCCATCTTAGGCTTATCTTAGGCTTATTCCTTGGGTGTTCTATCCCTGCCTTTCCAAAGTGAGGCGCTGCAACTCTGCAGAAATCCACTGGCCTTGGCAATTCGCGGTGAGGCAACAAGTGTGGCGTACTGGGAGGATTGTGGAAGAGTGACACTCGCTATTTGCTAAGTATTTTATTTATTTTTTGCTATCATATCCATCACAATTTTTCCAATGAAAACTCTAAAGGTTGTCTTCACTGCCACTCCACGAACATCCAAACAATGGCACCGATTGGCAAGGCAAAGCTCTTGAGCTGCGAATACAAGGCTGCAGTGGCAGACTGCAGTGCTGTCATGATCTCAGCTGGTCAATACTTCCGCAAGATCCTCCCAAAAGAGAAACGAGACAGACCTCTATCTTTGGCTTTTGATTCCTTTTTAGTAGATCATGATTGGGCCCTCCCGCCGCCATGTATGGTTTGCAAGGGAGGCTCTGTGGAATTGCCATCAAGCTGCAGTGACTGCAGTGCTGTAGCACCACAGCAGTTGGCCGCAGTAACGCTCGTATTTTTGCCCAACCTGTGAAACAAAGCGCAGACCTCATCGAATTAGTGCTTCTTTCGGGTGTCCAATGGTCATCCTACCATGGCGGCTACGGCTTCTGCCTTAGCAGAGCTGCTGAAGGAGCTGAGATTGTGAAATCTGACTGTGCAGAAAAGATGCAAAAGCCACTCAATTGACTCAATGTCTTTGGAGAGCTCAAGTTGCTATTGCATCCGCAGCAGGAGACTGGAGGCGAAGCGAAGGCATCAGTGGTGGGGAAGCTGTATGCACGACACGGGGGAGCGGAACACAAGGCCCTCTGGGACATGGGTTGCCATGGATTTGAATCTCTTGGTTGTCGGGCCATGATGGGCCATGATGGGCCATGATGGGCCATGATTTTTTTTTCCAGCAAGTTGGGGTGAGATCATGGGTCCACGATCCCAAGGGCACATCAATTGCAGTAGGATTTGATCGAGCTGCGAGGCCGCCATAGGAGCTTGTGGTGGTGTGCGCAACTTTTGCCGAGCACATGCAAAGCTCCTTGAGTACATAGAGGTTGGATTCTTATTCCAACTCATCACATGGTTCACATGCAGACAAGAGGCTGGCGGACAGGGCTTGTTGGCGCTTCTGACTACTTACTCTATTTCTTACTTCTTGTTCATTCGTTGTCTAATCTATACCATATTTCTTCGGAATTTGCGAGGATGGAGCTGGACGCGTGCGTTTGGCCAGGGGCTATTCAGGAGCCACCTGCGTTGTACAGAAGTATGTATCCGATATCCGTATATGTTTTTGTTTCAACCAAGCAACGCTTGCCCTCCCCATGGCGCTGGATTTGCAGGAGGGCCAGAAACCACGCCAGAAGCCGCAGAAGCCGCAGAAGCTCCGGCCGTGTCATTGCCATCGCCGCCATTGCCTGCGTTGCCGATGGTTTTGGATGCCTTCCAGGCAGCGCTGCAAAGTGTTAGCGTTCGCAACCTGGGCACATTGAAGTTGGACGTGGAGAAGGTGAGACATCGGGACATGAAGCGATCTGAAGCGTGGGAACATGTGGAAACCGTGACTCGTTGACTATGTTGACTCGTTTAGAACCGCTCAACATGCAGTATGCTTTTGAGATCTGCATCTGAGTTGCTGTGGTTGGGCTTTTGTTATTGAAATTTCTTTCGTGGCGTGTGCAGTCCTTGCTGCAACAGTGCATCCACTGGAAACATCATCAGTTAAGCACAGAGCTAGAAATATATAATATAAATATAGTATTATTATCAAAGGAAGTTTAGGGGGAGAAACTTCCGTGTTACGGACTTTTAGAATGTCAGGGAAAGAGTTAGTCAAAGAAAGAGTTAGTCAGGGAAAGGTTAGTTAGGGAAAGAGTTCATCAGGGAAAGAGTCAGTCAAAGAAAGAGTTAGTGAGGGAAAGAGTTAGTTAGGGAAAGAGTTCATCAGGGAAAGAGTTAGTCAAAGAAAGAGTTAGTGAGGGAAAGAGTTAGTTAGGGAAAGAGTTCATCAGGGAAAGATTTAGTCAAAGAAAGAGTTAGTGAGGGAAAGAGTTAGTTAGGGACAGAGTAAATTGTAACTTTTAGACTGTCAGGGAAAGAGCTAGTCAAAGAAAGAGTTAGAATGGCATTGCAAGTGGTGCTGGTGGAGGAGTTGCCGATGGAGTTTTGAAGGAAGTCTCGCACGAAATGCGTTTTTGAGAGATAGCAGATGCACGAAACCCTATGTTTTTCCATACAATGTCCGTCTCCGAACCTCGATGATCTACCTCTGCGGTGCGACGGTTGCGAGACGGTCTCGTGTGTGGTCGGATCATGTTCGGATCATGTTCGGATCATGGGCGGATCGGTTCCGCATTGTAAATGGGGTTTCAACTGTTTTTCGTGCATGTGCGGTCGACAGAATTCCATTGTGATTTGCAACTGTAGGATCGTTCCCGCATTGTAAATGGGGTTGCAAGTGGTGCTGGTGGATGAGTTGCCGATGGTGGATGAGTTGCCGATGGAGTTTTGAAGGAAGTCTCGCACGAAATGCGTTTTTGAGAGATAGCAGATGCACGAAACCCTATGTTTTTCCATACAAAGTCCGTCCCCGAACCTCGATGATCTACCTCTGCGGTGCGACGGGTGCGAGACGGTCTCGTGTGTGTCGGATCATGCTCGGATCATGGGCGGATCATTCTCGGATCGGTTCCGCATTGTAAATGGGGTTTCACCTGTTTTTCGTGCATGTGCGGCGCGGTCGACAGAATTCCATTGTGATTTGCAACTGTAGGATCGTTCCCGCAATGTAAATGGGATTGCAAGTGTTGCTGGTGGATGAGTTGCCGATGGAATTCCATTGTGCTTTGCAACTGTAGGATCGTTCCCGCAGTGTAAATGGCTGTGTCAAGGTTGCTTCGTGCTGTGGCTACATTCGTAATACTATTGTCTTTTGCACCTGGATCTCGGAAATCGTCTTGGAGTGGCTGCATGAAGGCTGCGACAGTGATTTGTCAGCAGATTTTCTCCATTTTGGCGCTAGTGATTTTCCTTCTAAAAATCCTTTTAAAAAGTGCTTCAAAATCGTCTTTTTTTCGCTCTGGCGTCGAGATCCGGTTTTGGAGTTTTGGAGCTACAATTTCCGACGCGTCGTTGCGCGTAGTTCTATTGTGTTTTGCAACTCAGTCTCTGCAGATCGCATTGTAATGGCTGCGTCAAGGTTGCTTCGTGCTGTGGCTGCATTCGTAATACTATTGTCTTTTGCAGCTGGACTTCGTAAATCGTATTGGAGTGGCTGCATGAAGGCTGCGACAGTGATTTGTCAGCAGATTTTCTCCATTTTGGCGCTAATGATTTTCCTTCTAAAAATCATTTTAAAAAGTGCTTCAAAATCGTCTTTTTTTTCGCTCTGGCGTCGAGATCCGGTTTTGGAGCTACAATTTCCGACGCCGTTGCGCGTAGTTCTATTGTGTTTTGCAACTCAGTCTCTGCAGATCGCATTGTAATGGCTGCGTCAAGGTTGCTTCGTGCTGTGGCTGCATTCGTAATACTATTGTCTTTTGCAGCTCGACTTCGTAAATCGTATTGGAGTGGCTGCATGAAGGCTGCCACAGTGATTTGTCAGCAGATTTTCTCCATTTTGTCGCATTAGTGTTTTTTGTTCCACGTAGGTTTAGAGCAGTGTGAAGTGTGGGGCGTGAAGAGTGCAGTGTGAAGTGTGAAGTGTGAAGGAAGCAGTGGGAAGTGAGAAGTGTGAAGTGTGGAATGTGAAGTGTGAAGTGTGGAGTGTGAGGTTTAAGTTTGGAGTGCGAAGAGCGCAGTGTGAAGTGTGAAGTGTGAAGTGTGAGGTGTGGAGTGTGAAGGAAGCAGTGAGAAGTGAGAAGTGTGGAGTGTGAAGTGTGAAGTGTGGAGTGTGAAGTGTGAAGTGTGGAGTGCGAGTGCAGTGTGCAGTGTGCAGTGTGAGGTGTGGAGTGTCGAGGGAAGGACACGGTCGGGACAGGTTGTCTTTGAACTATAGGTCATTTATGTTTGGGAAACTTCCGCCGCCGGCTTGCCCGGGTCTATGTTATATAATGTAGTGCATTGTAGAACTATCACATATATGATCAATTATAATCAATTATAATTAATGACATGCATGTATTAATCATATATATATATGTACATATATATATATATGCCACATATGATCACAGATCTTGCCATTCCAGGCCATGGGCCTTCCACTGGACCTGGTGCTCCGCAGCATGGGCCGCAGCTTGCGGAGCTTGGCCGCTGAAGCTGTGGAGCTGCGCGACGTGGGCACGCGATGTCTGGTGCCTCGCTGTTCCATTTGGAAGCTCTTTGGAACCAGATTTCAAACATTTGAATTATTTTGAATTATTTGATTCACTGTATGGATCATTGTAGACCTTTTATGTATCCTTATGTATCCTTATATTGACCTGATGATGTAACTGCTTGTCACTGGTTGCACTTTTAGCAGATTTTTACTCCCCATGCCTGGCTCCTGGCAGATTCAGGCGCTCAGTCGCGATGCCGCACAGCTGGTAGACAGCAAGAAGCTGAGCTTTGCCATGGAGCCACCCGCAATGGGTTTCCGACCATAGGGATCCTTCAACTGTGTCAAATCCTGTCAATATTTGTGGGATGCGATGGCTGGGAAAGAGCTACTGTTTGGCGGGCTATGGAGATTTGCTGTTGAGGTATTTGCATCAATTTGTAGCAAGTAGCAATTCTTGGAGGTCATATATTCTCCTTATGGACTTGCCAAACAGTCAACACAACGAAAGTCACTTGAGATTGACCTGGGGTTGAACCGCAGGACCTGGTTCAAAGCCTCGCTGAGCTGGTGCAAATGGAACCCACGATCACCCTGCAGGCGGATGATATGCAGCGATCCATAGAATTGGCAGTTGCGAACGGTTGTGCTTGACACGTGCTATTACGTGCTAAAATATGCTAAAGTCATCTAAACCTGCCTGGCTTCACGGCTGTTGAAATAGCTTGATTTTGGGTAAGGTGCTGCAGCAGCATTGGTCCTGCACTCTGGAGTCCTTGCAGAGTCTCATTGTGCTGGACGCTGGGAGACATGGGGGAATGATGGGGAATGGCCCAGCTGACGAAATCACAGATTTGGACTTTCAACAGATCTTGACTATGCAGCTTGTGCAGCTTGTGCAGCTTGTGCAGCTTGTAAACAGGGCAGAAAAGCATCCAGGATCTGTGGGGCTTCAGCGACTTGCGTACGGCCATCACCACCTTGGCAGCAGAGCAGGCACCATTCTGATCGTTGCTTCAGAAGAACCTTCAAGATGTCACTTTATGCCTATAGAATGACCCCAAAAAATAAGGCGAACCAATGACAGATTTTCGCATCAGGTTGGTGTGGTGGACCTCCCCGAAGGTTCCTTCGCAGTCCGCGGCGGCGAGGAGGTTGGGGTGATCCAAGCGAACACGGAAATGGAGAATGCCTGGCTTTTTTGCATCCCGTGCGGAATTGGCACCTTTGGAACCACACATGGGAATTGACATCTAAGGGAAACAAAGGAAACAAAGGAAACAAAGGAAACAAATAAGGTTAACAAAAATATACAAATAAGGTTAACATAGGTTAACATCTTAAGCTCAGAGGTCTTCGCGATGCGATGTCAGGTGGCTTCGAGAGTTCGCTCCAAGGACTTGGCATCTTTGTGCGGGGCTAAGATCTGCAGCGGTGAACCGAGGCATTCCGAGTCATTCCCAACAAGCGAAATCAAAGGACATCAAAGGACATCAAAGGACTCACAGATTTTGAGAAATGGCTCTAAGATAACTCTAAGATAACTCAGATCTCAGGTGGAAGTGGCCTGAAGCTGCCGCATTGGTCTGTTTGCCCGTCCACGAGCTCAGTCCGGAAGATGGAGCCCATGCCTCCGGAAATCACCGGTGAAGAGATTTCAATGGACCAAGGCCTGGCGAAATCAGCTGAGCCATGGCCAAGTGGAGTTGCTGAGCAGGGGGCCTATTTTCGCATCGAACTTGTAAGGCGTTCCCAATCCCAATAAATCTCCCAAACATGATTGAAAGATATTTGAAAGATATTGAAAACAGATCCTATCTAAAACTTGATTGCTCTATGTTTCTTTCCATTCTTTCCGTGAAAGCGGAGAATCATATTCTGAGGCCCTGATGGTCAGCTTCCATGGCCTTTGTGGGAAGCGCTGCTACAGGACATGATGAATGAACATTCCCAACTGACAACATCTGACAACTATTGGAGTTTGAGTTTGAGTTGGACTTTTTCGTGTCCTCCATAAATCCAGATCTGTGTTCCCATTCTGATTCTAATGATTTGGATGGATTTGGCATTTAGTTTTTTTGCTGTGGGAAATGTGATGACTTTGAAAGACATGGAGGACTGCACTGCTTGCCCGTATGCAGAGTTGGCTGAAAGGGCTGTTCTCTACCTGGCCCAAAGGAGTGCAGATGTGACAGGCTCTTCCTGGGTGTCGTCGAGAGGGATTTTAATGGTCTGGTTTCATTATGCTGTTAATCCATGTTCATCCCAGCTCTCAAAAGGTCATCAAATGCTGTAATGTTTCAATACGTTTCAATATGTTTCATTGTTTCTGTTTCGTGCTCAACTTTTTCCAAATTTCGAAACTCTCAAGAGGTGCCCCGTCAGTTGCTCATTTTCACCGCCTTCGAGTGGCGTTGGCTTTGGAGGTGCACGAGTGAAAAGAAACGAAGGAAACGAAGGAAACGAAGGAAATCAATCAATGTTGGAGTTTGGCATAGCTTGGCACCGCGTCAGGAAATTTCCAGCAGGGCTGAGCTCCGCTGCTTTGAAGGAAACGAGTCCAGGTCAGATGCGGCGAGTCTTCTTCGATGTGGAAAGCTGTCTGTCACTGTGTGTGTCTTTGATCTTCTTTGACCTTTGGTGTTCAGATTCACTGATGGCTTGTAAAATCTTGTAAACGACAAGGGGGGTTGGACTGCTGGACCTGTTTTGTTGAATCCAGGAGGCCTGTTACACGATTGCTTTACAAACGTCATCAAATATCTTCCTATGCATCTGAAGGTCTGAGAGCCCGCCAACTTGGCACATCCAGGCCTGAGCTTGGTCTGAGGATATGGAGGAAACATGAGGAACCATATCATGTTTCTACTACAAAGTTGTAATCAACTTCTAATCAACTTGTATTACCTTGTAAAACCTCTCAGCCAACAAGAAAAAGATGAGGTTCTTCAGGGGTACCTATTCGGTTGGCTGGACCATACTCTGAAACTTTTGAGCAATTACCTTTGAGATATACCGGCGGAGAATAAATTAGCTCTGAATTTTGTTGCCTGCGACTCATAGCATATTGATTCAATGATGCATATGGACCATATGGATCTGCTAGAGGGTTTTTGATGTTTTTGACTTTGCTCACTGAAATTTTTCGGTTCGGACAGCGACATCTCGGGACGCACCGAGAAGCTAAAAACAGCTGTTGTCCTTCCGCCTGACATCTCAGGGGATCGGAGAAGGGATGAGACCAAGTCATGATTACTGCAATGCTGCAATGTTGAATTTGATCAAAATGCATCATGTGCTTCGATGTTCTTTGTTTGAGTTTATTGTTGCCTTCGACAATATCATATATCATTTTACCCAGGCTTTGATCACCATGACTTTCTTCCAGGACTGAGTGACTGAGATCAGAAAAGTCTGGCTATGTTTGGCTCAGTGTTTTTCATCCCAGCAGTGCCAGCAGTGCCAGATGCCATTTGTCTCAGGAGATTGCCATCGCCATGCGCAGCAACCGTGGACCCGTTGCCATGACCAAGACCCGTGGTGAGTTGTTACACTTACCGTTGGGCTTCCCAGTGAACCCCATGGCGCTTGGATCCTTCCAGATCCTTCCAGTTCGAATTGATGTGGGATACTTTTGACCCAGACCCATAGCAAGTCATACCACAGCTGCATCACATTTGACACGTTGACACATGGCTGAGTCAGCTGAGGTTATTATTACCCTTATTAGGTTTACGCTGAAGATCTCCAAAGCTCTTCCAGCCATGGCACTCATGGCAGCAGGAAACCCTGTGGGTCCACAGGTTGCGTCGCCCTGTAGCGCGGCAGCAAATCAGCACGGTTAGCAATGGGGGACCATTTCAACAGTGAATTGAACCGATGTTCCAAGAAGTTTGAATATGTTTGAACGAATTATTCAATTCTTCGAGCATCCTCAAGTCTTGCAAAGGTGAAAGTTGCTGCAAACTGAATGGAGATACATTTTGATACTCTTTCTGCACCTTTTTCTGCCACCAAATTAGAGCCCAGATCTCATCATTGTCAACCATCCAACTGAACTCAGGTAGAGGCAAGACGTCCCGGACGTATGCAGAACGCATGCAGGCACACAAGGGTCCATTCTATGATGATTATGATGTGACTCTTGCAGTCATAATTTGAATCATGGATTCACAGGTGTGTCCATCATACATCATCATAAATCAGGTTGTTGACTTTCTCCATGTTTCTCCATTTGCCAAATTTTGTGAGGAGATTCTGCGCAATTTGCACAGCACCCTCCGCGCCATGACGGTGGTGCAGCGCGAGCGCAGCTTCCGTCAACTCTTCAGTCAGCAGCAGCGGCTGAGACTTGAACCTTGGCGGGACAACAGATGGGACAACTGGAGAACCCCCAAAAACCAACTGGGAGTTGAACATCAGTTGAACATCAAGAGTTGTTTTTAATATTTTTTAATTTGTTTTTCTGTTATTTTCTGTTGGGAAACACGTTTCTGGTTAGGTTCATACCTGTCACATAGCCAAGTAGTCCCAGATGCAGAAAGCTTTGGGTGCTGCAAAAGGGCAGAAAACTTATTTGAGTATGTCTCAAAATACTTTCACTTTGTCCTATGAGTCACGCCCCAAAAAAGCGCAGGTGAAGATATTTCATGGCAATCCAATGCAATCCATGTGATGGGCTTTTGGGTGATTCCATCAGACCTGTGTAAACCACAGACATGTCATGGACCACCTGCTTGAAACTGTTGGATCAACTCGCATCTCAGGAGGCGTACATTGTTTCGACTCTGAACGTCTCGAAGGAAGTTGCGAAGGTTGAGGCCTGAGTTGATGTGACCCAACACCACAGAAACCATCAGAAGCCAACAGAAACCAACAGTCACAAGTTGATCAAAGTTGATCAAAAATTCCTTTTGCTGCTGGGACCCAGGTTTCAGACTGCAAGCAATGCTCTGAAATGCCAAATGTCTGAAACTCAGCTGGAATCCGAAAATTCTCAGTCTCAAGATTCTCAAGCATCCAGGACACTTCGAGGCAGTATGAGTAGCCGTGAATGAGGTTTGAATATGGTTTGAATCACTGTGTCCCTGATACCTCTCATTGACATGTAAGGACGATTTGCATGTGATCTTTTTGACTCTCAAGCTTCTATGGTGGCATTGATTTCAAAGGCTCTCGAAGCTCTTGAATTTCTTCAGCTTGCTACCCACACCAATTGGTTCGGCTTAGCTTGCCCACACCACTGTGGATCATCATCATTCCCTGCTTTGGCACTTTGCTTCCTTCTTGGATTTATCTGCGGCTGTGCCACTTGCCTTGGACTTTGCTGGGCCTACTTTCAATCCTCTTTTCCAAATCTGCCTCCCCCTCGCTCCCAATCTCCTCACTGGGTAGCGGCTTCACGGCTTAGGGGGTACTTGAATGAGCAGTGAGGAGTCAGCCCTAGCCCGTAAAGTTGCAGAGCTAGAGGCACGTTTGGAGGACCTGACTGCGGCTTTTCATCAGTTCAGGGTCACAGTGAGGCAGAGTCAGCCTACGTCTGGCTATTCGGTCATTTCCAGCTCCCCCCCATCAGAGGCTGCCGCCTCGGGGACTTCCTCTTGCTACAACGTCCTGGCCACTGAGATCCCAGCTGTTCCTGACTTTGCTGTCCGGTCTTGCTCTCTGTTGTCTGGAGGATCCCTATCACATCGGGAACGTGCCTCTCGAGCCTGGGAGTCAGGGTGGTGGGCCAGATTTTGCTTGGAGGGAAAGGTCGCCAAGCCTCGACCGTCCAAACCAATTGACTTGCAGAACCAGGTCTACATTGTGCTCAAGGCAGACGGCTACGATTGCCCATTGCTTTTCACGAAAGCATCAGACTACCGTGCGGTGGTCAAAGACTTCCAAGGGGCAACCATTTCACACGGTTTCCCTTCGCAGGCTGAGGCCAAGATTTACTGTTTGGGAGCAGGAGTGGACTTCCCTTCACAGGTATCAACATGGACCCCATCCCGATAGTGAGTTTGCAGGATGGAGAAGAAGTGCAGTATGTCCTCCAGTGGCCTCAGGACGTAGAGGAAGGGCAGCCTCCTCTTGCATGTCGGGCGTTGGTAATTATGAAGAGGGTAGGAGGCCTTCTATTAGCTGTGCCCGTTGGTTTCCTTTCTGTGGAGGATCTTCAGACAGCATCCAGTACCTCAGAAGACACCCTGCTTGGTCCTCACACAGTTCTCACGATCCCAGCTCTGAGACAATCCGCAGAGACTTTGCTGCCTGCAGGTGCGGACATAGACGTTCAGGTGGTAGATGCATCACTGGAGATTTTGCAAGGTTTAATGAGACTTTCAGACTTTGGTGGTGCAGAAGAAGGACTTATGCCTTTTGTGGAAGATGCTCTCCTCTCTCCAGATCCCACGGTCTTACTGCAGTATACGACCGAGTGGGTCTCCGTGTCAGGGGCATCAAGAACAGCATTTTACTCTGCGGAAGAAGAGCCTGGAGAGCCCACCGTGGCCCCCAAGAAGGCTGCAATCAAAGCAAAAGCAAAGAGGGCCTCGACAGCTCAACTGACTGCAGAAAGCATTCAGACAATGGCCAAGTTGCTTCCCACGATGGCCGCTCAGCTAGCAGAGCTCTCTGCCAGGCAGGATCAGCTTCATCAGCAGGTGGCCGATCAGTCATCGCGACCCCCTCCTCGAGCCAGTCAACAGCCGGTTTCAATGACTGCCCAAGAGTTTGCGGGTATCATGGGGGCTCCCCCAAAGACCAAAAATATGAACCTGCCTCACCCTCCGCCAAAGAGGGGTTTGATGCTGGACTCGCACCTCACTGCTCACGAGCAGGCGGAAGAAGCGGAGGATCCATACCAGACCAGTCCCTTGGCAGCTGCAATGCTAGAGCAGAGCCGTGCTCTATCGGCGTTGGTGGCGCACTTAGCGGGAGACCCTCTCATAGACTCGGGTTCAGCCAGCTCCACCTCCTCGCGAGGGGCCCAAGGAAGAGAAAAGCTGCAAAAAGAGTTGAGCCTGCGAGCAGGCAGTTTCTTTCTGACAGTCATGCAGAACATGTACAAGCGGCTCAAGCCAGCGATGCCAGTGCCAGCAAGCATTCAGGAGCTTGCGGCAACAGACATATCAATGGTCCACTATCTCGAGCGTTTTGGAGGCTACGGCAGCGTGAGAGACTTGGGCATGGTACAGTATGCACTGGCTTATATAGTGGACATGGCTTTGAGGGAGGACATACAGGGGATCAGGGAGCATCTAGCCTTGTTGATAGTGGGCATCGAGCAGTTTGCACAAGATGGACGGTGGGACCTTGCATTTTTGCTGACCTTGCTGGAGGACCCCCCACCTCAGATGTGGAGCTACAGGCACCCGGCGGGAGCTCAGTCGGGACGGCTCCGGGCATTTGCACCTTTGTGCCCCCAAAGATGGGCGACAATCTCCCTGGCTTATCTGAAGGAGATAGACTTCATTCAGAACCGGAAGCAGGACTTGGCCAAGAAAGAAGCCAAGGCCCCACAGCCTGCGCAGCCAGCCCCCAAGAAAAAAGGGGGGAAGGGAAAGGGGAAAGGATCCGAACAAGGAGCAGCAGGAAGTCAGGTCGACGAAGCGTAGCCTCTTGCTACAATGAGCACTTAAGCCCTTTGCCAGGTTCTTCATCGTCAGTACAGCCCTCTGGGACTGTATCTTCTGGTCGGGGGCGTGCTTGCTTCGAATTGAGATGTGAGGAGTATGAGGGCCTCGACAATGGGCCACAGAAGCAGAATGAGAGGGGCAGGTATGTAGCCAATGAGCTTCGTCCTTCTTCTCTGAGTGCATGGGTCGATGGTGTGGTGAAGAGCATTTTGTCCACTAGGACCTCCTTTGCTTTCTACATTTCGGCATGTATTCGATGCTGCAGTGGTGACAGACTGTCCCCAACCACTGCTCTGTTCCCGATTCCCATCCCTCATGATGACGTTTGGTTGAGTCGCCCAAGCCATTTTGGCAAGAATAGAAGGGAGAGGATTGCTCTGCGGAGGATGGTGATTTTGGTTATTGGAGCTTTGAACTTTAGCTATTTGTCATCCCCTCTCTCATGCCTTGAAGGGCTTCGGAGGCAGCCATCTTGCGTGCATATTGAGGTGTACAAGAGGTTGGCCGCTATCATCAGAGCAGGTGGCCCGTCAGGCTTGTTTTCTAGCCTGGGCTGTGGTCGCAAGAGTTTTCAATTAGATGCACGTCTTGGTGAACTTCTTGTTGCTGTGCGAAGTCTTGGTCTTGAAGGACACCACCAGTATTCAAGGCCTGCACAAGATGTCCAGGTCCCAGTAGTCAATGACAAGGAGGAGTTGGTCCCCTATCGAAAGCTTGATCCCACTAGGCTCAAACTTACAGGAACCGGAGAGTGGGATTGCAGGCCTTATTTGTCGGACTTGTTGTATCTCCCCTTTGTCGAGCCCAAGATTAATGAGTATGACATCGTTCCGCCATCCAAGGTCATTCCTGACTTTTCCAGCGTTTCAGTTGACGATGCCATTGGTCTCTGCAAAGTTTGGGATGCAAAGTCCCTCCTCAAGATTTTCCCTTGGGAGCTTGGTCCTATGTCGATGGTTGGATGCACAAAGGTTTTCAACAACTACAAGTCTCCCACCACTGACAGGCAAATTGGCGACCGCCGTGCCCAAAATTTCAAAGAAGGAAAGATCCAGGGGCCATCGAAGCACCTGCCTACTGGAGCCTCCTTGCTGCAGCTTGCACCTCTGAGGTTCAAGGAGAAGTTGGTTGGGTGCGTGGCTGACCGTCGTGATTTTTACCATCAATTTTGGGTGACAGAGGAGAGGGCGATGAAGAATTGCATCTACCCGTTTTTGCGTGCGGAACAACTGCAGGGCACCAAGGCATATGATGAAATGATTGAGAAATTCCAGAAGAAGAGAGTACAGAATCGGGAGACCTTTGGTGATTTCCTAGGAGGTCGCCCTACTCCCCTGCTGGTAAATGAGTCCAGCACGGTCATGGCTTGCTTTTCAGCGTTGTTTCAGGGTGACCATTTGGGTGTTGAGTTTGCCACGGACTCCCACAGTAGGCTTCTGCAGGACCATGGTCTGTTGCGGCATGAATCGAGACTTCAGTCAGGCAGTGCTATCTCGTGTGATGCGGTAGTATCTGGACTCTGTATTGATGATTTTTTCTGCATTTCAAAAGAGCCTTTGGTGCAGGATGATGGTGCAGCAGCCAGGTCAGTAGAGGCTTTCCGCACTGCGAAGGGAGCATATGCGTCAGAGGGGTTGCTAGGCTCAGATGACAAAGATGTTGTCGGCAGCGACAGTTTCAGGGTGATCGGTGCTGAGGTCATCTCACATCCCTCCGCTGTTAAGCGGGGGACAGTGACAGTTGCAGCGCCTTTCGAGAAGCGGCTTGGACTTGGCTTTGTCTCAGCCATCGTAGCGTCGCTGCCTGTTACTTCGGATGCTCTCCACGCTACCCTGGTTGGATCGTGGGTATCAGTGCTCACCTTCAGGAGGCCGGCCATGTCTCTGATCAATGAGCTCTTCAAAATCATCTCTCCTGCTGAACTTGATACCGAAGCACCCAGACTCAGGAACCTCCATCGCAAAGCAGCAGAGGAACTGCAAGTGCTTGCTGCCTTAGCTCCTGTCTTAGCGTCCAATGTTGCGGTGCCTTTCCTTGATGAGGTCTTTGCCACTGATGCTTCGTTGACTCATGGAGGTATAGCAAAGGCATTTGTTGGGGAGGAGATCGCAAAGACTTTGTGGAGGACAGCGGATAAGAAGGGGGCCAATTTCCCTCTCTTGTCAAAAGCAGCAGCATTGTTGTACACTCATGATCCCGAGTTTGAGCAGCATGATTTTGAGGAGTTCGGCAGGAGCACCAACGTTGGTTCAGATGGAGATGACATCACAGATGTTCAGCGTCCCCTTGGGTTGAGGTTTCAGTTTTTGGAGTTGTGCGGTGGCGCAGGAAAAGTCACAACCAGGCTCAGTGAGTTAGGCATCGTTTGCGGCCCCATTTTTGACCTCAGCAATAGCAGGCAGTTTGATCTTGCTGACTGCAGAGTTGTTCAGTGGGTCATCTTCATGCTGGAAGAGGACAGGCTTGACAGTTTCTTGATTGCTCCACCTTGTACAACTTTTTCTCCTGCTGCTCATCCATGCAAGAGGTCTTACAAGGTTCCTCGAGGCTTCAATCAGCAAGATCCAGCTGTTTGGATCGGGAACAGACTTGCGTTTGTTGGCATGGCTGTTGCTTGTGGCATTGAGGTTGAGAAAGTTTGGGCTTGGAGAAACGCCGCGCCGTAGCAAGATGAGATGGCTCAGAGAATGGAAGCGGCTCATTTATTTGGGGGCCAGAGAAGTTTTCTTGGCATCATGTTCGTACGGCAGCATCTATCAAAAGGAGTTTTGTTTCCTTGGAGCCAATATGCATGTCGAACTTCTTCATCGACCTTGCACACGAGATCATCAGCATGTTCCTATCCAAGGGCAGTTCACAAAGCCTTCTGCCACTTACACAGATGGGCTTGCCGAAGCGCTGGCAATCTTTTTCAAAGACCATTTGAAGGCTAGAGAGGCTGCTTTGGAGAGGACTACAGTTGATGTTGCTGGTTTGGAGTGCATTGTGTCGAACGATGTTTGCCAAGCTTGGCGGTGGGAAGCAGTTGATTCTTGGCAGTGGAGGGGCAGCTCTCATATAAATCTCCTTGAGACATCAGCTACGTTGAAGCTGTACCGAGAAATTGCATACAACGGAGGAGATTGCAGATTCACCTACTTTGGGGACTCTCATGTTTCAAGGAGTGCAATTGCTCGGGGCAGATCGTCGGCCGATGCCATGAAGCCTCTTTTGAAGAAGTCTGCGGCTCTGAGCATAGCTTTTGGACTCTATGGCGCTGGCAGATTTTCCCCCACAAGGTTGAATCCAGGTGATGCACCGTCCCGTCTTGAGGAGATTCCTGAGCCAACTGAATCCTCTGTTGCCAATGGACTTTCTTCGGTCGCCCTGACCTCTCTTGCTTCCCTGCCTCCCCTCAAGCGATGGGCTGCAAACTGGAGCCGTCTTGCCTGTCTGATCAACCCAGCCATCGTTCTGTTGCTTTCCTGCCGTCACGAACTCAGATCTCATCCCTGGTCACTTCTAGAGAATCGGGAGTGGTCATTGGATTTTGATTCCACTCTTGGTTTTCCGGGAGAGGGCTGGGTCCTTCGCTCACTTGTCCTGCTTTGCTTTGCTGCCTTTTGGTGTGGTGTAGTAACTGTAGGAACAGACGGGGGGCCTAGCCATGGAGATGCATTGAGGCAACGTGCGCGACAGGGTATCCAACTGACTGGTGGTAGACGGGTTACTCAAACAACTGCTTTCACAAGGGACTGGCTGTTTTCTAGGTTCACTGCCTGGTTACAAGAAAGGCAACTTGATGTTCAACAGGTTGTTTTTGCAAATCCTCTTGACATTGACGCTTTGAACGAAGCTTTGGTCCAGTATGGCAAGTGGTTGTTTTCAGAAGGGAAACCATACTATCACTTTAGTGAGCTGCTGAATGCGGTAACATCAAAACGTCCTGCAGTGCGACGTGCCATCCAGCAGAGCTGGGACTTAGCATTCCTGTGGGGATCCTATGAACCTGCCACCCATCACATTGCGATGCCTTCGCAAGTGCTGGTGTCAGTCATTTCTGTTGCCTTCGTTTGGGGATGGAGCCGTGAAGCTGCTGTGTTTGCCTTGGCATGGGGCGCTTTGCTCCGCATTGGCGAAGTGCTCAAAGCTCGGAGGGCTGATCTGATTATGCCATCCGACTTGGGAAACACCATAGACCATGTCTTGCTGAAGATCCTGGAGCCAAAAACCCGTTTTCGGGCTGCCAGACATCAGACTGGAAAACTCGAGCAACCAGACCTGATTGAGATCATCCGCGTTGGCTTCAGTCACCTTCACCCAAGTGATCCTCTCTGGCCTTTTTCTGGCTCTACGTTGAGACTGCGTTTGGCGAGTATCCTAGCAAAGCTGGACCTGCCTACCAAAAATGGGCAGACGCCGAAGCCGCTGAGCCTCGCAAGTTTTAGACCAGGAGGCGCCACTTGGCTGATTTCCCAAACAGAGTCAGCAGAATTAGTTATGCGCAGAGGAAGATGGGCAAGCAGGAAAGTGATGGATTGCTATCTCCAGGAAGTGACTTCATTGACCTACCTCAACGAAGTCAGTGCAAAGGCCAAAAAGCTGGTTCTCAAAGCAGTTGAAGCTTTTCCCTCGCTTCTACGAGCTGTAATTCATTTCCATAGATGCAAGATACCAGAACCTACATGGTTCTTTATGTTCCAACCAAATCAGGCGAGCAGCTTTTGAAGTATGGTCGGTCAGGGTGTGATGGCACTGTTTTCGTCATGAAATGCCACCAGCGTCACACAAACATGCAGACGCAGCATCGAAAAGAAGAGCGGCATTGAGTCCTTGACATGTAAGGACGATTTGCATGTGATCTTTTTGACTCTCAGCATTGAGTCCTTGTATAGAATCCATCGAGCCCGTGACGTGAGGCAACTCCATTGAAGACCATTCCGACCATTCCACTTCCTTCCACCACAGGCCCGGTTCAGAGCTGAATCAATGAGCGATTTCGGTACACGGCTGATGGTCAGGTATTGAGAAACGATGCAAGGTGCCGGGGTTGGTGGTGAACCCTCAATGCAATGGCCGCTATTTTCGTGCACAGGTGGCCATTGGAGACTTGGTCAAGAGATGTCAATAGAACATCATCCGCATCCAACATCACCCTCATCGCCAGTGAAGATTGAAGAGATATGGAAGATATTCGTGGCAAAGTGCTTGGTTTCAGTTTAGTTTAAAATTCATTTGAGACCTTCAAGACAAGCTGCAAAAAAAGCCGTTTGACATGTTTCATGGTGAACCAAGGAAGCTTGCGGCTGGTATCCCGTCCTTCTGCTGAAAAGTCGCAGTGCCATCAGAACTGAGAGAAATCGCATCTAACTAGCAAAAAACACCGTGACTTATTTGTGCAATCAACGGTTTGCGCGGTTCATGATTCACAAGTGGCGAATGCTTGAGGCTCATCCCGCGATCTGAGAAGCACCTTGCCTTTCTGCCAGTGCCTGTCGCTGGTGAAGGATCGCTTGGAACAGGCAGAGAGTCCATTGTTTCATTTGGGTATGTCTGAAAATAGGGTATATTCCCAATTATAGCAATTTAATAGGGATAATGATCATAAACCACTGGGTTTAGGGGTACACTATTTTCAGACAAACCCATTTGCATCACTTTAAACATTTTAAACTGCATGACTAAAACAACAAAGGTCTTAAGAGAAACTTGTCAGGTGCGCACGCTTCCAAGCAAAGACTTTGCAGAGACCTTTCTGGAGGCGGGGGAACGAAGGCATTGGAGCATATCATCGGCGTTTCAGCATGTTTCAGCATGTTTCAGCATGTTTCAGCATGTTTCAGCATGTTTCAGCATGTTTCAGTTGCTTTTCCATCTGACGTTTCAGGTCTTGCATGCTGGTCTCGAGACCCATGGCATCTCCGCTGATCATGCAGGCGGAGACCCGTGACTCCGTGCGCTCGAGACAGTCTGCACGTCACAGATTGTCGAAGCCGCAATTGAACAAAGATAGCAATTTTGGGTCGTTGAATTGCTATAAATGAATATAAATGACCATTTATATATATATTTATGATGGCCAATGAATTTTGCTATAAGTTTTGATCTGTTCCATTTATATCATCACCAAGATCAACATCACGATATAGCGCGCCACTCCGCGGTGCTTCTCTGGCTTTGACCGAATTGGCACCGGAAGGCCTTCGCCTTTACATCAGCTTTCGTCCGAGCTGCTCGCGAAGACGGGTCTCTCGGCACTATCTGGTGGCAGATGAGGCACAGCCAGCTGAAGTTGTGACACATATTGAGGAACGATTGTTTTACATTGTTTTACTGTAACTTGCATTTTTATGTACTTTCCTCATGGCCATAGTATCACCATGTATCACCATCATTTTATGTTGATGCTTGATAGGCGGAGCTACGCATGGGCCTTGAGCACTGGCAACAGATGCAGCCCGGCAACCAACAGTGGAAGCAGATCTTCATGGAGGTTCGGTTACGGTGGCAGTGGAACTATCACGGTTGGAACCTGCTCCCCATTTTCTTTAAGCGAGTATGTTGGGTGGAGTCAAAAGTACCTATGTAGGGAATTTCGGGAAAAGATGCCCAAGAAATTCCCAGTATTGCTCAATATGTGGACAAGTGGAGGGTTTGTTGCAGCGGAGATACGGACGCAGCAATAGAACAATCGAAGCGCGCCAATCAACTGGAGTCCAGGAATAGATTTGCTATGATTTGCGTAATTGAGAGCATGGATCATCTTATCTTAGGTATACCATCAATGGTGATGGCAGCAACCTAGAATCGTGGATATTTCATGATAAATACAAATAAATTACAACCTCATGTCCAGCTGGCAGGATTGCAGAGGCAGACCACGCCAGCTGAAACGTGCCCGAGTGTGATGCTCAATGGGATGAATCCGGGATGAAAGATGACACCTTTTCCCGCAGCCAGTGGGCAACTTCAAAGCCTCCGTGGGAGTCAGTTTTCATGATGTTACACTGTTTCACGGTATTACAATATATTATAATATAATATAATATATTATAATATATTATAATATAATATAATATATTATAATATAATATAATATATTATAATATAATATATTATATATAATATATAATATATTATATATAATATATTATATATAATATAATATATAATAAATTTACATAATATATTACAATACTATTCCAATGATTGAAATCTTTGGAGCATTGCCGTGTTGCGGTGTGCACCGAACAAGGCAATTTTGGAAGAGTCAGAACGGCGACAAGATGAGCTCGTGGCCCGCCGGGCGCATGCTTTGCAGCAACGAGCAGAGAAGGTGCCGGTCTCTTGATGTCTCTTGTATGTTTTCATCATGTTTTCACATCCATTTCATTTAATTATTTTAATTTCAAGTCATTCCATTCGCAGCGGTGTCAAGACACATGAAAATCAATAAGAATCGAACATGTGGGATGACCCGTCCGAAATTTCCAGAGGTCTGACAATGGCAAGGTGATGCAAGGTGATTCAAGGTGATGCAAGGTGTATGAACTCAGCTGGATTTGTTGAAACATGCCTCGCTGGGAGGAGCGCCAGAAAGTGCTTCGGCAGGAGCTGGTCAAGAGAAGGACGCGGATGAGTGAGAGTGTCAGAGTGGGGGAATTGCTGCAGCTAAGCCAGCTAGGCAAAACCTGATGGTTAGTTTGAAGTTTGAACACATCATTGGACTCATCAACCCCAGACCCTGCAGCCAATTGATGGCAGCCATTTCTTGAGAAACTCGATATCATTGCACTAGGAAGCCGCGACGGCAGCCTGAACTGAGCCGCCCCGAGCGCGCAGTGCGCAGGCTGGGGTACATTTTGAGTTTGTGGGCACAGTATGGCGCAGTAGACAAGAGTTCAACATAACTGTTTTAGATACTACTTATTTGTTGTTTTTCGGCTTTGAGAAAACACTTTTGGTGCGAGGACAGTGTACTACACCTAGTCGATAGGGTACACCGCTGTACAGATTTTTAGATTTTTGAGCCAGGCTGCTGAGACGCTGGACTGTGCTTGAGTCTTCGCTGCGACGAGGTGCGAAGGGCTGTTCTGGGTTAGGTAGCAGCCCTGACAACGGCGATTAGCAGCGGCTTCCAAATCCTTCATTGTCCTTCGTCCGACTGATGTTCGTGTATCTTTTCTTAATTGAGATGTTGATTGTAGTCTGCTCTCGAAATCGAAGCCGACGTTTGCCAGGAGCAAACCGATCGTTCCGGAGTGCTGCCGCACTTCTGTGACCAACGAAGTGAAATCAATGCAGCAATGACTCTGTTTTCGGAGCTCTTCGTGCCATTAGGGCGATTTTTCATCCCCAAAATGTGGCACAAAAACCGAAGTTTGTCTAGCGGTGTCTAGACATGAAAAGGTTGATGCAACCTCCAAAGGCAACCTGCCTTGTGACTGCCTTGCGACTGCCAAATGTTGCAAGGCAGCTGCAATATTTTCACAGTATGTATGATGTGAAAAGGTAGATTAGAATAGTTCGGACCGGAATGGGCTATCAGTCCTGGCAAACTGCCCGGCTTTGATGGCTCCAAATCCGCCAAGCTTGCTGTCGCACCAGACACATCGAGCTCCCAGAAGATCCAGAGACTCAGCACAGGAACACAGAGAAAGTGGTGTGCATCTTCGTGCAAGGTATTTGTGTTATTTTGTGTTGTACAGCCTGTACAGCTGTGATTTTCCACACTAGCAACTAGCAGTTTTGGGATGTTTTGGGTCCGACAGGTTCAGTTGGAAGAAAGCACCGAGGGGATGAAGGTCAGAGGCTTGGGAGATGCTGTCCCAATACGTGCAGGTGCGCCTTGGGTTTTCAAGCAGATTTTTCGTTGCATATTTTGATTTTGCCATTGAACGTTTGGTTGGTGTCCTCAGGATTTTTTCCTTTACAATCTTTACATAGTAAAGAGGATATGAATCATTAGAAGCCAAGGACAACAATGGATAAGATTCCACATGATTCCACTACCCCTTAACCTCTGTTTTCTTGTGGCCGAGTTGCCAGAAAGATTCAACTGCCAGGTGACTTGCTTCTGGTCCAAGCAAAGTTGGAGTACTTTGCCAAGGCTCCGAGACGATGGTAGCCGTAAGGGAGAAACCTACGTCCGTTGAAGCCGTGGTCACCGTGGTCACCGTGGTCCACTTGTGGCTGTGTCAAGGTGGTTTCGGTGTCGCCGCTGCAGCTCCAACCACTCTGGCCACAGGCTGGAAGATCTGGGTAGTCTGGGTAGCGAAGTTTGCAGATCTCAGGGTTCCCTCGCAAGGCACCGGTGGCTACGCCACAAGCGGCTGTACTTTGTGGTACTGCTTATGCAACACCAAATGAACGAGCTGTGATTGCCTTGCGTTGGGAACCCCAGGAGTGTTTGACATTGCTTCACCATCTAAAAATATTTATAGAACATGCAATGATCATCATTGATAATACAACTATATTATATTATATCATATTATATGATATTTATACGTATATTTATTTGTATGACCCAAGAACGTGGAAATGTGGAGGGCTTCAAAACCTCACCAGTTACAGCTTTCGCCGGGTTGCCAGGTGGCCTATGTTTCGGGGGCCCCTGGTACCTCACTGGGCGCCTGGCAGAGTTGCTGCGCCCGAACGCAGCGCCAGGCGTGCAAGGCCTGGCTGTTGATGGTATGGTTAGATGCTGGAGAATTTCATAGAGAAACGTGGTGGAAAATGGCTGAAGTTGGAAGAATGGATTTGAACCCACGCTCAGATTTGCTGTTTGTGGCCTCAAACTTGATGCAACCTGGATGTCCATACCCTTTTGCGTCCTTTTGCCATGGATGTTTGACACATCCCCCGCATTTCATCCAGAGTTGCTTCCATTTACATCACCCCAGCTTTGAAGGTGCGGTCGAAGATACCATCGCTAAGCCGAAGCAAGGCCACACAGCGTTTTTTTTTTCTCGCATCTCAACTTGGGGCAGAGTGGTCACCAAATGGTCGTGTTACAAGATGACATATTGAACAATATGAACGCTAGATAAAACATGATAAAACTAGGTGAAACTTGTGGTTAGCTATGGTTAGCTTCACTGTAGGAGGGCTCACTTCAATACAGTGTCAATACAGTGTCAATACAGTGTCAATACACGTCCTGACAGGCGACTGGTGGCACACAGAGTCGCAGCAAAAGATCATCTCAGCAGCACAGCAGAGGGAGCTGCTGCTGATCCACGGCCAGACGCTCAGTGCGAGTCTGGCTCTGAGGATCCACCAGATGGGTAGTCCACTTTGGCATTGCAACGAGGTCCACCTGGAACTGGCAAGACCAGCACTGCCGCTGCCATTGTTTCTCAGTGGATTCAAAAAGAAGGCGCCGGGCAATCAAGCTGTGCTTTGGGGCCCTAAGGATGCTGGAGTGTGGGTAGGGCAACCGTTCTGTTGTGTCATTTGCAGTTGTTCTGTTTGGGGTAACAGTGCAACAACTGGTGTACTCTCGGGTTCTTGGGTGATTTAAAGCCTTGGTTGGTTTCAGCCATGTTTAGAGTTTGCCACTGCCTTAAAGGAAAACACACGGATTTTCTCCATTTTTCTCAGCCTCTCAACGCTTCCGAGTGGCTTCAGGCCGTGTCCTTTGCACTGCCGAGTCACACGTGGCAGCCCAACGCCTCAAGGAGACGCTGCAGGGACCCGTGATGCACCTGAAATGGACAGGCCAGGCACCATGCCGCACCATGCCGCACCGTCATCGCCCAGAGCTGGACATTTCAGGGAGAAAAGTAGGGGCCAAGCAATTTTCAGGCAATGGACAAAATGGACAATTTCAGTTGCAAGGATCGCATTTAAATCTGATCAGAAGGGAAGCAAAGCAGGCAGAAAATGGTTTCCTGGAAACTCTAGACAATAGATGACAATAGACCACCTCCACCTTACCACCGCATTGTTGAGGTGAGGGGCCATCAATCCCATCAGTCTCAGAAGGTTTCAGATCCCTAACTTTTAGACCCACCTCTTTTCACTTCGAAATGTTGTTTGAAGCCCTGGGTTGGAGGTACGTATAGGCCGGATTATTTTTGTGTTACCAGGCATGCATATCAATTCAAAACTTACCTAGACCTAGTGTACTTCCAATGCGAATCTTTGCATCTTTGGTCAATTGTCAGGGGGCTCTTTGTGCTTTCACCACGTATGAGACATATCAAATGTTCATATCATAAATACAAATACACATAATATTAATATAAATACAAATAAATAGATGTATATATATATAAATATATATATATATAAATATTTATATATATATATAAATATATATATATATATAAATATATATATATATAAATATATATATAGATATATATAAATAAATATATATATATAAATATATAAATAAATAAATAAATATATATATATACATGCAATGAATGTTATGTTTGCAGAAAACTCTTGTCTCCTTTCACTCGCGAGGTGATACGCCCTGGTCAGAGCTTCAACGTCAACTTCAAGCTGCCCGAGTAGTTGTGGCCACATGTACCGGTGCAGGCTCGGCCTTAACCTCGGTAGAAGGAGATGCCACAGATGGAAAGGGCACTTTTTCGGGTATATCCCCTGACCTTTGACTTTGCAGCTTCATTTTTTCATCCAACATCATCCAACATGGCCAATCAATTTCTGGAGCTACACTGATGCAACACCTTCAAATTACCATCAAATTTTCAGCCCATCAGCTGAGAGCATCCACTGGGGGAGTGGCAGGTAATGATCTGTTGAACTCGGTGGAGTTCCGGTGGCTGCTGATTGATGAAGCGACACAAGCTACGGAGCCAGCAGCTTTGATTCCCATTTGCAGGACGGAAATTTGCTTGGTGACTTGGTGTTGTTGGAATGATTTAAGGAAACATCTATGCGAATTTGACCATGGTGACCATGACGTTTTCCCATCAATTTTTTGGGTGAAACATGTTAATTTCTCCTTCAACTGTGCCAATGATGGTGGCTGCAACGGAAACATGGGGCATCACGCAGTTTGAACCGCTCTCAGCAAGACGATCGGTCTTGGGATCCTGGGGGTCGAATAGACCTACCCAGGTAGGAAATGGTAGGAAGTGAACAACTCAACCATGCCCTAATGTAAAAGCTAACCAATCCCCTCTTGGGTACATATATGTACATATCCTGTATGAAAGTTCTGTATGTAACCGTGAATTGGGCTTGGCACAAACAGTTTTATACTTTTTCGCAGGTCTTCTTTCCAATTCATGAAATGAGAAAGGATGTTGCCAACAAGGATTTCGATCCCTGTTTCTTCCACAGGACACGAATTGAGCGCAAGGGCAACAACACTCTGAGTTTGCCCTCTGAATCTTCAATCTTCATCCTGAACACAATGTGTAGGTATGCAATGGAATGAAAGTATATATACATATATGATATATAATACTGTATGTATAATTATATATACACATTATACATATATATTATAATATATCTGAACTTCTGTCAAGCTTTCCGAGTTCTTTGTTTGTGCAGGAGCTCTGGTGCTCAGCAGCTAGTGCTATTGGGAGATCCCCACCAGCTACCGCCCACTGCTCCTTAGCTGTTGGATTTCAACTGGAACTGTTCCACAAGGATCCACAAGGAAGATGTAGGGAAGATGTAGCAGTGTAGCATTGGTGGCTCTAGGCTGACTGGGAAAGGAAGCTGCTTTTGAAATCTTTTGAACTGAAAATGATATTTTGCCAGCAAAAGGTTTGCACATGTTTGCACCATGGACATAGATATTTCCCTGACCAGTTTGGCTAGTCGGCCAGTTCCATTTTTTTTTTGGAGACCAACATCTTCAACTTCATGGTCTAGGATTGGTGACACCCTGACTGAGGGTTGTGGGACATCTCCTGTTGCCTCGGTGACTGAGGTGCTTTCGGCAAAGGCCGTCCAGTGGGGCCTTTCGAAGACCTTATTCGATCGCCTCTCTGAGAAGCAGCTGCCGATGCTCTTGGACACACAGCTGCTCTGAGTTCAATGATCAGCCATTGAATTCATATCGAATTCATATTGAATTCGGTGACTCCTGTTGGCCGTCAGACCACTTTACCAATCTTTGACTCTGATGATAGGGGACTGCCATTGTCCAAATTTGGGGTCTGATGCATCCACATGCTCCATCCAGCAGTCTGGAAGGTTCCGGATGCATCCAAAGCTGTGCGCTTTTCCAGCAGCTGCCTTCTATGGAAACCAACTGAAGACCTCCGGAGTCACAGCCGAGCTGGTTGCCCTGGAATTTCGAGGCAGCCAAGCTGAAAGGATGGCAACAGGGTTCCACGTGTTGAGCATGATTAATTGTTTGTGCTATCCATGTAATCGATATGATAGGAGAACTTGCATCTATTCAAGTATTTCAAGTTTATGTGCACTTCAAAGCTCATGAGCCGGAAATTTAGTGACATGTTGGCAGATGTTCAACATGTTTCAACATGTGTCAGAAACCCCTGTTGCAGGTGTCCATGGCCCTGAGAAGCAGATCGGCTCATCCTTCTGCAATGCTTCTGAGGTCCATCAACCCAAAACGCCATGCAGATGGGTCAAGATGCTCAAAAAAATCTTTGGATCTTGACTCCGACACTCCGACTCTACTCAACTTGTAGTAAGTTGAGGAAAATCGGCCACAGGCAGACATTGTCATCAGCATCCTCCCTGAATTGGCGACCGATCTTGAGGCAAGACTTACTGCATTGCCATGGTCAAAGTCGCTGACATGTTCCATTATTTCAACATATTTCAAATATTTCCCATTCCATTCCGTGTGATGCGAACACTTTTCCTCAGCTTTACAAGTGCTGGGTGTCAGCTCTCCTCGCTGAGTCAATCCTATTGGTTGCCCCATACCGAGCACAGCGAGGACTTCTTGAAAGGCCATTGATGGATCCATCAGCCTGATGGGTTTTGCCGGTTTTTGTTTTGACTGATGGATCTTGAACACGTGAGGCGCTTGGCAGATTTGCCACGGGACCCGCGACTTCAGGCGAGTGTGGCAAATGGTGATGTTTTTGCTGCGCTGATCCGCTCCAGCTCCAGCTCCAGCAGGTGTCCACCATCGACGCCCTGCAGGGGGGCGAATGCGATTTTCTGATCTTCTCTGCGACACGGAGCAACGCCACTGGGGTCAAACTCTCAGAGAAACCAACAAATCAAACATCATTGACGGATATTGACGGCTTTTCCGAGGAGTTTATGTTTGCTGTGTCCAGGATACTCCAAGTGGCTTCCTTCACCAGCATGATTTGTCACGCTTTCCAAGGCTGTGGGTTTCTTGAGGGACAAGCGCAGGGTAAATGTCTGAAACCCAGTGCCACTTTCCCTGCAAGAATAGTTAATAGTTGAATAGACCAACAAAAACTGCAAAGTTCCAGCCTTACCAGGCCTACCATGGCCTACCACAACTCAAATCGAAGAAATCCAGGGCTCCAAGTCCTGTCCCAGCAGGTGGTTCTAACCCGTGCTCGTCGCGGCATCATTGTGGTTGGAGATCCCAGGACTGGGACCATCTGGGACCATGTCATGGTGAGTTGATGATGTCGCTTCAACATGGGTTGACTATGACGCAGGACCTTAGCGAATGATGCCACCTGGGCTGCCTGGATGGAATTCGCGGCAAAAAAGGGGCGTTGCAAGAATTGGAGACATCTGAGACATCGTTGATCATGTTCATCATCGTTGATCTTTCAATTTCTGAATGCTTTTTTTTTTTTTTTATCTCTCTTTTTCTTTGGATTTTTGTTTGGATTTCTTCCCCCTTTCGACCGGTTCTCCGGTGATCCTTTCGGGATCCGGGTCAAGGCGCTGTCCTTGGAGCCGCTGGATCCATATACCCTGGCGGTGAGAGCTGAGGAGGGGAGCTGGGGAGCTGGGGAGCTGGGGAGCTGGAGCTGGATGCACGTGTTGCACAACGTGTTGCAAAAAAACAGAATATATATATATGGTACCCCCCCCCAAGACCTACCACTTTCACAAAAGTACTGGCATTTACAGTAAAATTTGCTATTTTTGGTATGTAATTTTGGATTCCGGGATTTGGGGGATGTTATATAGTGTATATATATACATATATATATATACATAGAGGATTCAAGCCTTGAATCCAACCCTTGTGGGAATCTTGGATCTTGAATCTTGCAAAGAATGCATTCAGAATGCATTCTTTCGGCAGGATTCAAGATTCAAGATTCAAGATTTCTGGGGACTCTTTGGGGCAAATCTTGAATCCGGATTCAAGATTCAAGATTCAAGATTTCTGGGGACTCTTTGGGGCAAATCTTGAATCCGGGATTCAAGATTCAAGATTTCTGGGGACTCTTTGGGGCAAATCTTGAATCCAGGATTCAAGATTCAAGATTCAAGATTTCTGGGGACTCTTTGGGGCAAATCTTGAATCCGGATTCAAGATTCAAGATTCAAGATTCCTGAGGACTCTTTCCAGCAAATCTTGAATCCAGGATTCAAGATTCAAGATTTCTGGGACTCTTTGGGGCAAATCTTGAATCCAGGATTCAAGATTCAAGATTCAAGATTTCTGGGGACTCTTTGGGGCATCTTGAATCTTGAATCCGGATTCAAGATTTGCTGGAAAGAGTCCCCAGGAATCTTGAATCTTGAATCCTGGATTCAAGATTTGCCCCAAAGAGTCCCCAGAAATCTTGAATCTTGAATCTTGAATCCTGGATTCAAGATTTGCCCCAAAGAGTCCCCAGAATCTTGAATCTTGAATCCGGATTCAAGATTTGCCCCAAAGAGTCCCCAGAAATCTTGAATCTTGAATCTTGAATCCTGGATTCAGGAATCTTGAATCTTGAATCTTGAATCCAGGGGGTGGATTCAAGATTTGCCCCAAAGAGTCCCCAGAAATCTTGAATCTTGAATCCTGCCGAAAGAATGCATTCTGAATGCATTCTTTGCAAGATTCAAAATCCAAGATCCAAGTTTCCCACAAGACTTTTGATCAAAATCTTGGATTTCTAAAGAAGTTTCATAGGGACTAGTAAGAGTATTCTGGCAAATTCCAAACCCAAGATTTGCACAAGACTTCTCCGCAATTCTTAGATCTTGGATCTTAGATCTTGGGAAGAATGCATGATCAAAATCTTGGATTCCTAAAGAATTTTCATAGGGATTGGTAAGAGTATTCTGGCAAATTCCAAACCCAAGATTTGCACAAGACTTCTCCGCAATTCTTAGATCTTGGATCTTAGATATTGGGAAGAATGCATTCTGGATGCATTCCTTTAGGCTGGAAAAGACATAAATACAATTCCTGCCATCCATTGTCACTGCTCCATTCTTGCAATCCATTGTCACTGCCCCAGTGCCATTCTTGTTCTCAGCTTTCATCGCTTCCCCTCTTATTTGCCATGGTGTTCTTCAACGTGACCGGCACGGTGAATATGTCGCAAGGCAAGGCCATCATGACATTGACACCAGAGCCTGACATCAAAGTGACCATGACTCGACCGTCAACATCTCAGCTCCTGGAAAAAATCGGAGCAGGAACAGTCAAGGTTCATGACAGCCGCCATCCAGTTGCAAAGAGAGACCTGACGACTATGATGGGCACGATTCAAAGGCAACTGCGCCTGCGTCCGGGAGGTGATGGTGAATGGAGTGCAGATGCCCAGCAGCGCTAGAAAACTTACTGGCCAATCCGAAAAGGAGCACTGCAACTGTGCAATTGGCCTTGGAAGATGTGAAGCCATCATCCTCCAGTTCCACTTTGGAAGAGAAGAAGCCAGCATCCTCGTCTTCCACATCCGATTCCGATTCGGATTCATCATCTTCCGAAGGTCCACAACATCAGGCAGATGCTGAACTCGAGAAGAAAAGCAAGGAAGTGATCAAATGGAAAGAGGAGTTTGAGGGGATTTTCTCGGCATTGCATCACACCTCTTGCGAGCTTGCGAAGGCAACCGCTCAGATTGAGGAGCAGAATGAGATCATCGCAGGGCTGTCTCAGGAAAATGCCGCTTTGCGGCGCCGGCTACAGCCGGAAAACGCCGCGGATATCCCTATGTATATGGATGAATCTTTGGCTGCTGAAGCTTCGTCTCCTGACTCTTCTGATCATGAAATGGCATCCGATTGATGTCGCTGAGACAAGGGCATGCGGGTTGAAAAAGATGTATCTCTCATTGTGTCCGTTTGATGCACACTGAAAAGAAAAGCAGTCTGGCACTAGAGCCTTGAGCCTTAGCATTATATGTATACATACTTAGAGATATGTCCTTGGCATGCACGTGTGGCAGCGAAAGTACTTGGGAAGGTCTGATTGTTTTGAACATGCTGGCAGTTGACATTCAACATTCAATTCATGTGTGGATTCTTGTCACTCTCGTATTTCTTCTCTGCTGTGTCACATGAGCCCAAACCTGTCCGCCCCAGTCTTGTCTTGTGCACCGCGCCGTGCTCCCCTTTGATTGCAATGGCTGGAACATTGATGGATAAGGCAATCCAAGCATTGGGAAAGAAACCGTTATATCTACGACCCTTGGAAGAAGCCAAATGTGGGATTGTCGAAGTGGAAGAGCCCATCACATGCATTGGATTCACCACTGATGCGTGCAGACCTTTGCAAAAGGGTGTGAAATCCATTACAGTTCTCTTTGATTTCCACAATGACATACCCTCATGTGGCGAACCAGTCGACATTGGCCAGATCGCTATGCAATATCGATGGGATGATTTACCTGAACCCATCCGTTTCAAAGGCACTCCTCCGAGTACAACCAAAATGGACTTCGTGCATGTGACCATGGCGAATGGAAACGTAGATGTTCTCAAAGTGCTCTATCTGCCACGTCCGATGTCCTTTCAAGCTGCCGAAGCTTTGTGCAGTGGGAAAGCTTATATTCCAGTCTTTAGATCGGGGCCCTGGAACATCAAAAAGGGAGTGCAGTGGCTTCTCAATCATTTGGGAGGGTATCAACTTAGATGGTTTGCCCTTGAAGAGAAGACCCAGGCGGAGCATTCCTCAAAACCTACCTGGTCACCATCAAGGTCTGAGCTGGAAGAAGGCATCTACCATATCAATGCATTTGCCCCAGAATGTGACGCTCTCAAAGCAAACACTGTGGATCCTGCTCAACACCAAGCCTGACTCAAGCACACCTATTGCAGGATGGCCGGAGGCGAAGGTACGGCAAATGTGCCAAAACAAAAGCAAGGGGCTTGGAGGTGCTGTGAGTATGACCGAGTTTCCCCTCACAACCTATAGCCTGAAGCCATTCTTGCACACTATCTTGCTACCATACTTGTATCCACTGCTCATCAACTTTGGCCTCTTGCTGCTGGGTTGTCCTGGTGTGGGGAAAACGCCCTTTGTGATCACTCTGGCAATGGCGCTTGGTCGTTACCACGTTCATCGATCTGGATGTGAAGGCCTGAAGGCTGGTTGGCGCCGAGCCAAATCCCTGGACAACTTCAGGCACAAAGCCCCTCAGGTTCAAGAGGCTCTCTTTCTAGACGACCCCGATCGAAGCAAGGTGTGCATAGCCGACCTGAAGAGTTTCCTTACATGTGATGAGGATGGAACGGTTGAGTCCAGGTACAACGATACCAAGATGTTACGGAATCAAATGAGGGCCTATGCGTCCAATGACTTGGCAGAAGAAAGATTTGATTGCAATGCAGGTGACACAGTGATTTCTGAAGCCAACTTCTTTAGCTTGCTTGATGAATTCTTCCGCGGTGACAGAGAGAAAGATGTCTTGGCAGTACTGAAACGCTCCATTGTCTTCATGTTCGGCAACCACGCTCTCTACCTTCGTTTGCCAAGTGCACATAGAGATGCCATTGTGCATCGGATTTGCCTGGAGGACGTGCATCTTGACTTGCTAGGTGAACGGGACAAACCTTTGTATGGAAAGTACAAGGGAGGTACGATGGAGACTGGATCAAACTTTGATGCAGAGATTCTCCAGGAACAGGAAGTCTTGGAGGAAGGATTTCAGAAGATTGCAGGATATGAAAACCTGCAGGATTATGTTGCTTATGTGAACCACAAGCTTCAGGACAAACTTCTTTTCCGCAGTGCCCATGCTGTGCCACCATCATCCTGCCCTTCTACTCCAGAAGCCAATATGGATGTGGTCTGCCCTGTGCCTCCCATTGGCACTCAACCCTCGGGGCGTCGCCGTGGCAATTTCGTCTATCCCGATCGTCGACTACGGGCCAAGACTTCTCCACCACCATCGCAGCACATTGAGGAGTTGGCTGAGGATGCAGAAGCTGCATACCAAGATCCCATGGAAGCGGAGCCTGAGGAACCGAAGAGTATGGATTTACAGGCTGATGAAGAGGCAGCCCACTACATGGGACTGAATGGCATGTAGACAAGTAGCCTATAATTCGAATGCAGTAGATTCGTACAATAGCAAGATAGACTTGCGAAGTCGTGTCCGAGGGGAGAAGAAAAAAAGGAACATAGCCATCGCACGAAAAGGTTATGTTGTCGGTGTTGTGCAATCAAGGTCCGCTGTCTCCATCGAAGCACAAGTAATTGCAAGCGAAGCGAGCATCCATTCATGCATATTGCACTGTAGCATACAGCTCAACTCTTGTGTTCCATATAGCCATCACTCAAGGCCATTGCGCTATGCGTTCCAAATTCAATCCATTCCCGGCACCAAAGAAGGGCAAATCTCGTATGGTCTTGAAACGCCCAGCTTCTCAGAAGACGAAGGCAAAGTCTTGGCAGAATGTACCGTATACAAGGGGTGCTGCGGATGTTGGTCCGCGGGGTCTTCGCATGGACCAGACAAAGTGGAAGAGGTCCTTGCCAGACATCCTCCATGCGACCGACAAGGGGATCGTGTTGCCTGATTGGCGTGGCAAAACTTGTCCTCGGTGTGAGAAGGGGAAGCTACGCGGTTGGGTGCAGAAGCCTGGTGACTCATCCCCTAAGCTTCGCTGCAATTCCAGGGGGTGCCAGGTCTACTTCAATCCGCATCACTTGCACCCTCTGTTTACAGAAGGTTATGGTGTGGCAGGTAGCCCCTTGCAGACTCAGGCTGCCCTATTACTTCTCAAAATCAACAACATTCCAAACTCCACCATCCACAGGCTCATGCATGTGAATCACAAGGCCATCGAGGACTTGGACAAGCGATTGGCTTTACTACGCAAGGAGTATGTGGAGGAGAAGGAGAAAGAGATTTTCTTCGGCAACGGAGCAGCGTGGCAGGATGTCGAGGCAGACGAAACTACATTCGACAAGAAGACTATCACTGATGTGTCAGAGCTGGGCAACACCAAGAAGCCAATTGAGTGGGAACAATGGTGTGGTATTGTTCAGCGAGGGAAGCCGGAGTCGTTGGTCTTGCATCGTCTGAAGCCTGTTCGTACAGATGCACGTGCACCGGGACGCGGTGCAGTACGCAAAGTCGAGTGGCGTCCCCTTGCTGACCATTGGCTGAAGAACAGAAAGGTTGTGTTGCACACGGATTCTGCCAAGAGTTATAGGGTCCGTGTTGCAGGGGTGTTGCACGATCGAGTAGTCCATTGCAAAAAACGCGTGAAAGTACGCGGCAAATGGAAATGGCAGGCGCCACGATATGTCAAAGTAGTGGAACACAAGCTTCCAGGCACAAATAAAAAGATCCGTGTGAAAGCTGGCACCCAAGTGATTGACCGCTGCTGGCGTTTCTTAAAGGAGCATCTCAGCCTTAATCAAAATACAAAAGCCGGGTCGAGCCTGCTGAGATCCAAACTCCGATCTGCTCAGTATCAGTATTGGTACAAAAATGCAGACATGTGGGTGGCGACCGGATCTCTGTGCCAATGGGCCGCAAAGCGCCTTATGGGCAAGAAGTGAGCCGTAGAGCTTTGGGGAAAAATGCATTGCAATATATTGCTTCGGGTCTTCCGTGTTCACAATCGTGCCGAAAGCTTCTTTTTGATTCAATTTCTGCCAGGTCTTCTTCATGGAATATGTCTCGATTGGTGTCTCGTTGTTCCTCGGTCCAATTGAGTTATGCGCTATGATAATGCTACACATGGGCTCATGCATCCAAAGCAATACATTCTCTGTCCTTTCCCACCCACCCAGGTGCTCTCAGTGTTCATGCACCTACGTGGTCAGTTTCTTCACATGTGCTATGCTACAGCTACATATGTGGGCAAGATGTGTCCAGGTGCATGCGTACAAGCTACTTTCCTGATGCAGTGTTTCAATAGGTGAGAAGATAAGGAGAAAGACAAGGCAGTCAAGGACATATCTGGTACACAAAATGTCTCGTGTCTTGTTTGTCCTTTCCACCCACCCAGGTGCTCTCAGTGTTCATGCACCTACGTGGTCAGTTTCTTCACATGTGCTATGCTACAGCTACATATGTGGGCGAGATGTGTCCAGGTGCACGCGCATAAGCTACTTTCCTGATGCAGTGTTGCGATAGGTGAGAAGATGAGAAGAAAGACAAGGCAGACAAGGACATATCTGGTACACAAAATGTCTAGTGTATTGCTTGTCCTTTCCCACCCACCCAGGTGCTCTCAGTGTTCATGCACCTACGTGGTCAGTTTCGTCACATGTGCTATGCTACAGCTACATATGTGGGCAAGATGTGTCCAGGTGCATGCGGACAAGCTACTTTCCTGATGCAGTGTTACAATAGGTGAGAAGATAAGGAGAAAGACAAGGCAGTCAAGGACATATCTGGTACACAAAATGTCTCGTGTCTTGTTTGTCCTTTCCCACCCACACAGGTGCTCTCAGTGTTCATGCACCTACGTGGTCAGTTTCTTCACATGTGCTATGCTACAGCTACATATGTGGGCGAGATGTGTCCAGGTGCATGCGCACAAGCTACTTTCCTGATGCAGTGTTGCGATAGGTGAGAAGATGAGAAGAAAGACAAGGCAGCCAAGGACATATCTGGTACACAAAATGTCTAGTGTATTGCTTGCCCTTTCCCACCCACCCAGGTGCTCTCAGTGTTCATGCACCTACGTGGTCAGTTTCTTCACATGTGCTATGCTACAGCTACATATGTGGGCGAGATGTGTCCAGGTGCATGCGCACAAGCTACTTTCCTGATGCAGTGTTGCAATAGGTGAGAAGATGAGAAGAAAGACAAGGCAGCCAAGGACATACCTAATACAAAAAATGTAGGTCTTGGGGGGGGGGTAGCATATATATATATATATAATATATATATATATTATAGCAGTTATATCGCATCATATCACATGACATTTGCCAAGGATATATCAATATGTATATATATATATCAATATCAATATACATGTATATATATATATATAATATGTTACAAAATGTCCCTTGGATATATCCGGATGTTGCTCCGAGGGACATTTCACACCAGGCCCACCTGTGCCTGGGAAATCGTGACGATGCCATTGGCGATTGTGATCAGGTGCAGTGACGTGACATGTCTTGGAGGGAGGAAACTCGCAGCTTATTACAAGGATGCCAAGACAATTTCGTACATACACACACAACACAATCTTCATCATATCTTCAATCATAACTTCATCTTATCATTCAAAAAACTCCCAGGATTGGAAGTTTCTTTGAGTCGCCCAGCTTGCCACAGGCTCTTGAGCTCAGCCCAGGCCTGGAATATGCTGTAGTGGCCTCAAGATGATGTCGAAGATCGCTGACCCCCAAACGATGCTGGAATATGCTGTGGTACATGGTGGATCATGGTACCAATCTCAACTGACCTGAGGTAGTGACTCGTGATCGTGCGTGTTCAAAGGATCACCCACAGGAGTAGTTTTGTTTTCGCTTCATAGACTCAAGAAAAGTTGTGGCCGCAACAGCTGCTGTGAAATGCTGTGAACATCTGCATCTGACAAGTTTACCAAGAAGCTGATGAAACACGGAAAAAGGTTGACGTGTGATCCATTTACCTGGATCTTGCACCTGCAGCATTGGAATCAGACAGCGAACAACAAGTCAAAAACGCGGGACTATAATATATAAATATGTGTGTGATATGGGAATGTCCCTTGAAATGAGCTACACCTCCCAAATCCTTGGTCTTCTGGTCTACATCGAGAGCAGAACAGAGGAAACAGCTGGCCAACTTGGTGACTCCTGATTCAATACTCATCCATATGCCACATAGAACCATACATCTTCCAATCTCGGAATCACATGAAAGATGGGGTCGTTCAAGGACGAGAATACTGAGACAAGTTGCAGCTTGTTCCCTCATGATCTGAACACCGCAACAAGAAGTGAGCATTGCTATGGCGTGCCATGATCCCTTTGCTTTATGTGTGAGATCGTGGACGTTGAATCGAGCCTTGACCTTTTTGAAAGAACAACAATTGAGTCTGAAATCAGGAAATATGGTGATTGTATGTGATCCTTTTTTTTGTTGATGTTGTTTGTTTCTGTTAGTTTCTTTGTTGAATCTTTTTCTTTATTCCACTTTATTCCACTGCCTACGCAGCTCCGAGGGATGATGATGTCGTGCTGGTGGAATCCGATGCTGAGATCACCGGAGTCACACCATCGGTACTTTGCGTCGGCGTTGTTGACGCAGGTCGGGCAGCCCCGGGCAGCAGCAGTGGATGCAGCTGAACTGGTTATTATATGGTTAATATATGGTTATTATATGGTTGAGACTGTTGAAACTTGAAACCACCAACATTCACCAGGTTCCATATGAAATCAAGCAACCAATTGACATCCAGCCATCAGCCAGGGATCTTCACCAGATCTGATTCTCTCAGGTACTGAGCGCCTATTGGATCTTCTGGAGAAGCATCAAGTCTCCAGCATCCTTGATGCCAGAGTCCAGCCGCTCGTCAAAGCAGCCCAGCTGTTGCAACTCATAGCTTGATTTTCAAGTGTCCTAAATCCCGAAGCATTTAGAATATTTAGAATCTAGGACCTAGGATCTACATAGATGGATCTAGATGAATCTAGAATATACAAGATATACAAGATATAAAACCCAGCAACCATAACCATAATTAGGGTACCCATCACAATCATAAAACCAGCAACCTGCCGCGCTTCGAGGCCCCAGAGATCTGTGGCCCAGCTGCGGCGCGGCTGCGCCGCGCGTGGCATTTCCTTCGAGTGGCGCCCGGCCTTAAGCAGCCGAGGCGCGGCAAAAAATTGGAAAAACCCGTGGAAAATGCATGGAACATAGGAAAACACACAGGAAATTCCATGAAATTACGGACAAATCCTGAGGAAATGATGAACATAATAAAAAAAACAGAAGAACAACTATGAGATGGTATGATGATATGCTGCTTAAATGCGAGGACATGGCTTCAAAGTAGTCCTTCGTACCCTTGGAAAGGCCTTTCTTCGACCTTCCTTTGTCCAATTAATCCTGAGCTGCACCATATGAAACTCAAAAGACTCAACAGATGGAAAAATTCCACCCACCAGGTATAATTAATTCAGAATCTAAGGTGGAAAATCCCAAAAGCAACATTTTAAGAATATAAGATAATATAAGGTGTTTGAACAACAGCAGATTGATTTCAAAATGGTTTGGTGCAACAGGTTGAACGGACCCAGGTGCTGGTGCAGCTGCTGGGGATCGTGCTGCTGCAGTCTTACGTTTAGCCGCTGCAGCCAGTTGGGATCTCAATGTGGCCAGCTGCACAAGTTGATGCCAGTTGATGCCAGTTGATTTCTTAGGTGCATACCGAAATTATACCTTAAAGGATATAAAGGATCCTAGAGGTCTGACAATGAGACGTTTGCATCACCTATTTAAGAAAAGCGATACACTAAAAAACACACCGATGTGTTTCCTTAGATGGGCATATGGAAGCTCACTGTGCAGGAGGAAAGGGATGGCCCTGCGTGCTCTTTGCCGGCAAGGACCTTTGTGAGTGTAAACCCCTTGGTGTTCGAAACATCAAACAGACAAAAACATCCTCAAATGTTATACAATGTACTGTGGACGACTGATGCCATTGATGCCATTGATGCCATTGATGCCATTGATGCCATTGATGCCATTGATGCCATTGATGCCATTGATGCCATTGATGCCATGATATGTGCCGGGCTTTGCCGGGGTATGTTGGAGGATTGGGGCCACTGTGCTGCGCGGCAGCACCTCGCAGCGGAGCTTGCTGCCAGGGATGTGCATTTGTACCACGCCAGTGAGGAGGATCCTGTGCGGAGGGTGACACTGTGATTCCATGACCTGTTCCTATCTTTTCATACCCATTTTCCCCAGAAGTATTGGATGATGATGATGATGATTCATGATGATGATGATGATGATGATGATTGTTATTAATTATTATTGATTATGCAATTATGCAAACATGACATGATTCACATGCAAGCAATTTCTCTTGAAATTGTTTTCCTCGGCGCATTTCGTTATGGCACTGGAGGATCAGCTGCCTTTGACTCCTGCCAAGGCCGCGAAGGCCAGAGCGGACCCTTCTGATGGGGGTTGCCTTCCGTTTTCCAATACACTTTTGAAAATCCAAATGATTGAAAGACAATTCCAAGAATCATTCACATTGGCTTTCTGAAATGCTTGAAGTTTTCCGACTGCCACGGGAGGCCTTACCCCAGCATCCGCTGGCAAAACCTCGAAAAAAACGAGGCTTTTGAAGATCCCTGACTTGGTTTGCATCCGTTGGATTCATCAACGTTCAAAAGGGCTTTTCATCAATGCACCAGTTCCACAAACGAAGTACCTTCCTTATATTGGTCAACCAGCTTTGAACATCTTTAACTTCTGCAAATATTCGTGCAAACCCGCTGCCTTCATGAGTGGATGTACATGACGATTTGTGGCAACCGATGCAGGTCTTGTCTTTCAGCCCACATTTTTTTCACTCTTCTGCTGCAAGCTGAAAAAACCATCAGGCGTGACGGAAGGGTCGCCCTGTGCGCTGGCTTCCACCGCGCCGGACACAGTCTTTGAGGCGCTGGAAGAAGCAGCGACGCTCTTTGCACAGCAGCGACAAAAGGTGGTGGTGTGGTGGTTTGTCTCGGTGTGGTGATGGTCACTAGAAAAAAAAACAGTCCAGCTGGAAGGGATGAAGATTGTGAAGATCACTGCATTCAATGACAGTTATTGTTTTCAGACTGATTGCTAATGTTGAATGCTTGGAGCCACAGTTTGTGATGCGATACTGTCTCTCCCAATCAGTTTTGGTGTCGAAGCCATTGAGCCTCAAAGGCTGAAGTCATTTCAGCGTGATTCTGCCTGATTCGATGCAGCTTCAGAGTTTCTCAACGATCTTGAGCATGTTTTAACTTAAGAATCTTTAACTTTGTGGGTTTTATATGGGTTTTATATATGTCCGAAATACAAAGGTAGCAAGTCGCAAACATGTCAAGATACTCCCAGTACGGTTCAGACTGTTGAGCCATGTCGGCCATTCCAATGATGTGGCGCCTGAGAATTGGGAGATTGATATGGATGGTTGATGATGTTTGGTTGGGATGGTTGGGAAGGTTGGGATGGTATGGATGGTATGGATCAGTGGATTTGTCACTTGGGATGTGACAGTCCGTGACCTAGGCGTAGAAGGCTGCGCCGCTTGGGCAAATTGGCTTTGGCAGCTGCAGCTGCAGGTGGGAGGTTTGTGGTTGGGAAGGCACAACTTTCCCTCACCAAGTCATTGAAGCCAGGATAAGCCGGGAGACATCGGGAGACTGGTATCCGGAAGAGATTTCCCCGCTGTTCGGCTGTTGGTGATCAGGTCTTTCCGTGCTTGCGTGCCCCAGCGTAGTTGACATATTTATTTATACATATTTCATGAAGCACTAGATCCAATAAGGGATATAAGGGCAGCAAACATCGTTTTGCAATCATGTAACTTGATGTAACTTGTGGATTTTGTGATTTTGGGTATGTTTTGCTCACAGGTACCAAAAATTTCAGGAAAGATGGCGTCGAAAACAGCTGGAGGAGCACCTGGAAAGGTGCGAGTAGAGATTGTGAGGGTGATGTTAAACTGCTAGGCATCTATGGAAAGACGTATAATAACCTCCGCCACATTGTTGTGCAGCTGGATTCTGTCTTGTGTATTTGCAAAGAGGTGTTGCGTGGTTGACAACAGGTTTCTAGGTTCAAGTCATCTGCTGCTGATTTTCAGGTGGACAAGTCGAGGACCAGCCAAAGAGCCGGTGGTGGAATGTCAGGTCCAGTTCCAAGCTGCTCATCGGTTAGGATGCATCTGACAAATGTATACAATTTTGGTTTACCAATTTATTGTTTTAGTGATGTTTGGTGTGTTGTTTTGTTATGTTTTGTTGCTCATAGCATACAGAGATTTACAGAGCGCAGTCGGTTGCTGACGGTTGCTGGTTTGCTTCACTCTTTGACATCTGACAGCGACACCAGGTGCCAGTGGAGCATGGTGCATCAGGGGAGGATTTGGAGTACGACGTGGTGGAGGCGCTGTGAGTTTTGTAGAGGAAGATCAAAAGGTCGCTGTCCTGATAGATTCCGATAGATCAGTACGGATTTTACTTTCCCAATTTATGCAGTATTAATTCATAGGACATTGTTCAGTTGTTTACCCTCTCCGGCACCCCAAGCTTTTGGAACAGCTTTGGAAAAAGGTACCTGTGGGTCTCGCCTTTGAATGCGAGAGGCTAAGGCGCTGACAGCTACATCTAGTTTGATGCGACAACTGGAAGCATGATTTTTGCATATTTTTGCAAATTCTTTCAGTCTCAAGCAGATTCAAGATACATGAGCCTACGGTTGGATAAAGGGGTACTATGGCATGACATGTTTGGAACATCCCAATTTTCAATCGAACAGTCGAAGAGTCATCTCTTTTGTCGATGGGACAGTCGAATTTTTTAAAGGCACCAGCTCCGAGAGAAATTCCTTTGTGATGACCTCAAGCTGGTGGAGGATCCGATTTCAACATGTTTGGAGCATTGCGCCACTTGAGTCATAGCATGTCATAGCTGCTAGCATCATGAGCAAACAGACCGGTCACTGGAATCAGCCAGGAGTTGTCAAGCTACTTTGCAAAAAAAGGAGGAGAGGAAGACGAAGAGGAGGCACTTCGAGACTGGAGTTGCGTGGAGCTGTCTCCCTTGGGACATCCAACTCCTAAAAGGGGCTTCCTTAAAAAAAGCATCATATGACTCATATCTTTTTAAAACCCACAATTGAAACAACCCTCAAGCTTTTTTGTGCAACCCTTTCCCAAACCATTTCTTTAAACATCTTTTTTCTAGGGTGTGGAGGATTAGAAAAAAGGGTGAGGTTAAAGAAAGGTCTTGGCAGAAACAGGGACATCTTGTGTGAGATTCGGAGCGATTGCAAGTCAGATTGGTTGGCAAAAGGAAGAGGGTTTAGAGACATTGGTCTTTCATCGTGTCACACTTGATCAGCATACAATCACAATGTGAATGTGGCTACCCTTGATCACTATTGATATCTATTGTCAGCAACATTAAAACGAGGGTTGGATTTAACAGGGTTACTTTGGACATGGTTCCAACAAATTTCGATGGGTCTCAACAGAAAAAACATATTTAAAAAAAAACATAAAAGCACGACAACTGCACGCATGATAGACAACAAATTTGAGATATTTTGAGATTTAAAGAGATATTATGAGATATAACATGCATTAAAGAGATTTTTTGAGATTACCAAAAACCATAGCAAATCTAAACCCCGACAAATCTAACCCACCTCTTAATGTTACTGATATTGATCACGAATATCACTAGTCAAACATCGAAACCATATTCTTTCTTGTGACAATCCATGCCTTCCTCTATCGGATCTATTGGTTTGGGGATGGCAGGAAGCTTTACTGCAATTGCCATGGATCGACTTGGCTGCCTTGGCACAGCTCACGTGGCGGCCCTGGCCTGGAAGGTTGTGTCTTTGGGTAGCTTGGGTAGCTGCAGCTTGCCGATCCGAACATTGGTGGAACATGGGTGGAACCTTGTCACTAGATTCACTAGATGTCACTGGATGTCACTAGTCTGAATCTATCATAATCTATCCCATGTTGTTTTTTCCTGGTTTTTCTATGTTTTTCCCCATCTCATGGGAACAGGATGTGTGTCACTGTGTGTTCTTCCCTCGTTTTTAGACGCGCTCTGCACTTGGATTTTGGGTCAGCAGTTTTCCCCTACTGAACTTTGTCGACCAGTTGCTTGTTGCATTGTTCTCCCTGCGTTGACGAAAAAGGCTCAAGGAGGCGGTTTCTTACAGCAGCTGCATCGATTAGCAGAAGATGTTATTTTTCAAGAACTCAGTCATTACAGTCATTGAAACATATGGGGATGGGTCAAAACCTATGGATTTACATGGATTTACCATATGACTGGGGGAATAACCATCCATATCATCCATATTGAAACAGTTCTAAGGTGGAAAATTCTGATTGAATCAAAGAGAGCCTCGCATGGCGAGTCCTTGGCCCATGATGCCATGGCATTCAGAGGCATGGTGAACATCGAGGTGGACAGTTTGGATGGGAAGCGCTTGAAGTTTGATGATGTCTCCACAGAAATCACTGGTCGGGAGTTGCAAAGGATGATTAGTGAAAGACTTCCCTACAAAGGTTCCGGCATCTCTGTTCAGCATGAATCATCTCCACTTTCTTTGAAACAGACCCTACTGCAACAAGGAATCGTTGGCAAGGAGGTGACTCTGTCTTATGTCTATCTTCCTGTAAACCTCTATTCTGCCTGGAGCTATCTCCAAGGACTACAGGTTCCTGAAGAGGAGTTTTCCTTGGAAGGAGTGACGGGAATCAAAGGTTTCAACTCGATCAACCCCTTGGAGTGGCACTTGCCAAAGAGCCTTCGCAACCTGACGCTGGGATGGGACTTCAATCGTAGCTTGGAACATGTGAATTTTCCAAGCGGTCTACAGAGCATAACTTTTGGCGTCAACTTCAACCAGAGTTTGGAGGAGACGCACTTGCCAAACGGCCTGCGAACCTTGATTCTTGGTGAGATGTTCAATCAAAGCCTGGACAGGGTGACCTTGCCAAGTAGTCTCCAGAGCTTGACGTTCGGCAGTTGCTTCAACCGAAGCTTAGATGGTGTGACCTTCCCAGATGGACTGCAAATGCTGACCTTTGGCCGACTGTTCAATCAGAGTTTGAATCGGCTCACCTTGCCAATGGGCCTTCAAAGTTTGACCTTTGGCATTTCTTTTAACCAGAGCCTGGATGAGGTTTGTTTGCCAGCTGGTCTTAAAAACTTGACCTTTGGGGGAATGTTCAACAAGAGCTTGGATCGAGTGGCTTTACCAGAAGGCTTACAATGCCTGACCTTTGGCGATTCATTCAACCAGAGTCTGAGCCGGTTGACTTTGCCAGTGGGACTTCAAAGCCTGAAATTCGGTGAGATGTTCAACCAAGGACTCGATCAGTTGACTCTACCAGATGGTCTCCGAAGCTTAACGTTTGGAAACTCATTCAACCAAAGCCCATGTGGGTTGACCTTACCACATGGCCTTCTAAGCCTTTCCTGTGGGAATTCGTTCAACCAAAGCTTGGATGAGGTGATTTTGCCAAGCAGTCTACAGAGTTTGACTTTAGGATATATGTTTGATTTGAGCCTGAATCGGCTAACTTTGCCGAACGGTCTCCAGAGTCTCACTTTCAGCACCAGCTTCAATTACAGCCTTCAGGAAGTAACTTGGCCATGTAGCTTGCGAAGTTTGACCTTTGGCCAGATGTTCAACCAGAGTTTGAATGGCCTAACTTTGCCAAGTCTGGAAAACTTGACCCTGGGCAGCAACTTCAACCAAAGCTTGGACGAAGTGGCCTTACCCCATGGTCTCCGAAGCTTGACGCTGGGCCAGATGTTTAATCAAAACCTGGACCGGCTGGTCTGGCCCAAGGGCCTTCAAAGCTTAAAGTTTGGCGAGATGTTTAACCAATCCTTAGATCAGGTCACGCTGCCAAGTCTGCGAAGTTTGACTTTTGGTGCGTTTTTTGACCAGAGCTTGGATAATGTGATTTTGCCAAAAAGTCTGCAAAGCTTGACTTTTGGCACAGCATTCAATCGTAGCTTAGATCGTGTGACTTTACCTCATGGTCTACAGAATTTGATCTTTGGCGAGATGTTTGATCAGAACTTGGACCAGGTAACTCTGCCAGAGAGTCTTCAAAGCCTGACTTTCGGCAGTAATTTCAGAAAAAGTTTAGACCTGGTGCATTTGCCCGATGGCCTCCACCGCTTGACCTTTTGCTCTTCGCGGTTCACTCCTCACTTAGATGAGGCAAAGATGCCCGTGCATTTGAAAGAGCTTTCTGGCCAAGGGTTGGTTGTGAGCAGCGAACCTTGAGCGCGAGTCAAAACCTGTCAGGATGAACTGTGCGTGGTTTGAGTTGGGATCTTCACGGATCTTCACTCGTTTGCCACGTGTGTCAGTTCGCGCAGTTCGCGAGTCCAAGGTATTGGTACGATCGACGGCCTCGTGGTGATGAGGAGGTGGAACTTCCCAAAGAGGAGCCCTGGAAGGCTTCAGTTGTTTGTACCGATGTGGGAAAAAATGGAAATTACTTTACTTCGTGTGATCCCCACCATGACATTTATACATGTTCTTACTGGCACATCTTCTGGCATTCTATCTGACATATCTTCTGACATTCTATTTGGCATTCTATCTGGCATATCTTCTGGCATATCTTCTGGCAAATCTTCTGGCATTCTATTTGGCATTCTATCTGGCATATCTTCTGGCATATCTTCTGGCATTCTATCTGTCATATCTTCTGACATTCTATTTGGCATTCTATCTGGCATATCTTCTGGCATTCTATCTGACATATCTTCTGACATTCTATTTGCATTCTATAGTTCTATCTGGCATATCTCCCCTGCATATCTTCCTGGCAATCTTCTGTCTGGCATTCTATCTGACTATCTTTCTGACATCTCTTTTGCCTTCTATCTGGCATATCTTCTGCTTCTCTGGCATATCTCTGGCATTCTATCTGACATATCTTTCTGACATTCTATTTGGCATTCTATCGGCATATCGTCTGGCATATCTTCTGGCATTCTATCTGGCCAATCTTTCTCTGGCATTCTATCTGACATATCTTCTGGCATCTATTGACATATCTCTGACATTCTATTTGGCATTCTTATCTGGCATATCTGGCAAATCTTCTGGCATTCTATCTGACATATCTTCTGACCTTCTGGCATTCTATCTGGCATATCTTCTGGCATATATCTGGCATATCTTCGGCATATCTTCTGGCATTCTATCTGGCAAATCTTCTCATTCTATGGCATTCTATCTGGCTATCTTCTGGCACTCTATCTGACATATCTTCTGGCATTCTATCTGGCATATCTTCTGGCATTATATCTGACATATCTTCTGGCATTCTATCTGACATATCTTCTGGCATATATTCTGGCATATCTTCTGGCATATCTTCTGGCATATCTTCTGGCATATCTATCTGGCATATGGCTTCTGGCATTCTATCTGGCAAATCTTCTGGCATTCTATCTGGCATTCTATCTGGCATATCTTCTGGCATATTATCTGGCATTCTATCTGGCATATCTTCTGGCATATATTCTGGCATATCTTCTGGCATTCTATCTGACATATCTTCTGGCATCTCTTCTATCTGGCATATCTTCTGGAATATGGCTTCTTCTGCATATCTATCTGGCATATCTTCTGGCATATTTTCTGGCATTCTACCTGGCAAATCTTCTGGCACTCTATCTGACATTTTATCTTCCTACATGAGGTCCGGCAGGGAACACTTGGCGTGGATACTCGCGGTTGAGGTCCGGCAGGGAACACTGGGCGTGGATGGTCGTGGTTGAGGTCCGGCAGGGAACACTGGGCGTGGATGGTCGTGGTTGAGGTCCGGCAGGGAACACTGGGCGTGGATGGTCGTGGTTGAGGTCCGGCAGGGAACACTGAGCGTGGATGGTCGTGGTTGAGGTCCGGCAGGGAACACTGGGCGTGGATGGTCGTGGTGGAGGTCCGGCAGAGAACACTGTGGATCGCGAGTCGCAGTTGAGCAAGGACGACGAGGACGACGAGGACGACGAGGAGGACGAGGAGGAGGAGGAGAGGAGGACGAGGCAGGAGGAGGCGGAGGAGGAGGAGGAGAAGGAGGAGGAGAAGGGGGAGAAGGAGGAGGAGGAGGCAACTGACATAAAATCTAACAACCCTCACCTGGCAGGTGGGGAAAAACACATGTCAATATTGGGTTTCACTTCTGATCATCTCACCAAAAGGCAACTGAAAAGGTATGTGCCATTCTGAGCCTATTTGTTTTGCGGTTCGTGTTGCACCTGGAGGACTGATTCCGATGCCAACTTAAACTCGTCAAAAACTGAGCAAATGAGTGCCTTTTTTAATGCACATGTGCTATGAGGTGATCATGATCTCCATTGGATATCCATTGGATACCCACGGAATTTCCATGTGTACACCATGATATATCCATGATATTTCCATCGGCTCAAGCATCACTGGCAGGAGCGACCTCGAGATGCCAAGTACGGGCGGTGGACCAAGAAGATCAGCCGGGAGAAGGCAGCAGTACACGAATCTCGTGATGAAAACCATTCTGAAAGGAGACCTGATGAAATCTGGTGAATATGAAACAAATGGCCCCAACAAATTGGGGGACGAGAATCATCCCAAAGTCCCATTTTTGTCATCAGTGGTTCTTTTCAAGTTTGGCGCAGGTGATCTATTCTTCTGTGGGGCTGAAGTCTCGAGTTCGTACCCGAGGACATCTTGGAGCCAAGGCTGAGCATCGAGGGATATCGAGGGATGGCTTGGGGGTGCCCGAAAATTTGAGAAACTGAAATGTGTACGGCACACGGTTTTGTTCGTGGTACATATCATCGCATCAGATGTATCTCCGTTGCACTCCCCGGTGATCATCTGGACTCCATGTGATTTTTGCTTAATTTGATTGCTGTCATGATTTTGGACCAGATTTCTCAGCTCACGTCGCTCATGGGTCTAAGTCTTTTGATTTGTGTTAACACTTTGGGAAGCTAAACAGCTGCTGTCTACGACTGCTTCCAAAGTACCCAGCAATCTCCCCCCCGAATAGAGGCCTTCAATTAGCAGCTGGTCGATAGTTGCCTCCCACAGCCACACTTTCGTCAAATCTTTAATGATCAGATACCTGATGATACAAGTATTTGAAGGTGGCATTTATTCGATTTCGAGTCTTCCTGATTTGCTCGCCATCAAAGTGTGAGCCTGTCAATTGGTTAAAAACAACTTTTTCACTGAACCTGCCCTGCCTTTTGTCTACCCATACATGTGCAACATTGTATTAGCATACACACATGTTATCAATGTATACACTGCCTGATCCTTGTACTATTTCGGTGCATATATCACGCGCTCAATATGCACATGTTGTCGGATCAACTTGGAATGTCCCACGTGACCGGCTGGAGGTATTTCGCCGACCGGCTGGAGTGGATGTCTTGCTCCAAGACATGGCCATTCTGAATGAATCATGGGTACACAACTGGTACATTATATCGGTCCATATGGATACCCAATTTCGGCAGCTCCAGATCTGGAGTGTGCCCTCGGAACGAGGTGACCCGTTTGTCCACACTTCAGCGTGCGGCATCGCTGTGTGGTCATGACCCATTGCTAGAGCTGGTTGAGGCATGGAACATATGGAACTGCAGAGGTTCATGATGGGTTCATTCATGGGTTCATGGATGATCCTTCCAGGTGTTCAAGAAGTTTCGGAACTTCGACGGGGCAAAGTCCTCATAGTGTATTTATGATATATATATATATGTGCATTTGTTCGGACATGTTCGGACACAAGGACAGGCTGACTGAATGACATTGAATGACATAGAACCAGATCGATGATGATTTGCCCAGCTGACAGACCACCATGGAGAGCCTGAGACCGCGGAACGTGGCACGGATTCCATGGTCGGAGGTGGAAAAGTGCGAGACTTAGAGATAAAAACCATGAAAAACAATGCCACCATACTCTACCGTTGTGTTTCTCATGTTTCTTATGTTTCTTATGTTTCTTGATTATCTTGGTTTGAGTGATGTTGCTGATTCATTTCTCAATTTCTGCAGATTCCAGCAACATTCCTCCAGGCACAGCAGCAAGGATGACCTTTGGCTTCTGATCGATGGCAAGGTACCGAAATACAACGTGCCCAATGACCTGTGTCGTTGCAGTTGGTGCATCATGATCTCATTGTGTCATCATTATATGATTATATACATCATGATTCATGATTATTATATTATATAAATTATATATATATGATTATATCATTATAAATTATAAGGTCTATATTGTAATGACATTACAGTACACTCGATCGTTGCAATCTCCTCAGAGGCGTTTCCCTTCCTTGAAAGAGAAAACACTTTGTATTAATATATATATATAATGTAAATTAATGTAAATTAATGTAAAATGATGTAAATGAGTTAATTTGGCTCTTCCACCGTTTCCCTGACAGGTCTATGACGTGACCTCCTTCCTATCGCTTCATCCAGGCGGTGGTCAACTGGTGGTGGATGCCGCTGCACAGGATTCCACGTCGCTCTTCGAGCGGACGCATGGAGAAGGACTCAGGTGCTCTGGAAGCCTTGTCGTTTTTTGTTCAAAGACGGGCTGTTTGTGGCAAACATATGGACATGTTATGAACTATTTATATTTATTTGTATTTATATTCATATTTATATTCGTTTATATTTGTGTATATCAATGTCTCTTGATGCAACGACACTCATGTGGCCACTGCCGCTGGTGCAGCACATGCAGACGTTGATGCTTGTGATGCTGGAGGTATTCCCTGCGGCTGTTGAACCAGTTCTTCATCGGTGTTTGCGAGAACCCTGGCGAGGCACCATGGCTGGAGTTGATTGACGTTGATGGATCATCAGTTCACCAAAATCCAGGACTTGCGACACCCAACCAGTTGTAGGCGCTAGCCTTTAACAGGTTGTGTCGTACTCTGTAAAGGTCATCCCCAATTTCCTAAGGTCCCCAAAGGTCCCCAAAAGTCCCCTAAAAATGTCAAGATCTTGGGGCAATTTGCAGGCAAAACCTGCAGAGGAGGCGCAGCAGGGTTCAAAAGAATATTGCCGTGGAGAAGAACCGTAGCTTCAACAAGCTTCCACAAGCTTCAACATTATTATATATGAAATTCCTCTTGCATCGGCATCAATGAATCAAAAGCTTGAGGTAATTGCTGGGTGCACACATCGTGGTTAGCTTTCCTTTTCGTGGTGGATTTCCACAAAAATATTTCCCACGTATGGGTGCAAAAAAGCATGCAACAAGGCACGACGGTTTAAGATACAGTAATCAGTGATCAGTAAGCAATGCAAATCACTTAACAGTTCAACGTTGGAAGCATTTGGTTCTGTTGTATTTAGAACAATCCCGTCCATCCCGTCCTTGTCTGCAGTCATTCTACAGAGGGTGCACATGCACAGGAGCAGCCGACACCCGAGTTCCTCAGCACCTTGAGGCACTGCATGGTGCGAAGATGTGCGAAGCAAGGAAGATACTGTTGAACATTCAATTGGCTTTGAATGGTTCTGATTAATTCTGATTATGAGTGATATGCACATTGGTTCAATGTGACATGTTATTTTAAATTCTGGATCTTATTTCTGTTTCTCCAACTGCAAAACAAGTTGTCAGCTGGATGTTGCTACCCCGGCAGGTCGATCACTGGTGCACTCCATACCTTTGATGAGGCAGAAGTGGGGCCTTTCAGGTTGGATGGTAGAAACATGTAGAAACATGATGCCGCATGATGCCCATCACAACAAAGTGAAGATACTGCACCCAATCTAAGAGGGATGTTGCAGACATGGATAGCCTGCATACATTGTGCATTGCAAGGATTCTGCAAAGAGGTTCCAACTCGCAGTTGAACAACCGCGCGGCACAGGCCAAGGCCACTGGAGAAGCTCAAGGCATTTTGAGATTGTGCAGTCTGTTGACCAAAGTTGGTCGCAACAAAAGCAGAGCGAATCCGCCGTTGGAGCGACAGTGGCGAGAAGTGAATAAGTGACATCACAAAATATGATGTTGGCCCAACGTCATTTTTGTGATTTTACTTCTCATTGGCGCGGGATATATGAGACATACTTCCATAGAGTTTTCTTGGTTACGCTGTTTTTTGGAAGGTGAGGGAGCCATTCTGACTTGAACCAGCCGTGGGCTCTGTGCCATTAGGTATCCTCCATGCATCGGGTTGGAAGTGGGGCATGGTGTCGCTATTGATAACGGTCCATACAGCTACTTTTTCGAAGAACATCATCTTCATGCAGCATCGTCTACGTTCCAGTATTTTGATTTGGTTCTTCATTGAGATTGCTAACCCCTCCGGCACCCGAAACCACAATGGTATTTGTATGATTTTGTATGATTTTGTATGTATTTGTTGGATTTTGGCTCACAGTCTGCGGGCTTAGAAGGGGGTGTCAAACAAGGCAGCTCGGGATCTGAGGCAGGATGTTGGGAGTTGGTCGGATGCTTTGCGAGCAACTCCAAAGCCAAAGCCTTTCAAAGTCTTTCAACATAGATCCTCCATATGAGTACCCTCTGGTAAACTAACATAGCCATGGGAAATGGCCTTTTGTGGGCCTTTTATAGTGAGTTTTCCCATTAAACATGGTGATTTTCCATAGTTATGTTGGTTTACCAGAGGGTAACTCTCAACTGGTGGTCATTGTGAGTCCTTCTGGTCAGGTTGCAGAGCTCGTTTTTTAATTCGCGCCTTGGGATGACCGGTCGCCGAGGCACCTTGAGATGAAAACCATAGACCTCCCTTTCCCACTGATTCCCACTGATTCCCACTGATTCCCACTGATTGGGTCTTGAGAGCTATGGAGATGGTATACCAAACCGACACTCTTGTTTATTTTCAAAGGGACATCATCAGCATCATCATTGATAGAAAGTGATCGAGATACCATCGAGTTTGATGGCCCTGTCACATTTGCAGCCGAACTGAGTCGCCACATCTGCTGCGGTCACCGCTGCGGCCACAACATTGGCAGCATGCGCTAACATTCAGGCCTGGCAATGTCATTGCAGTCCATTGCATTCAGTATTTGTGTCTGATAGTGTCAAATCCTAAGAATTGCTGGTTTTATTTAGGCGGTGTTCGTGGCCGGCCACAATTTTAATGATGTGAGATAAGTATCACGAATCATGCATGATATATATATATAATTTGCTCAACATGTTCTCAGTTTTGAATTTGCAAAACCAACGGAGGCTTTCGTTTCTCCATCTGAGAAGAGCAGCGTCAATACAAGGCTTCGACACAGGCCAGCGTGAACAGCCAAAGAAGCCCGGAGACAAACGCCTTTTGATCAACTGAATCAACTGCAGATGCCCATGGAATCAGCATCGCTTCGTTCAAGAAGAGTCGTGATTCGAACTGGGGCACGATGCCATGTTGGAAGATTTCGAAAATTGGATGCCACATGATGCCACTTTTTCTAATGGTGCTGTGGACATCTGACCATTCTGACCCTGAAAAAGGTCCCAGTCCCAGTCGGGCGAGATTAAAACTAGCTGTGACCTCAGTGCCGTGGCACCGGTCTCAGGACAAGGTGACTATAAAGCAGACCATAAAGCACGTCAGATGAAACGGCTGATACACCAGTCCAAACTGGACTTTCCATTTCAAATCATCAAACTCAATACATCATTTAATACCTGCTACAACAGATGTGCTATCATTACTGGCCTTGCTGTCAAAGAGCTCTCTTGCCCACCATGAACGGGCAAACAACGACCAGTCCCAGAAAGAATGACCACATACGGTTTTTTACGGACCTGCCCTCAAACACCCATATATGTATATCATGGAATCCAATTAAAACAACCCACCAAAAGTGGATAATTCGCTTGTGTTTTATCAATTGTGTGGATGTTATGTTCACAAGTTTAGAACGGAACTGTTCTATTCCATGTGGTTGATGAGTAGTATCCTGCATCAAGAATTGATGTTTTCAACGCAAAACCTGAACATGTATCAAACATACAGCACCATTTGTAAACATACAAAAGGTGATGAAGAGTGGTGCCATTGCTTTCATAGCGTTGCATCAAGGAATAGAAGTCATATTTGTCAGTGGTGCTTCTGTAAAATGGTGTTTTTCTTTGCAGAAAATCCATCAAAAAACCCAGAACCCAAAATGCCAACACCCACCCTGTGAGTTTTCTCTTTCCAGCAAGTCTTGTAAAGGAAGGCTAATTAAATCTAATTAAGCTCGCCCCAAGCCAACCTGACTTGTGTCAAGTACCTCTCAAGCGAACGCAGAGACTGTAGTCTAGGAGATACATGACGAGACAAGAACGCTAGGCGTCCGACCATGTCTTCATCGATTGAGCAGCTCTCTGATATTACATTGTATATGTATGGAAGGTGAAGGGCCCGTTTCATGGCCATCACAGTTTCATGAAGCATGTGAAGTTTAGGTTTAAAGCTAAACTTTGGCTCACCTGCTTCATATGACAACCAAGCCAAATAGGCATAGGCTTTCAGAAAATGATATCCAGCATCCACAAGCTTGCGAGCATATGCCTGTGGAATCCACAGGTCTGCCTCATACAGCCCACTCATCAGCTGGTTGATAGCCCGTGTGGCTGATGCCTTAGACTCAGAATGATATAAAGAACATTGAACCATGTTGACCCCTCAACAAAAAACTTCATTCTAAAACCATAAACACAAACCATAAATAAGCAAACATCATGTCACACGTATGTTATATTTTGTATTAAAAAAGACAGGGCACCACAAAGCGTAGGTGCTCATCCCTTTGACATTGCTCATCGTACAGTCCGCATAAGTACTCAGTGAACTGCATCAGAGTAGAACTAAGGGCTGCTTTGTTCCAACTGCCATGGGGCTCATCGCGTTTCCCACATCCACCAAATGTGTCCTTTGTCAGTTTTGATATGTATCTAATTTTTCTGTTGGCTTTGCACCAGTCAGTGTAGAGTCCCGACATTTGCTGGAAACGAGAATCAACACTAGACCCGTCCATAAGGGATTGTAAGAGGCACATAGCTGAACTGATAAAATCCTTCGCCACCCCCATGTGCACCACGTGCCATATGTCGATTTTAAAAAACCGACTCTTCCCTTGCGGCCCTGCATCACGCAAGAGGCTGGCAGCAGTCCAGGGGCCCTCTTCATCCCATGGTTCTGGCAGATGTTCAACATACGACTGCTCAATCAGCTTGTCGCCAATGTGCCTAGGTCGAAACCCAGAGGAATTCTTATGCAGGAACCTTCCAAAAATTGACAAGGTAAACCACTTGCAAAGCCCATTCATGGTGAGCAAGAGAGCTCTTCAACAGCAAGGCCAGTAATGAGAGCACATCTGTTGTATGGCAGGTAGATATAGAAATGAAACCAAATGTAAAAAAAAACAATCTGACATCTATATATATATATATATAAATATTGTATATATACAAATAAGATTGAACATGTCCTTCAAGGTACACATCTTCCCAGTCATTCCCTTCATGGCCAGCCAGGCAAAGATGACAAATTCCTGCCATGCTCTTCTCATCCTGACCCTCCCGAGCACCTTTGGGACCTCTCCTGTAGGAACGTTCCAGCCAGCCACATTCTACCTTACCAGAACAGAAGGCAAGATCCCCTATGAAGAAGTTAATTTGTAAAATGTGTAAACCCCATGTTGGCAACTGATCCAAATGAAAATAATTCCCAAGTACCAAAAAAAACACAGTATAATGCAAACAAGGAACAAGGTATGACCAATCACCTTTGATCCCCAGAACGATTGGCCAAACCAGCTCTGACCCCACGTAGAAACCATCTTTCTCCAGCCTCGCCCAATCCTCCACTATCAGCCTCTGTATGTCGTTGAAGGCAGCTCTCTCCGGATCCTCGTAGAACTCCTCAGTACACGTCAGAGACTGTATTTTTGGTAGTCCTGAGAATGGCACTCTGCTACAGCGTTATAACTGTGTATATATATATATATATTTATGAACATGTATATATAGCAATCCCCAAATCCAATATAGATTTGCATTCTGTCCCCAAACCCCATGAAATCATCCAATATATCACAGGAACAGGTTTGCTTGAACTCAAACCAAGTGTCTTTGGGGCAAATTGCTGTGAGAAATCTTGATTGCAGGGATGTTCGTAACAAGTTCATAGGTATGCCCGCATCATTCAAGGTTTCAGGTCTTTGGTTTGGAGAATGGCGGCTTCCATGCCCAATAGGGGATTGAAAAGCAATCACAAGGACCCCTTTCTTTTTGTATGTTGTTCCCTCGTCTCCATGCACATAGACCGGAACACATCTATGTAAGTTTGCTGATTTCACAGGATCTGAAAAAACCTCATGTGCTGGAAATTGGTCTTTGTATCGAGTCCAGAAAGTGTGCAGGGTTGTTTTGGAGCTTTCCAAGGAATGTCCACCCAGAAGCTTTGTAAAATCACCCGTCCGGACCAAGCTCTTCAAATAGTCAGATGGACGGATCCAGGGGAAGTCAGGAATAGCTCCAGCCTGACTGTAGGTCAAGCCCACCTCATAACGTAAGCCGCTAGAAGCAAAGATTTGGGCCACTCGATCTTCCTAGGATGTGAGAGCCCATGCAGTAAAGGAGAAACATTGAGCTTTTGCATATATATATATTCTTTCCTTGAAAGGATGGGGTTGATTTATATATATATATATATTATGTGGAAGTGTCCTAAAACGCTGATACCCCCAAATCATCCTAAATCAGACAATTTTAAGTTTGAAACCCATGATTCCGGAGATCCATAATTTTTAAATGGCCCATTTTTGCACATATACTCCTCTTTCATTTTGGGGGAGAAAAAAGTTTGGTCAAAAATAATTATAAAGATACCTGTTTTTTTGGGAAGCTTCTGAAACGCCATGGGGTATCCTGGCAAGCCCACACAAAACAGGACACCTCTTGTTGGGGTTGCCATCCGTGACATGGGCCATGTCCGCAACATCAGCCACGGCAGAGTTGATAATCTCAGTGCAAGGTTCCTGGGCCGTTGGATATATATATAGGTTTGTATATGTAGACGAGAGATTGGTATATATATATACATATGTATAGGGAACACCTGCTGATTGGCCCAAGATCCGTTTTACATGGCAGCATTTTGAATGGTGCCTCATCATACTCTCTCTCTCTCTCTCAATATATATGTATATATATATATACATAGGTCATCCATCAAGGATATGTTGAGGGCAAATAGGTTTCCACCACATGCCAATCCTGCCATGGTGCCCCACGAGAGTAAAGCCATGCCAGCCGCCTAGCTTTCCGCGAGGGACCTGGCATGACGGTTGGAGCTGATATGGGCTGCATATAATATATATATATGTATATATATATATACATGGCAATGTTGGGTTTTAATGAGATATACTGAGATCAGGTTTGCACAAGAAGAAAAGAAATCACCTTTCCATAATTCGCTCAGATTAAATCAAAATTTATGCCATGGGGTGAGATGAGCAAGGGGAGGAATCGCCCTTTGTTGTTTTCCATCCGATAGATCATCCAAGCATCTCAGAATCTTCTCCTATATGTATACCATGTAATGCGATGGCATTGCACCACCATCTCTCAAAGCACGTGTGCATTCACACGGTTCATCCATCGAGCACACCAATGATGTTGAACTTAACCCCATGTTCGCACTGGTGCTAGCTCAAGTCAAAATACTCAGGGCACCATTGAAGACCAAATATATATATATATTATTATAGAATGATCCAGACAGGAAATCCCATATGTGAAACATAACACCTATGTATATATATATACTTATACATGCACATACATATACATATACTGAACAAGTCTTCAACCTTGGCTCCCCTCAACTCTGACCACATCAGGTCCGCTTGCGCTTCTTGGAAGCGGCTTTGGTGACAGTAGATGCAGCAGCCTTAGCCTTAGCTTTGGGCAAAGGCTCAGAACTGCTCTTGGTGCGGCGACGTTTGGGCTTGCGCTCTGTCTCCTCCGGTTGGTCGGTGTCCTGGTCCACGTCCTCGGTATCAGCTTTCTCCTTCTCCTGCTGCTGCTCCCGAGCTTTTTTCGCCTTTTGAATGTCCTTCTTCAACATCTTGTACTTTAGCTCCACAGACAAGAAGTCAGCGCAAGGGTTCTTGATCACCTCTTTCACGGTATCGATCTTCTCCTGGAACCTTAGGTGGTTTAACTGCTTCCAGGATTTCATTCAGGCGAGGTATATACACACACACATATGTATATATATATATATCAATACACACACATATATATATATATATACATGCACGTATAGTTTTACTATACAGGTCAAGAAAGTAAAACAGTGAAGTTGTAACTATATAAACCTGTATATATATATAGCTTTACATATGCAAAACCATCCCAGGTAGAGCCATCTTTTTGTTCTCTGCAATACTGGTTTCATGGAACTATAGGCGGTCTCCATGTGCAAGCTTTAATATGTATAGCTAATTGCAATTGAATTTTACACAGGTGCCTTTCTATCGGGAAGCCATGGAAGGCCTTTGGAAAGATCTATACACAAAATACCCAACGTACGGGCCCTCTCTGTCATCTTTGGGAAGTGTTTCTCCTCCAGGGCGTTCGTTCTTCAATCCAGTTCGACCTGGGCTAGTTGTTTGTGATATCAACAAAAATAAATTGTCTTGTAAATGCAAGTTAAAATCGAAGTTGTTTTAAGCAACAAAATTTCTGCATGTGATACATTCATTTATGCAAGTCACCTTTGAAGAGTTGAATTAAGGCCGCTTCCAGGAAAGCACAGCTGATGTACTCATGTGACATGTACACCACGCAGAGGTGTTCGAAACGATCTCTTCCATGTGCATATCCATAGAGGGAATTGTGAAACCGCCAGACAGGATCATGGCTGTACCCAATCTTGAACGTAGCAGGTTGTTTTCGTTCAATCACTGATTCAATAACACGCTGACCATGCTGAATAATCTGGCCTGCAGTAGACCCAACCCGTGGCAGGTTGTAACTCAAATGTGAATCCTGGGAGATCTGGTCGACAAGAGTTTGAGTTCTGGGGAGGGCCAGAGTTGTAGAATCCAAGTATTTCCCCAATGTGAACCCCTTCGAAGTCAGTCGTAAACCTCTGGATACCTCCTGGCCGAGCTGAGGTCCCGTTGCATTTTGGACAATGGTCGGGGCACTGAAGTGGGAACAGGGTGCCTGTTGGCGATTGTACTCCATCAGTTCCACTAGCCAGTCTGCTGCATCATCAGCCATCACGGGCGGGTCTATGCAAGTGAATGGACTGAAGCATATACAATATATACAAAAATATGGTCGGATGCAATTGGGACAAGTCTGGTCTAAACCCAGCGGAAGAAATCTTGTGTAATGCAGAACCTATAAAGTTGACATAGGACATGAAAACAAAACTGACTATATACATGCATATCCAAAGAGGGTAAGAAACGCATGCAGCTTGGGGCTCTTAGGAGTCTTGTCGAGATCGTCCATTTTAATCTCCGTCATGTACTTGGCAAGGATTCCGAACTGTTCCTCCAACTTCCCAACAATTCGGCGTAGATCATCCACCATCCTCATATATATGGTCCCGTCCTCCGTCTCTCCACCCCCCCCCCCATGGGTTGGGTCCCCAGGTAGTAGCCCCAATTCCCTTCTATTTGCAAGCTATTGGCAGCATTTCTGAGGTCCAGCGTCGTATTTGCTAGGTCTTTGCAGCATTTCTGACTACCAGCCTCGCATTTACTAGGTACATGCTACCTTTTAGGCGACCTACGTAGCACACATACTCCTTCAAAGTACCTACGTGCTACCTATAGTCATACATACATGTGCTATGTATCTACTGTATCTACTTCCTGTTTACTACCTGTGTACTCTGACAACACTACCTCTGTTGAACATATACCGTACCTACCATACATGTCAATGATGCCATGCATACCATACCTATCATATCTATCATACATACCATACATACCATACATATGAAATGTAATTACCACACCTACCATACATACAATAGCATACATACAATAGCAAGCATACATGCCATACATACCATACCTACCTTAGATAGGACATATTCCATACCCATCATAGTAACCATACATACCATACAGACCATACATACTGTCATATCAAACATACCATATCCAACAGACTTACATACCATACCTACCATCCATACAATACCAACCACTCATGCCATACATACCATACCTACCATACATACCAAACATACCATACTTTCCAAACATGCCATACCAGACCGACCATACACACCATACATACCCACCATACCATACCACACCCCCACCACACCACAGGGGGGGGAGGGGGACAGTGCCACACCCCCACCACACCACAGGGGGGGGAGGGGGAAGATCTCATATGGGACCAGTATATGGGACCCATCCACCACACCACAGGGGGGGGAGGGGGACAGTGCCACACCCCCACCACACCACAGGGGGGGGAGGGGGAAGATCTCATATGGGACCAGTATATGGGACCCATCCACCACACCACAGGGGGGGGAGGGGGACAGTGCCACACCCCCACCACACCACAGGGGGGGAGGGGGAAGATCTCATATGGGACCAGTATATGGGACCCATCCCATATGGGGGGGGAGGGGGGGGGTGGCAGGGCCTGGTGCATATATACACATGCACTGGTGTATGAACCAAGATGTCATGCAAAAGTCAGAGTGTTGGTCCACCCTCCAATTTGTCAAAGATTTATATATATACATATATATATACACCATAAAAACACACAGTTGTATGTTGTGATTTCAGTGGTGGTGAAATTTGATCATTCAATTTCCATATATATATATAGATAAGACAAGAGTCAGCCTGTAGCGCTCCATAGGTGGGGGGTTGTCCTTCTCTTCAAGAGTCGCAATCATGTCATAGATGGTGGACATCTTGCTGTTGAGGGCTTCCATCACTTTCTCGAGGTCTGGCACCACCTGGGCAGAAAACGAAAGACTTCAGGCAGGGACCAATGGTGGGCTGCTCTTCTCCCGTATATATATATATATACATGTATGTGTGGTTTTATCCACCCCATTGTATTATATATATATACATATATATATAATTGTTGCCATAGCCAATATTTATATATATAATTATATATATACAACTATGTATACTTGTAATTGTGCCATGCTTCATATATGCAAATAGTTCCATGAACATGGGTTTGAGTAAATTCAGTGAAGAAACCTTTTCACCCAACTGTTCCGGAGTTGGTTTTGCTTCTGGGCGATCTTCTGAGTCATCCTCATCCACGCCTTTTGGTAAAGCTGGAGCTGTAGTAGAAGTCTTATCCTGACTGGGGCCATGCAGAAGTTATGACCAGACTATATATATAAATATATATAATATATACACATGGGCATCCCCTTTCCTGTGGACAATGGAATTTATTGCAGTTGGGACAAACCTGTTCTTGGATCTAAATACGAAGTAAAACACAAACAAACATTTCTCAATTAAGGTAAACTAAAAAAATAGTTCGATAACTAAGACCCTGTCATCCATCTCTGTGGTGTCCACTTGGCGGGTCAAATCCGCACGCTTCAGCTTCACCGTCGTTTCATCCTCAACAAAAAAATCCTCCACATCTTCATTATATTTCCACTTCCTGCCAAGACACGGATCCAAGATATAATATATATATATATAAATAGAATCCAAAAGTATAAGTGGGTAAGCAGGACAGGCAGGGTACCTTTGTATAAAAACTCATCTATATGTATGAAAGATAAATTGGACAAACCCTTGCCTCACCAACGCCTGTGGAAATCGTCGGCAGTATCCCATGATGCTCTTCACCGAAGCCCTTGGCATCACCCAGTCTAGAGCTAAAACGGGATCACTATATATATATATATACATATGTATATATAGTTTTATATCTACACATGTCAAATTATATATTTATATATGTATATTTAAGTATATGTGGGAAAGCATTCAGCAAAGCCATGTGTATATATTATACTTATATATACATATAAAAATCATAAATATGTATATAGATATATACACGCACATGAACCAATGTTTTAACCAACAATCATAAAAGGGTACATTTCCCATCAAAGATACTTGTCATACTCAGCCTTCATCTTCTCTTCCGTCAACCACTTGCCGGTGGTTTCCAGCTCCTTGGACTGCATCCTTTCTCGCACCACCACTACACGAGTCAAGAACTCTGCCTGGGCAGGAGTATAATACATATAACTGTGTTTCCCTTTTGGTATCCCCACAGTGCATATATATATAATTATATATATATATATGTATGCTTTGAACAGTTTGATTGATGGTATACCGTGGCCAAAAAAAAGTCTGAAGTACTTGATGAAGAATTTGATCCATTGAAGACTGATGCCCTCAAAATGTATATACAAAGATTTTGGAAACACCAGCACAATTTTTGGCTGAACCCCATATGCAGACCTTCACACGTTTGTACGCATCTCGGCCAGTCCCATGTTTCTTCAACGCCTCCAGTAGCGCTATCTCAAGCCACTCACGGCGCTCACCGCCAGCCTTGTAGTCAGCCTGGGTCTTTTCATCCACCCAAGTCTTCCCGGTGCTCTTGGTTTCCGTCAGGCGACGCAGGCGCATCCGCAATGCGTCTGCCCCGAGAACCTATGAGTGGAAGGCCAGGAAGTGTGTATTTGTTGGGAGCATAAATGTGTATGTGTATATATATATATGTGTGTACTTGTCAGAAACTGTATATTTATATAGTTATCCATCTATATATATATTATATATATACATATTTATACATATACATATATACACTTACTCAACCCCATGACCTTCCACACACACACACACGAAGTGTTTATGGTCATTCTTCAAATTATTCTCCCATGCTTTTCTTGGGATAGACGGGTAGCTGACAGGGTAGCTTGGTATGAGTACATAAATATATATATATATAATGGTTATATATTCTCAAGATGAACGATGCTCGAAAATATGCAAAGATAGGCCCTTTTAGGTGTTTTCGAGCATCTACCATTTTGGGGAATAACATATATATATATATAAATGTATATATAACAATTATATATATATACACCAACCCCTAAAACATGTAAAAAAAACATGTTTGCGGGAAGGCCCCTAAAAAACATGTTTTGTGGGAAGTGACATTTCAATATGCATATGGGGATACCATTGGTGTATATTTATATATAAAATATGTGTATATATATACATAAATATAAACATATAAAGTTATACCCTGATCAGCCTAAACCACATGCTGCAAAAGAACTTTCTGCCCATCCGGTGTAATGATCGGGTCATCATCACCACCCTCCGCAGCTTCCTCGGGTTGGGGCTCGGAAGGGGCCGAAGGGGCCTTCTTCTGTAGTTGGTTCTCCAAGTCCTCTATCTTCTGCAAAGCTTTCTGCAAGAGCTCCTTGTCCGTGGGGTCCATGGGAACTGCTTCCCCACGAGGCTCTGACATACCATTCGCTGGCAGGCCCTTTGCACTGGAAGGTGGCGAAGAACTTGGAGGCCTGTGGCTCTGCGGCGTGTCTGCGGTGTCCCTTGGGCTGGTTGTAGGTGGCACTGCACTGCCTGGACTCCTCATACTGTTCATAGAAGCTTCAACTTGTTGTGTATCCTGGGCTCAGAATGGGACCACATATACGGGTATATTGGTGAAAATTGTATATATATGCATTTATACATGTTTTTTTACTATTTCCACCTAACTCCACATTATAACTTATACTTGCTCAGCAGGTGATCTCCCAGAAAAAAAATATATACTGTTTTTCATTGGTTCCCCTCCACCCACCACGATTAATTACTTAGGCATTGACTGAGTAAGTATGTTTATAACATGGTTTGTTGAGCATACATGGAAGGATAACTATATAGGGTTGATAAAACAATGTATTCATAACCCAACCAGGGAGCAGCAGGCTGCGTCTCTGCCTCTGCGAGGGCTTGGGTCTTCTGCGCTGGTTCCACCATAGTAGCCTCAAGAGAGATGTTTTTTTTACCCCTTCAATATCTTAGTGGTTTTGAGCACACTTAAAGCCTTATACATATATGTATATATATAATTATATATTAAAAAAAAAACATGATTGGGGAGTTGTATAACGATATATTCATTTCATATATGCTGACAAAAATCTGAACTTGTTTCACTATATTGGTCACAGTAGCTGGGACTCCTGGTTCCTTCTTGATGACAACTTCGTTGGTATTGGGCTGAGCAGCACGTTTCTGCTTCACAGCTGCAAGAAGCTCCTGGGTTTCCTGCACAAATATGCACATGGTGACTATAGTGCCTATATGTATATATACATAATTTTATAGTAATCTATGACTAAATAATCTATATGATTGCCTTAACGGATATAGATATAGATATATATATATATATGAATATCAAATCCCGAACCAATTTGACAGAAATGTGTTTGAAACAAGATATGAGCAATTAAACCCAATATCTTCTGGGTCTACATGTTTTTGAAACATCCAACCTGCAACTTTCTCTGAAGATCATTCCGGCTCATGCCTTTGAAAAGCTGCATCCCACCGATGCGCGCACAGGCTTCTGCACCCGCTACGAGAGAGTTGCAGGAGTGGGCCCGGCTTTCAAGGGTGTGCTGTGACATCCCTCCAAAAATTTCGTGAAAAACCAAATGGCAGCACTGCATTCCCACAAATCATCACAAATCCATGTTTTTTGACTCTTCCATAGATGCAACATTTTTCAAACTCAAAGTGGCATTCTGGGATGATTCATGGCCAAAAATGATTTTGCAAACCACAAAATCAACCGTGGGTGTCATATAAAATGTTATGATTTTTACGTAAATTTTACGTAAGTGCGAACGGTTTCTGAACGCCATTTGAACGCCATTTGAACGCCATTTGAACGCCTTCGAACGGTTACCCCTGGGAACGGTTTTTAACGACCCTGATGTCACAGGGGGGTACGGGTTTTAACGTCCCAGCTATCATGTTTTTACGACCCGGATACGGGAAATTTACGTCCTTGAGGTGCCCGAACGGTTTTTTACGGCCCCGAACGGTCTGCAGTGGCAAATTTGCACATGAAGGCCAAAAAATTACTTTTCTGGCGAAATTTGGGCTATATGAGCTGACCAAAAGGGAGCTTCAGATCATTTTGACAGTCGTTGAGGGCATTCCAAACGACTATAAGCATAGAAACCCTTGCGCCAAAAAAGAATGGCAACAACATCATTAATGGAACCGCAGTCCAGAAGATTGGACCCCACTACACCATTAGATCCCATGCATAAAAACACAAGGTGGATGTTCCATATAATTGAAAAACACCCCCATGGTTGCTTATGAGGATCAATGCATTGGATTTGAGGAAATAAGCACAAGCAGGTGTGGCTTATATAACCACAGATCACCCCAATCTGTGTAATCATATATATATATATACACAATTATATATGCATGTATAAATATATACACATACATACATATATGCATATGCATATATATATATAGGTATATAGGCATGTTTCCCTGAAAACATATATGTAACTGCAGTGGGGCCCATGGTGGTTCTTTGACACACGCAACCCACCTGTAATCCAATTGTGTTTATGGAAAAACACAGGGCAGCGTCACAACCTCCAATCCTGGAAGGTATACACATATATAATCCTTTTTGCTATACTTACGCCACCTTGCAGTCTTGCAAGGCCTGCCTGGCCTTATTGGCCTGCTCTGACAAAAGCTGGCGCTTTGAATTGAGGACCAGGGCTAGCTGTCTCATGTCACCGGGAAGGCACTGGGGCAGTGCAATGTTTACACATGTGTATATATATATATAAATACATTGTTGGTTCTGTGATTCCAACATATTCCCTCATATAAATATATTGTTGAGAAATACCCATGTACATGTTTCCCAAAGCTATATGGGGGCCCAATCAAAGGGGGATGAAACATATATATATATGATATATATGTATATACAGTTGATGTATGCAGCTTCAAAAAGTTTCAGGCCCCTGTTTTGAAACATTTCCTGATATATGGGAATATAAGTGACATATCCCATAAACTGGACTTACAGCAGCCAGGTCCAACCATTGCAAAAAAGGAACTATATATGCAAGATGAAAAGATCCGAATTGCTTGGAAGTATAGCTGGCCTTCCACAAATCCACCCATGGACCCAAAGTGGACAAAACAAATGCATACATATACATATATATATATATCATAGTATACATAAATATAATTACAAGGGTGACCAATCAACCAGTCAACAGCTTCCACCACCAACAGCTGTTATACATATATATATATATACATTAGATAGATCTGGGGGAAGCCTCCTTCCACTGCGGAGGCAGTCGCAGCGATTTGTTACCATACAAATATCGCACTACTTCTTTTAAATTGGCCTCTGGCCAGTCCAACCACTTAGCATCACGAAGTAGCTCATGAGCTGGAGCGGTGGGAAGCTCATTGGGGCTAATCTTGCCCTCCCCTTCACTTTTCAGTTTAGGTAAGAGCTTGCAGACTTCCACCCCAAATCGTTGTGGATACTCCCTTAGCTGTTGAAAGCAGATATGTAGGAACATGTACATACATGAACACCCATTGTATGTGCATTGATTGAGGGGGGTCCAAAATAAAGAAACAAAATATACAACAATACGAAATGAAATCATAAACAAGGATCTGGGTTTTCTTCAAATTTGAATTGCCTTGGTAACCAATCTTTCCACTCTTCGAAATGGTCCGGTTTACTGTCCTCATGGAAAAACTTTGTCGGGCTGCCTGGCTCAACTTCCCCTTGTTGAGCTTGTCCGTCCACACATTGTTTGTAAGTCCCAAGTGACGTTTCGGGCTCTTCGAATTGTAGTGCCCCATCCACCACGCAATTCGGTAGACCTGGGCGGTCAGACAGCTCAAAGGGAAATGCACCAATGGACCCATAAACAACCAAGTATATATTTTATCATTTGCTTAATTATATATATATATATACAAACATATCTATACATATATGAAAATCATGCATATATATATATACATACGCAACGATTGCAAAACAATTCTAAGCAGGTCCCCAAGAAACTCGCAGACGGCGACTTAGCCAAACAATACGTTTGTATTGGGGTAAAATCGAAGATCCAGGCTGTTCAATTAGATAGCTTCCTCCCAAGATGCTGACCAATAAGCATATGAGCGATGTCCTGCCATCGACTGCAGGCATTAAGTAAATTATTCCCCTTTGTTGCAACCCTATGATTCTTTGGCACAATTGTTTGTTTAAAATGTTTGGGAATGTTTGTGTTTGTTTAGGATGCCACATAACTACCATCCTATATAACATTCTAACAAACACTGCATGGTATATTTAATAATTGGTTCCATGCAGTATATATATATATATAGAAAGATATGTTGCACATAGGCTGCATTTTTCCAGCCCCACAAGTGTGGCAGAAACGGTCCTACTCGCCATTGAATTAGCCCACTGAATGTAAATCAGATCTTCTCTTCCTTCTGGTAACAGAATCGAACGCCGGCTGGTGCCAACATTGATGTGCACCCAGCTGCTGCACACCATGCCTAGGAGAACGAAGAAGTTGCCAGGGCGGCATTGGGTCAGCAAGTAGATCGCCATCCTAGGCTGATGGGGTTTGCGGCTGTAAATGCTGGATGGGTGGGGCTCCCTAAATATTTTCACCAGCTATATAGACACATAAGCTATAAATATATGTCAAAAGGCTCAACACGCATATATCATAAAACACACATATAGATATATACACACGTGTTCATATGTGTATATATATATACATGTTGAGATGTACACATCAAGATGGAAAACCACCCCCAAAAAATATGGGTCTGTTTTCAAAGGAGGGATCCCTATACCAAATATTTCAAGACCCTTCATTGAACCCCCCAATTTTGAGACAAAACCATATATATGAAAACCAATAAGGCTTGGGAGAAAACACAATTGCCACAATAAAATGTCCCACCAAATGACGCAAAGCCGGCAGGGGTCATGAAGTCAAATGGATTTGATTTCCCTCGATGTGGGATCCCCTTGAGGTATTCAATGTCCACAGCCGTACATGGGTAAGCTGCTGCATGTATCTCCTCAAAGACCCGTCCAGCACCTGAAAAAAAATCCACGTACTCCAGGTCCTGCGAAACAGCCAGATGACACATGTATATATATATAATATACATGCTCTTTGTTTTTCCTCAACTTGAAAATATGACTATATATAGATATCCATGTAGAGGTGTGTTGCAAAACACATTGATGGATTGATTCTTAGATGTGAATCAAGCAGATCGAAAAAACATAGTGAGGATTTGAATGAGGATTTGTATACACATATAATATCTGATATATATATATATCGAAAGGCAATATTTTCATGAGGGGCATTGGTATATGTAAACATCTAAATGCACATGGGCTGGTCAATAAAGACATTCTTTACATGGGCACATGTTCACACTTGGAATTGTATATGATAATCTTCCCATTCCCCAGACACCACATATGGGCACATGTGGAAATTCAGGTCCACACCACACCTCATGACATGGGGGGCCTGTGAAAGCGGTTGAAGATTCCCAGCGAAGTGGACTAGGACCACACAAAGGACCATCATCTGCACAGGGAAATGTCCGTGGATTGGGATTTAAAGATTGTTGCGAAAACCATGATTTTAAACAGTTTTATTTCTTTCAATATATTAAAACACCATTGGCCACCCAAAACAAACATATATATATATGAATGAATTTGCCAACATCAAATTCTTTTGTACTTGCCCGCCTTTGGGGCGCCATATTTCAGAAGGGACTTGACAACATAGTCTAAATCCATGGCCATTGCTCTGCCCAGGGGTTCTGAATTGGTTTTACCCTGGCTGCTTAGTCTACCAATGGCACCTCTTGACCCAACATGTACTGCAGCAGATGCACATGAAAATACATAAAACACATAAGATTGAATTCCCTGCATCAAGATTCAATGCCCAACATCGCAGATCAACTATATATAAATATATATATAAATTATAACCATTGACCCACCAAAGCGTATTTAACTCAAATATCTCCGGTGGCATATTACCCCCACAAAACTCGCATGGGCAGACCCCTGAAGAAGTCATCATCAACTGCCCTCCGCAGGGCAGCCGTGCCCTTCCGCTTCAGCCCCATCACAGCGGAGACCTGCCAGCACGAGGCGGGGTGGAGACGGTAAATGGCGATGGGCATGAAGCATAGCAAGGTCCATCGGGAGCTGTCTGGGCTATATATATATATATATAGCTTTATTTGCATATACAATATATATATATATATATATATATCGAGATATATATATATAAATAATTTGATGTCACTCTATAGTCCTGGCATCATGAACTCATTGTAGGTCCAAATCACCGTCTTGACTATTTACACAATTTCATATGCCCGTTTTCATCCTGTATATATATAAATACATGTACATATACATTTACATCTAACCTGCGCATATTATTATATATATATACATGTATATGTATGTGAAAACACATGAGTATATATATATGTTTATTTAGACGTTTGTTGAAAACGCAATCCAAAGCATGGCAGTTTTTTTTTTTTTCGCATAGCATCATCGATTTGATCCAATCTACAGTGCCAACATGCCAAACACAGCCACTTGTGTGGCAAAGGCCTTGTTGGAAACGCACTCTCAGATTTAAAGCCTTTCACAGCTTTGCATGGCATTACGTGGTTTCATTGCGAAACCCTTTGCAAACATAGAATTTGACAGCTATATCAAAGAAGTTTGGCGCACAGCCACTCCAGTTGGAATATAACTTGTTTACATTGTGTAAATTGGCATAAGTTGCATGGTCCAACCAAAACAGATCCTGTATATATATATATATAGTCAAATGGAATAGATACATTTTTTAAAACAAACACAATCATATATAACATGATTTCAATCTGGAGAAGTTGTGCGAAAGTTCACACCTACTTTTGCAAGCTGCACCCATATGAACCACATGGCTCTTTGGCACATCAGTCTTGCCCTGCTTCAGCCCAAGCGCTGGCCAAGGTCGCTTTGAGATCTCGTTCGTATGCAATCATGGCCTCATGTTTGGGCCTCACGATCCAATTCTCATCGGCAAGCTCCCAAAGCTTTTCAACCTGGGTGTGGGAAGATGCATGGCATGGATACACTGCATTTGCATTTTGTTGTATACATCGATATATCTGAAAGAAATATACATGCCCATGTAACACATCATGTCAAACCCTTACAACATCTCATTGGGTGTATATGCATATATGTTATGGTGTTTTGCTTCACAAATTGAGTCAAGAAACCCACTTGTTGGCACACAGAAGGTTGCACTCCGTGCAAGTACCAATGCCAAAGTGAGCACTGTGCTTCCACTTGGGTTTGCGAGAATTTTTTTCAGGGGGCTGGTATCCCTCTAGATATGCAGGGTCCAAGACAACCCCAACACCATTTGCCTTCCAATAAACGCTCCAGATCACACCTTCAACCTTGGGCATGGTGAAGGCATGGCAATCGGCAGTGCAATTGACACCCCCCCCACAATCCTTCAGCACCAATGACAGTTGATCCTTGAGGTCGGGATCAACCTTCCCAGGTGCTGCAGAGGCTTGCTGGGTTCGGGTGCGTTTCCTAGATTTCTTTTCCGTGCTGGCTGCTGATTCCTCAGTTGCTTTCTTTCTTTTCTTGGTTTCCGTCTCAGGAACGGCAACCTTTTGTTTTTTCTTGGCTGTGGTTGCCTGCATCTTGGAATTCATTCTCTTCATTCGGTTGTAGCGCTTGTTCTTGCTAGGACTTTTCTTCTTGGCCGTCTTTCCCTTCTTTCCCTTGCCTTTTCCTTTGGCACTACCAGTTCCCTTTCCTTTGCCTTTTTTCTTGCTATTGCCTGCGGCCCCCCCCTTGCCTTTTCCTTTCTTGGCGGCTTTCTCATCCTTGATTTTCTTCTTGATGCGGAACTGGGCACGTCGGGTGACAGCAGGATGGCTGGGAACCTCTGGTGGTAGATCATTAGGTGGGCACTCCTTCTCCACAACCTGAATGGGGGCAAACAATTTCATCAGCAATGTTTGTCAATGAAGTCACCAAGGGGATTATAGTCCACATCTACGGTTGAAGGGGAACGAAAACATATGGTGTTGAACAGTGTTGAACATAAGTTTTGAAACGGGAACACAAATTTTAGTTGTTTTGAAGCCCTTTTACCTCATGCTCCTCAACACTCGCTGACCCCGGTACTGGATGCCCATCAAGAACATTCTCTTTGGCAAGGAGTTCTTTCATGTCATTGGTGTTCAGGTATTCTTCCGTTGGTACCAAAAGCTGCGTCTCAGCATTGTCAGTGGCCATTGGCAAAGACTCTAAGACATATGTCGGCGCACCATCACCTTCAAAGCCCAGTTTCACATGGAAAAAAATAAACATATTTGCCACCACTTTCTTTTTTTCATCATATGTATGTATATATATACATAATTTGATTGGTTGCCTTTTGAATTTCCCCAGGCCCAAATTCAATTTTTCTGTGAAGCAGCTATGAAAAGGGACCATATATATATACATGTTTTTTTTTACGTTTCTAAATGTTTTTTCAAAAGCAGACACGGGCTGCCTGCACTCATCACTCCGGCTGCGGCCCCACAGGCTGACTCCCCAGGCTCCGAAATCTCATCCAAGACGGTCGAAATGTCCGTGCCTTGGAGCGACCTTGGTTGAGGGCAGAAGCTTCGACTTTATAAAGCCTTAATAAATTTAGCCTATAAGTCCATATATGTACATATGTGGTGGGGTGCATTTATATATATAATTATGTATGTTAAGTCAAAATGAGGATCTTCAGGAAAAATACAACATCAACTCCATCAGGTAGCGACACTTCCATATGTAAAGCAACTAAAGGAAATCCAAACCATATATAACAAGTATAGGGCTCACAACAAGAATAACCCCTTATTTTAAGCCAGATTTGTGGAATAGCACCATGCCTAGACCATGCTTCAACATGTATAGATGTATATCTATATCTATGTGTATATATATATATACATACACCTTATATATACGTGCAGATTCATGACCACTGTACCCCCTGACAAGTAATGCTGCATGGGCTAATGTTGGGCTGGGTAGCTCAGACAATTCCATCATGATGCCTTCCAGTTGGTTCTGCAGTAGGTCAACATCGGCTGAGTGTGAATCCACGTCATCATCGCACAAGTCCACTACCACATTTGCCCGCTTTTCCTCCAGGGATTGGGGAGCTATATGTATATACTGTCAATCATGAACAGCTTTTATCATTTGTGATATGTATATACCATGCAAAAATACAGTCAATATATACATGTATATACTATATATATACCTGTATATGTTTAAACAACATATATGATTTGTTTTCATTGATTTTGGGCCAAAACTCCTGGGGCACTTCCAGAAGAGATGATGTACTCCCTGACTCAACTGGTGCATGTGCAATTGAATGGGGGGTAGCAACTGGCCGCAAAAGACCATTCTGGTCTGCCACCATTGGGACACTAGCTGCTGGCTCCTTACGTTTGCCCAAGCGGGGCAACCAAACAGCAGCAGGCATATCCTTCAAGGTCAATTGACCATTTGGTTTGGGCATTTCAGGGGAGTTGTCCACAGCTACATGTTGGGGAGCACTGGCACCCACCAGATCTAGCGAGTTCAGGGCAGCAGAGATTTCATTGACTGCCTTCTCGAGATCCTCTGCGCTGGGTTCATCCCCTGTAGGGGGTGCTAAAGCTAGCTTGACCGGTTCACTGGGACCTGGTAAGGGAACTTCTGTCAGGGCTGGAAGGTGCGAGGTATTCACAGGGCCACTGCTTGACGGCGAAGAAGTTGGCACTGTAGCATGTGTTTCAACAGCCTCACATTGATTTGAACAACTGCCAAACATAACATATCTCAAAAATCTTAGATGGCAACGCATTGAAAGCCCTTTACCTTTACCCATGTGCCTGGAATGTATACAACCCTTGGGAATATAAAGAGTGCAATGCACCAACCCCAAAAGAATGTATATATAGAAATGTCAAGCCAACTTAAAGGGCCCTCTTGTCCCAATCTGCACCCCAGTGTTTTCTGAAGTTGCTTCGCCAAGCAGCCGCGGTTTCCAAGGCCTGGGTGCCCTCAAGGTGTTTGAGAAGCTCTTGCAGGACTGGATCCTGCAGCTGCTTGCAGTGGCAGGGTGGTGGCAGTATATATAAGTTTCAGTTCAGACATAAAACAAATCAGAGAAAATATCTGCTGTGGCATGGGTTCTTGAAAAGGAAGTTGAAAACATTTACAAAAACAGCACATATATATATATATATTTATACTTATATGTGTGTAAAATGTACATGTAAATATGCACACGCACGCATATGTAGATAGATAGATATATATATATTATTATATATACACACATTCAAATGACCAGGTGAATCAAATCAAAATCAAACAACTATAGATGTGTGAATATATACCTATATAATCTTATATAGATATATATATAGTATACTGTTCCCAGCCCCTTCCATAAGACTGTCCTTTGGGGGCGATGTTCGGTACAATTGCTTTTTTGCCACACCACAAAGCCTTCTGATGGCCCATCCTTCCTGATAGATTCTGTCTCCACGCTTGGCACCCAAGTTGAGCTGGCTGCGGTCGAAAAGAACCCCAATCTGATGTAGCACCCTATCCAGGGCTGGTAAGGTTTTGCCATTTTCTCCCATGAGTTTCAGGATTGGTGCCATTACAAAGTGGTTCAATTTCAAGGATGGAACCGTCTTGTCCACATAGCCATTGGTGGCCACGTGTTTCTCTGAGTCAAAGTTCTGTAGCAAATTGTCACCCACACGGAGCCTTTGCCTGACTAAGTGACAGTTGTCCCAAGCATCAGCAAGCCCATCCATTGACCAATTCCCCACCCTGTCTTTCACTGTCTCCTGGTTGTCATCTTCATGAGAACTAGGCGGTGGCCCACCACTACCAGAGCTAGCTGACCCTGCACTTTTCGCTTTTCCCGGCATGCCCCAGCTGGGTGTGATCCTCCAAATGGTTTGGGGTTAAGATGCTGCGGCTCAGGAGATGGGCATCTGAGAGAATCTGACATGCTTGGTTTGCATGGCTCGTGGGGCCGTGGGGTGCTGGATGTGTGAACCCCTTGAAGGAATATAAACATATACACATAGGTATATTCTTTGAATTTCTTTGATGCATGCATACATCATGAAACATGCACTGATGCTACAATACCAGATTCATGTTTTGCATGTTGAACAGATCATGAATGTATATATATATATATATGCATGTATTTATAGAGTCTTTGATGGGAAGCACCAGGTGCCAACCCCACCCTGCCTGCAGCCACTGCGGGGCAGCAAAAGCAGCCAGAAGGCAAAGCACGTGCAATGCCATGAGTTAGTGCAAGTAAGCGATATATAGAACAGGGAGTATCAAACCTTCCTGATATAGTTCTATAATGCTGAGACTTGTGATTTTGATATGAATATATAGGCAACTAATGTCCCATTTGTGGGAGTGATAACTGTTTTTGTTTCAGCTTCAAGATGCTTAGTGCCTGCCACTGTAGCAACATATGCTTTCCTGCCAACGAGCTGAGAAATAGGTGGTGCGGAGGGAAATGGCGACCTGGAGAGCATCACAACCATGATAGTGTATATATATTTATTAATATGTAAATATGTGCATATATACATATACATATATATATATATATATGAATATATATATATATATATTCATATATGTATATATGTATATATATGCACACGTGTATATATATATGTATGTATATATATATGTATATGTATATATATGTATATGTATATGTATATATATATATATATTTTGATTTCCTTGAACGGGTAGCCGAACGGGTGTTTTCATCTGGGACAATAATTATTGTCCACCATCTGTTGCGAGAGCTCCTGTTAAAAAGGGACAATGAACAGTATCCATCCATTGTAGCAGGTACTATTTAATACAGATATATTCAATTATTTACTAATTTTGCATATCATTTACCATCCTGGAGCTTGTTTCACCGCTGGTGCTGAGGTGCTGGAAGTCTTCCCCTTGCCGCAGGTTTGTGTGTTGCAGCAGCCCGGAAGCACAGTCTTCGCTGGCTGCAGGGTGGAAGTCTCGATGTTCCAAGATATTCCTGAACTCTCTGGAAACTCAGGTTTGAGCGCGGAAGCTCACTTTCATGATCTTTCATTATATCTGTTTCCATTGATGTGCGTTTCCTCTTCAATGGCCAACATGTTGATATCATTTTGGGATATATTGGGATAGATTGGGTAGAAAGAACAGTTTGAGATGGATTCTGAAACTATACCAATTTGATATACCCAGTTTGGGTTTGAACAATGGGTTTCATATGGTTTCATATGGTTTCATACCAATGTTCATCCAATTTTCCAAGCCCAAGCCAGGCCGCGGCAGCTGCTGCTCCACGCCAAGTGCTGCGAAAGGTGGGCCATCCACTCCAAATGTTGGGATTGGGCTGTTTACCTTAAATATGCCACAAGTTTTGAAGTGACAAGTCCTTTGAGGCATTAGCAACAGGCAAGGAAGAGAAGCAGGCTGGTGGCTTAGCACTTGCAGTGGGGCCAGGTTGGCCGCTTGTGAAAAGGGTGAGACTAAAAATCGAAACAGAAAGTTATATGGTCATCTTCTGGTTGTTTGCGCCTTGTTTACCGTGAGCATCCGTGAGCTTTGGTTTTTTGTGGGATACGTCCGGATATGTGTCAAGGTGTGTCAGGGTGAGGCGCTACCCGACGCCAGGTGATGATGTCAACTGCGCTTCCTTGGATGCCTGTGCCTGCACATCTCAGGATCCGAACAGCCATGGGTCGGCAGACATAATTTTTCTAACATTCGAAAAGATCATATGCATGGTCAAAGTTGGACCATCAACCAATAGCTGTCAATTTTGAGATGTGTACAGTACACTGGCCATTTCAAATAATATACTGTATATTACTCTATATTTTTGTATATAGATAGTGCTTTCTTTATGTCACAGCATGTCACAGCCAGGAATGACCCCACTAGTCCTCACATGGTTGGAGACCTTGGCTTCGACCCTCTCGGGCACGGGATCCCAGTGGATCCCAGTCCGCCACTCCGGTGCTGGATGCAGCGCTGAGGTTTGGAGCTGATGAATACATCAACGAGGCATGGATTCGGTGAGGCATCCCATGGCATCCCACATGCCATCCTCCTGAAGCTTGGACATCAAGGGGATAATCATGGATAATCTATATCTAAATGACTAAACATACTAAACCACCATTTTTTTGCCAGGGGATTTCTGAAGATTTTTGCGCTGACAAACATCCACCATACAGAAAAAACATCACCAGCGTCAGGTGCTCGAGAACTTTGGATTGGAGTTCAATGCCATGCGGTGGTATCGCGAGGACATGGGGCACCTGGGGCACCTGGGGCACCTGGGGCACCTGGGGCACCTGGGGCACCTGGGGCACCTGGGGCACCTGGGGCACCTGGGGCACCTGGGGCACCTGGGGCACCTGGGGCACCTGGGGCAAGCGGCCAGGAGTGATAGTATCTGAATGTATTTGATAACAGTAGTGACTTTCAGTAGTGACTTTCAGTAGTGACTTTCAGTAGTGACTTTCAGTAGTGACTTTCAGTAGTGACTTTCAGTAGTGATACTAGGTGTTACTAGGTGTTTCATGGTGTTTCTGATTCTGAAAGAGAGATCATGATCGATCATGTGGGGAAAGCATCCATTTGACTCTGGATTGAGAGATTCGAAGACTGAACTCATGGCAGCTCCGCGATGCTTCGCGTGAGGCTGAACTGATGCATGGTCGAGTTTGCATGCTGGCAGTCTTCAAGGTGCACTGTCTGAGGATGCTTCTGCGATCTCAAATTGATACGATGGTTTCTGGATTCTCAACTTTGGGGACTTCTACACCTGTGGTCTACCTATTGAAACAGATGAAACAGGCTTGATGTTGTTTGATCGTTGATCGTTGATCGTTGATCTACATTTCGCAGCTGGAACCACAGTGACCCAACATGCGGAGGTCATCGTGGACTCTTCTTTCCCAGGCTGGGAATTAGGGAGAAGGGCTGCATCGGCCAATGCGCACATTAACAACAAAATCATCACAGTAGTCACTGACGCTTGATACATTTATGAGATTCCAGCATATTATTGGCAAATCATATTTCATCAGATTTTTACTATTACAGCAACGTACAATATAGGTAACTGAATTCGAATCTTACTCTTTTATCAGTTTGATTCAATTTGTATCTTTTGGACTTCATATTTCATGGCCAGGTGTGATGCCAAAGGAGGAGGCCATTTCTTCCTCGACCTGGGAATTGGTCCAGATGATGGCTCTGCTAGAGGCCAGTGAAGGACTTCAGCTTAGCGGTATAACCGGTGTAATCAGTCATTCAAATGTTTATCCATGATAAATGTACGTATATAATTGTAACGTTTCATTTATTATATATATATATATTATATGTTATGATGATCATACCCTTCAAAGGATATCTTTGGAAGGTCACTCACTGGGTTACTGGTTGTAGAATTTCTATTTGGAGTAGTGAAATTTTGAACCGAACCTGAGCAATTTTTTGCTTTGCTGTTTGTTGGCTTTGTCACCAAAATGTATCGCAAAGATCTCCGAAGCCGTCAGGCCTTCCGAGGCTACCGACTCTTCGTCAACCAGGACTGTCAAACATAAGAAACGCGCAGAGGTGCAGAGCAAGGCAGAGCAAGGAATGCTATGGATGTTGAGGCAGAAGCACTTGGCGCTTCATGACAGTTCATGACAGTTCATGACATGTCGCAGATCATGGTGACAGGTGTTTTGCGTTTGCATGTTCCGCAGCCATTGAACAACAAAGGGGGGCAATAAATTGACAAAGATGGACGTCCCAGCCCTGATCGCTTCGCCCGTGGGCACCGTGAGCACCGTGAGCAGAGCTGCTCCAGTTGCCCCTGTGCCCGCAAGGTCCGCAGGGCTTGCAGCTCGACCAAGTTCTCAGCGTGGTGAGCGGTCGACTTTGACAGCCCATCTGGGCTTGGCTGTGGCCGCAGCATGCTCCTGGTCGGTGCACAAGCGAGGCAGAGCCGCGGTGAAAGGTCCTAAGCGTGTGCAGATGAGGCCTGGCTGCTCTGCAAAAACGAACAAATTCATGTTGGAATTCATGACAAAATCAATTGTTTCGCATTTCTCAAGTATCTCAAATTCAAATCTGATCAAAACCTGTAGGATCTGTAGGAATCTGTAGGAATCTGTTGGACCTTTGGGGAAGTGACATGTTTTGTGTTTTGGAATTCGGCCGCGCCATGCTTCGAGGTACACATCGATGTGCAAAGACTCCGACCCCGAGGACTCCATGCGGCGACGCTTCGAGGCCGTGGTGGCCGAGGCCCAGGAGAAGATCTGCAAGGCCATCGAGGACACGCAGCGCTGTGGTTCCTGTGGTTCCTGTGATAAAAGCACCATGAAACACTATGAAACACTATGAAACACTATGACTATATGATAATCGGATCAGATGACATGTGATGAGATGTAATGACGATGTAATGAGTAATATGAGTACAGATTTGGGTACTTTGCATATCTTTGCATGGGATATTCGAAGAATGATAAGACACCAGTCTAGTGAGATCTTGGCTCATTTTGTGTGATCAGTAGCTCAGCTAGTTGCCGACCCTTGAACGCCAAGTGTCTCCACATTTCACATCATTTCACCAATTTTCACCATCACACACCTGAGTCACCTGAGTTGCAAGACGCATAAGACGCAAGACGCTTAAGGACTGTGATGGTGGTGCAAAGTTTTGCCGAGAGCCATACACACGAGAGTCCGGAGGAGGTGGCGTTGCTCGGGTGTTGACCGATGGAAATGTCTTCGAGAAGGCTGGTGTGAATCTTAGTGTGGTCTATGGGCAGATGCCTCAAGAAGCCTTGCAGGCAGCCACTGAGAGAGGTGCAGATCGAGCTGGGGGCAAATTGGAACCAGGTCAAAAGGTCCCATTCTTTGCTTGTGGCCTTTCCTCAGTGATGCATCCCAAGAACCCCTTTTGCCCCACCATGCACTTCAACTACCGTTACTTTGAGACTGAGACCGGAGCTTGGTGGTTTGGAGGTGGCACTGATATCACTCCTTCGTATCTTGATCTCGATGACATGAAGCATTTTCATGGCACCTACAAGGACGTCTGCGACAAGTACAACCCCGAATGGTATCCCAAGTTCAAGAGCTGGGCTGATGACTACTTCTTGATCAAGCACCGCGGTGAGACACGAGGCTTGGGAGGCATCTTTTTTGATGATCTCAACACTGAGGATCCCGAGACACATTTGAAGTTTGCCGAAGAAGCTTTGGACGCAGTTCCAAAAGCATATGTGCCCATCCTCGAAAAGAATCGAGACAAAGAGTTCACAGAAGAACAGAAGCAGTGGCAACTTCTTCGACGTGGCCGATATGTGGAGTTCAACCTTGTCTATGACCGAGGTACCGTTTTCGGCTTGAAGATGTTGGGCAGCGGCGTGGGCCGAATCGAAAGCATTTTGATGTCCCTTCCTGAGAATGCCAGTTGGCTTTATGCCCATGAGCCAAAGGAGGGCTCCCCAGAAGCAGAGATCATGGAAGCTTTCAAGCAGCCCAAGCAGTGGGTTTGAGCTGGCCGCCACTGGCTGCCGCTGGGCCAAAGGCGCCTCCGAAAGAAGCCGTGTGACACAGCGAATGGTTGAGCTCGACTCAGATCGACGGCGTTTAGCAGCGTTTTTGAACTCCAACCGGAGGGTGATGCTGAACGCTTCTCCACCGCACCTATGTTTGCACGGGGGGTAGACTGTCGTTGTAAGCACTGAATGTTTAGCATAACTTCAGCTTTGCAGCTGGATTTAAGTTGCCTTCTCCATTGAACAAAAATTCGAAAAATTGCAGAGTTCCGTCTGATTGTGAAGTGGAACAGCTGAATTTGCTAGCTGAAATTGAATGGTGGATTTCAAACGATGTCAACAGAACATGTGAAATTGCAAGAAGCAGATACAAGATGATACCAGCAGTTCAAATACATTCAAATACTGTATGTTGCAAAATACGTTGTAACATGATGGAAACACGCCGCGACCGCACTGCAACCTTTCAAATATCTTCAAAGCGTCCCTTGACGAGCGCTGTGTGACAGGATGCCATCGCTGGAGATTTGGGCCTTGGTGCTGGGCCCATGCCCGGCGGTTGGAAGGCGGTTGGGAACATGGGGAACTTCACATGATTTCACATGTACATAGGTATACAAGTATTTGGTCACATAATCATATATATTATCATATATTCATATGTATAAATATTATATATATATATATTGTATATAACACATAATGTTGTGTCATTGACATGCAACTTCTAGAGCTGAAGTCGTTTTTTTGGCCTATCCGGAACCCAAATCAAGCAGATGATACGGGAAGGAAGCTCCTGGGTACTGTGATTTGGACAAAGTTAGACAGACTTGGAGACAGTTGGAGTTGTTTTGGTACAAAGCTAAAGTCGTATGGAGGGTGAAGGTTCATCATCTGCCGTTTTTCAGCCTGCCACGCACATCTGACACATCTCTTGAGCATCTGCCAGATGACTTGGGACATGACATTGGAAGAGCTGGCAGAGAAACAGTACAAAGAGCTGCAGAACGGGCGCCTGGCGATGTTGGCCTTTGCAGGCACCGCAGCTCCGTGGCACCCGTGGTGGCACCCGGGAAGCACCCGGGAAGCACCCGTGGCACCGTAGCCCTCGTTCAGGGAAGACTCATATCATGGCATGGAGTGGATTTGCTCACAGGAAAGACTTCTTCAAGATCAAATCTGTAAATGAGAATAACATAGAATTCATGAGGCTGTGAGACTTGCAGTTCAGCACTTTCTGATGCGAAATTGAGTGGGCTAAAACACCATTCATCCAATCTGGCCAAATACTGACCTCAAAGAAAGTTCATCCAGCAGATCCAGATCAGCTCAGCTCAGCTCAGCAGTGCCAGGTATGGCAACGCAATACCTTGTCACGGGCCATGCAGTGGGATTCGCAGACGACAAGCAACCTTTCAGCTTCATCCAGGGGTTCCTCAACTGCAAGCAGATGAATGTCGCAAGGTTCCTGTGCCAACTGACGGAAACTGACATGCTCCCATTAGATTACAAACGTATATTACAAATGTTGGGAACAATGATTGATACACATAAAAGAATGATTAACTAAATGAACGTCGCATGGCATCCAAGTTGCGCACTGAGGGTGGACGAAGTGGTGAACACCAACGACATGATTTTGACATGTGGGGCACCGAGCATCACCGAGCATCACCGAGCAACAGCAGTGCCTTTCGATCCTGTTGCAGCAAAAGCTGCCAAAGTAGAAAGCCATGCACTGATACGATTCAATCAAGATGTGTTGATAAGCTTTGATAAGATTCACAATCGTTGTATAATCGTATGATGTATATCAGAACATCCTCAAGAGATTTGCGGAACAAGTCCCTTCGATGGCAATTAATCAGCATTAACCCGAGTGTTGGCCTTAACCCTTGCATCTGCATTACCGAGTTGCTGGTATGGCCATGGCAATTGACGGTGTTCGTCGCCTTTCCTTTCCGGAGCGGCGACGGATGCGGCGCATGGTTGGGTAACAATTTGTCAGAAAGGAAGTGTGTATGAATCAAGTACTGTAGTTTATGAAGTTTGCTTTCCAAATTGTACTCAGACTGCTCCATTTCAGACACAAGTACAGGACCAGTCTGTGTATTTCTGTGTATTCATGTTCTAATTTCAATCTATTTCAATCATCAGCATGCTTCAATCATTTCAATCCCAGCTGAACCTGAAAAATGTCAAGGACCGGTCCATTGCTGGACGAGTCCGTGAGCCCAGTGTGTTGTGAGCTTGGCTGTTGGGATATCCTGGTAAATCCTGGTACGTTTATGGTCAATGTATTCTATGTATTCTCCACTTCCATAATTGAATATAATTGATTCATGTCGTCATGGCCACAAAATCGGGTATCCCATGGTACCCCCGTACCCCCCATTATCCCATCCGACTTCCGCATTTGAAAAGTTGAAGCGATGCCTTAGGCACTGAATCTGGCAAATCTAAACATCGGCGTTCAGGACGCAGCTGGTCAGGAAAGAGAATGGATGGCTTGGAAAACCCAGCGACTTTTTGTCGATGGCATGGTCGAATTGGGAACTTTTCAGGATGAGAACCGGTCTATCCCAGACTCTTTTAAAACTCGATTACAAATGATTACAAGTCATGAACAAAGTGAAGCTGTTCTGCCTTTTTGCAACGTTGCCAGGCTCAGGACGCAGCGTAGCATTGCTTGTAGTACTGTAGTATCGCTGGTATTGCAACTAGTTCGGGTTGAATATGGTTGAATCATGTTACATGTTGAATCTGAAGAGATCTGAAAGTGCATTCTCATGGATTCTCGTATGCAGGGTTTGTGGCCGTTGTCTCATGTATGCCAGGTTGTGCGTAGTACCGTTTGGCTAAGGCGGAGTCTCCGAAACTCGGGGACTCAAAAATGCTGGCAGAGTATTGGAGAGCAGAAAGACTTTGAATCAATAAACAAATCGGCGGGGTGACAGAATTTCGAATTGAAACTTGTTTTCACAAATTGAATTGAGTCACCTAAATTATTCTTGAAACTAGATAGGGGAGGCTGAGACATAGCATTTTTGCGCTGGAGACTCCACTTCCGAAGGATGTAATTCCGCGCTCTTGTCGTGCCGCATCAAATCGTTGCGGTTTGGCAAACCACCCAGCCATGCCACCGCAGTTCCAGCCTTCAGATCCTTCAGCGCTTTCAGGCTGTCATGGCGAGTTTGTTTCCTCAAGTTCTCATAGGTTTTTACTTCACCAATCTTGGTGAGTTTGTTTCATTTTGTTTCTATGTCAACCAGCCCTGGGCAATCTTTCTTCATGTCCTTTTTCAGTGTTGTAGTTTTTTCCCTGTGCATGGCATATCGTGTCATCATTCCCAGAAATTGCTTTAAAGATAAAAAGAAACATTTGCTCGACACCTCCACAATTAATTGGTGTATATTGGTGTAAACAGTATGTTTCAGTATGATGTCCCTTAATATTCCTGGAAAACAATCCATTCAACGTCGCCGCAGCGGCATCATGGCTCTGATTCTGTCATGTTCTGGATGGCCCCAGGTGAATTTCTGAGCGCTTATGATGCCATAGCATCATCCACGCTGTCCTCTGATGCGCAAAGCGTCATGGGAAGCGACGCCAAGGAGGCCCTGGTTCCCTCCAAAAGCGCGAAGGCCTCGCAGCCCAGGTGGGATGCCCGGATCAATGGGTGCGTCATCTGGGATATGTTGGGATCAAATGGGATCAATTCATTTAGGTTTTGACAGTTGAAGTTTAAAAAAACCGGTACACAGAATGAGAATTGTTCAACATCCTTTTACTTTTGATGATATTTGATGTTGATATCATGCATGATGTCTACACACGTGCCAGAGTATATTTTATCAGAGGAAGTTTAGTTCGAAGACTTCCAAGTTACGGACGGATGTCCAGGGGCACTTTTGTCATCATGTCCACCACATAGTTAGCGAGAGCAGTTCGCGTGTGGGAGCAGTAGAGAAGAGTAACAGTTCGGGAACGCGTGACTTCACGGGTGAAAGTCATTCATTCATTTATTCATTCTTTCTTTCATTCATTCACTCAGTCTTTCATTCACTCATGCATGCATGCGTGCATGCATTCATTCATCCTTCCTATCATTTCATCTCATCTCATCTCATTTCATTTCATTTCATTTCATTTTTCTTTCGTTGCAAGCTTTATTGCATTCTTGTCCGACTCACAAACAATTCACTTATAGGCTTATAGGCTTACTTCTTTCTACAGCCATTCCCAGTTTTCGAAACTTCCGCCCCGGCGCGTGCCGGGCACTATCTGGATCTATCTGGTATATTGATGTATATTGCCATTATAGAGTTCAATGTACTGTATTTATAATATTGTCCAGATAATATTACCATAACATAACAATATACCATAATAATAAACCAAATTATCATCTACTGGTACATTATCTGTATTTCATGTTGATGTGGGATGTGGACCCTGCGGAGATGATTTTTCAGGCTGGCTGTGGAGGAAGACTCCAAACCGTCTGCCTCAGCTCCTTCGAGTCCGGCACAAAGCCCCAGCCCCAAAGCCAAGGTGAAACAGAAGCCGTTGCCCAGCACGGTATCCACCACCATGGCATGGGGATGCTTGACCAAAATGACCAAAAATGACCAATTTTTTTAGTGGACCAAAAAGATGATCTTAGTAAGTTCCTCTATGTTCCTCTTCACCGAATCCAAATAATCCAAGAGACGCACCAGAACACTGTCGTGTCTGTGAGTTTTTAATAGTTTTTACATATTTCTGTGATGTTTGAATTGGATGAAACATGATGAAACCATGAAGTTTGCGATTGGACACAGGGACAGCTGCTCCACCCTCCAGTGACTCCAGATGGTCCTGACTCTAGTGCCTTCAGGAAACAGTGGAACCAAGGGCTGCAACAAGTGGAGTTCCACCGCGGGTTTCAAGGATACCTTGACGGGCGAGCAGATCTCTCGTGCACAGGCGATTGCTGAAGTCAGCAAGGTGCATAGAGAGCCACTTGGATTTGGCGATCCCTGGGGAGATTGGTACCCTCTGGTAAACTGGGAAAATCCACTATAAATGACCATTTTCAATAGCTATGTTAAATTACCAGAGGGTACATGTTTCTTTCAACCCACATCCAAACGCCGCAGAGCATGGATGAATCCAGTGTTTGTGCAGTCAATATAATATGGGGTGGGATGTAGTGGAGGATAGTGGAGGCTTTCATGTGAAAGGTATGAAACCGCTTGGATCCTGTTGGTTTACCCGGCGGAAACCTTGGCGGATGCCGTGGCGGATGCCGAGTCCCCCAGTCGCTTCAGGTCTGCAGTGAATATCCTGGAGATGATCTTCGAGACTTTGCAACTTGATGCCGACACCTTGGTGCTCCGACCCGTTCGGAAACAATGGTAGAAATGTCGTTTGGCAAAAGTCAACCATTGCTGTGAGCAATATGATCATATATCAACATGATCAATAATCAGTCAAATACAATCAGTTATATTCATTTATACCATCTTATACCTACTTTGGATGCATTTGGGAACATTTATTGAAATGAATCTCGCAACCTCTCTGATAATTCCTGATTTATTCCTTGCTGGATGTCGATGACAGTTTCGACCTTGGTGGCCTTGTTGGTGCAGGTACGCATGCATCTTCTGGAGAGGTTAGACTCGGAACTGGAGAGGTCCAAGACTTTGCTACTCGAACACTCCAAAGGACTGATGGATCCGAACAGCTTTTTGCTTACACATGGCTAAATTATGGTAAATTTAAACATGATTGATTTAATAGCATCAAGATGCATCAAGTCTATGTTGAATGGATTTTGCAATTTCAGGGCAAAACAGAAGCGCATTGAATTGATTGACACGTGCAAGGGTTATGAACAGCAGATACTGGGACTTAGTGGCGCCTCTTGTGCAGGACTTCTGAGTAGCGATTTAGCAGAGTTGCTTGGCTCAATCACGTGTGCAGTTTGAGCACTTCAGGCGGTCAAGATTAGCCAGCAGATTGCTATTTTGACGTGACATGATTTTGCGTCAGGGTAACTTTGATGGAAAAATTGACAAGTAGCTGGCACAAGCTGCTTGCACTTGGCCCTTGTGCGCAGAAGTACGACTGCGGCTTGTAGGAACTGTAGGAAGGGTCACTTTGTTGATATTGACCGCGGTACGGAGCTTGTGTGGTGGCTTTTGCAACTTGCTGAACCATGAGCTTTGGGATTGCCAAGCCTAAGCCATTCTAAGCAATGATGGGACTGAAATTCTTGGAAACTCCAACTCCCTGAATGCAAGCGCCTTGGCAAGCGCAATGAAGGCTAAGAATTCAGAAATCAGAGAAGAAGGCGTCCATGTGGGAACCATGTGGGAACCATGCGGGAAATTTGGCAAATCTTTCCATATTTTTCCCACCAATGATTTGCGAATGTGGCACTGCCAGGCCATCCTGGACAAGATCGCCAGGAAAAACACCACCTTCACGCGAGAGATTGCCACGTTGCGACAAAGGCTCCGCGACTTTCCTGAGGGCAACGCTTCATGCGTTGACAGGAGCGGGATAGAGCGGGATGAAGCGGGGAGCTGAGCTGAACCATTGTCAGCCATCAGCACCACGTTGCCCCGAGGATCTTGAAGAGTGCTTCAGAGTCCAGCCGCACTTGGGCTGGAATTCGTCAGGTCGGCCGTCGGCCATTGATGAGCCATTTTTACAAAATGGGGGGTGCGACCTATGCAACCAGCAACTTGTTGGTAGACATGTTTTGAGAACTTAGTATACCATACATTGTATACAGCGTATATAGTGCATATGTATATGTGTATCGATGATGATGATGATGATGATGACGACGACGACGACGACGTTTTTTTTTTTTAATATCTCAAATGATTCAACACAAATGACTAACATTTTTTGGATAGTTTGAACCATTTTGAAACCACAGGGTCTCAAGGGTCTCCCCGTGTTTGTCAAGGTCAACAGCGAAGGTCAACCATGATACCTGAATGCACCTGAGGTTTGCAGGAGTTTGGGCGTCATAGTCAAGCGTGCATGTTGACCATTTTGGAGCTGAAGCTGAACTCTGTGTTCTCCTTTCCCTTGGGGAAGAAGCCAGAGCCAGAAGCTCAGGCCAGAACCGGGGCGGTTCAACCATGTTCAACCTGTTTTCTTTCAGAAAGGGATTTCATTTCTGTCACAAAGTGAAGATTGGCCATGCCAACACATAGGCCAGAGGGAGTGGACAATCTGTAGCTGGTGAGTCAGGATGATGCCCCGTTTCCATCCTTTGAATAGTCTTGGCCATGTTCCCTACGCCCCATTTGATCCTGGCGTCATAGGTATCATAGGCTCAAAGCATGAATCAAACCCATCAGCTGTGAGGGTCCAAGTGGTTGTTTCCCGCAGGCTACGAAACCTCAATCAAGGCAAAGCCCCGAGATTTCTGGATGGGCCGATGGGGATCTTAGGATCTGAAAAAATTTTGTGTCTTGACATTCCTTGAGAAGGAAGTCATGCAGCATATTCTTTCCAAGATCAGAATGATGGGCTTACAAATCTTACAATCAACTGTAGAGGTCTGGAGATATTGAGTCTTTTTCAGAATAGCGCAGACACCCCAGAGAACAGTTTTGGCAAGGGCATTCATTTGGATGCAACAAATATAATTAAATATTGTAAATAAACAAACAAATAGATAAATCAGTCATACATAAATCTAATAATTAGATATTTAATATATAAATTGTTTCAAAAACACATTCTTACTTGAGAAACTCAGACTTTTCTGCAGAGTCGCCAGCTCGAATTTCGGGAGCTCTGCCAGGGTGGAGAACAGCTTTTTGAAGGAGCGTGTGGGCAGATTGGAAGAGCAGGTGGATATGTTGGCCGACCAAATTGCAGCGGTGCAGCGGCAACGCGCGGTGTTACTCGCTACCAAGGACGGATCTCACGAAATTCATGGTGAATGGCCACCAAGTCATGGCACGATATGGCACGTGACGGCAAGTGGATCGTTTTTAGCGGCCAAAACCGTAGAGCACCCAAAACCGTTCACATTTCAATGGAAAAAATGGAGTCGACAGAGGATTTTTCCTGATGTCCATCAGTTTTGGGGTTAATCTTAACAGTCTTAACCTTTATTGATGTAAGCTTAACAGTTATAAGTTTATTGAAGTTTATGTTAACCACCACCCGCCATGGCGGATCATCGCGGTCATCGCGGTCATCGCGACAGTCCCAGGAGAAGCTGGAACAAGACCTGGACGACCTTCGAAGCTGGGCATGGTCGTTCTGCCGTCGTTTCATAGGGAGAAATGACAGTTGGGTAACATCGGTGATGTACAATAACAAGGGTATCCTATCATATTATAATCTACTACTGATATCGTTTATCTAAATCAGAAATCTTAACTGTTTGTAAAGATTGTAAAGATGGAGTAATGAGTGACAATGATGTTGCAGTACCAATATCAAACAGATTGACCATACAATAATCTCAACGGTGACATCCCCAATCACATGGTGCTCTTCGCTATTTCGAAGTCGACCACTCAGCGGCGTTTCGAGCAAGGAGCTCCGAGCTCCTCTATGTCGCAACGTACCAACCTGAGCCGCAGCTCGAGATATGGCGGCTGATGCTGCCGGTGCCATGGGTGCCATGTGCCGTGCTGGTGCTATGCACCAGACCTTACAAATACATACAAATACCCGTGTTCGCATATCTTAACCTTTCTTACGGTCTTACCATGTTTCTGTAAGACCATGTGATACCACAAAATGCATTCTGCAAGGGAAAAGCATTGAGACTACACTGTGACTAGTGGGTTTGAAAGTCATGTTAGTCATGTTGATTTTATTTGAGGTTGCTTGGTGCAAGAAATAATATCAGCCTCAGGGCTGTGCTCCAAATCGTTCACACGCTTCGTTTAGGCTTCGTTTGCGCTTTGTTTTCAAGGTTTCAGATCGTTTCAGGCAACGTGTGGCGTTCCCCTCACTGGGCCAAAGGCCTCGAGGGTTTTCCTGGCACACCACTTGCCTGTGCTGCCGTGTGCTGCATCAAGAAATCACACCATTTCTATCAATCTCTCAAGCGGTCGAGTCCTTTTGATGCGGCAGCTGATTCTTTAGCGTGGCACCAGAGATCCTGTCCTCGACCTCAAAAAGCTGGCAACATCCAACAGCCTAACAGCCTATTCGTTTTTGTTGGACCCTGAGGTTTTGAAACTGAGAATTCCGGCTCCAGGGCCATTAACACTGTGCCATGCTGTACCCAACAGGAGCCCGAAGTGGCTTTGCCAGCAGGTGTGACAGCCGGACAGGCCATGATCTCAGAGTGGATCAGCAACGGGGAGGGGATGGGGATGGACACCCATGACCCAACGCATTGGGCAACTTGTGGTAACTTGTGACATTCATAGCTGATGGGTTTTATTTGGAAGATGAAACACGCCTCGCAGCAGGGGATAATTTTTTGTGAGCTAGATCTATTCTTACTGTTATGACAGTTATGACCTTATGAGATAATGTAGTTTACCATAGTTTACCCATAGTAAAACCCTTATTTCAGAGATTTCGCACCGGGGCAAAGGATTGAGTGAGACGAGTTTTCGATGCGAGGCCCCTCAAGTGCTGAAGTTGACGGAGGAGCAGATCAAGCAGTTTGAGGCGGGCGGAGCGGTTCCATTCCCAGCGACACGGCGACGCCATGCGACGCTGAAAGCGCCAGGAAGATGGTGTCATCATGATCAAAGGTGGCATGAAGGTGGGAAGATCATGTGGTGAATAGGGAATGGCCGGAGATGGAGATGAGCTGAGGGTGATACAGAGAAAGCACACTGAAATGTTCCCAGTGTCGAAGATTGTCCAAGTGTTCGGATGAGTAAACCATGATGAGATGCTACCGGGTAGGACGGATAGGCACAGAGATGACAAACATGTCATTCTGCTAGAAACCACCTTTGGGGCCTTTGGGGGGAGCCAGTTTCAATACGGCTCTCGTGTAGGCCTGGGTGGAATACCTTCAGAAGGTCACCGAGGATCAAATTGAGAAGCCTCACCTTTGGTCGGGGACCAAACCGTGTGTCGCAAATGGCATTTCATTGGGATTCGGCATTTACATGGATTTACATAGATGTACAGATTGTAGGGCTAGTTTGACAAGATTGTAATTTGCAACTTGGCAGCTAAGTGAACACTTTTGGCAGTATCAGTATGCAGTGGGAAACAACATGATCTTGAGGTCCTTGGTTGGCCGCATGAGCGGAATGTACGACTACATCCAGCCTAGACCCCAATCCTCAGGATGGTCTATGATGGTCTATGTAGTGAAACTCATTTTTCAAGATGTTGGAGCTGAAAGGATTTGACTACAAATGATCTTCAAACACCTTGTCTAAATAAATAAATAAATAAGTAAATTAATATAATATAATATAATATAATATAATATAATATAATATATATATACACATAAATGTATATACATATATTAATTATAATATATGTATATTAAATGAATGCTAATGAAGGTACACACAATCTTTTTATTTTGTCAAGTTCTCCAAGTTGCTCTCCCGTCACATTTCTCTTTTTCGTGGTGGAAGCAGTGGGACGATGTGGGACGAGGCGAAACATGTGGATGACCAACAACGGCTTCAGAGATTTCCTGGTGAGTCTCACTCAGTCTGACTTCAGATTTTTTCATCTGCAGATGTGTGATTTTGCCATCGGATGTTCCTGAATTCTACAACTGTGAAAAATCCTGAATTGCATCAATATCATGGGATTTTGCTGGAACTATGGCAGGAGGTGAAGTTACGTCAATTTCAATCAATTTCAGAAACCACATTTGCCAGTACTACTCCCCCCTGGGCCACGTGGTTTCACAGTTTCTTGGCTGCACTGGGGTGGCCCCAGGGCGGTGGCGGTGAGACGAGGGTAGATGTGACAGCCATCCAGGATTCACTTGGGACGGCAGTGATCAAAAGTGTTTCACGTGTTTCATTTTATTTCAAGATGGTCACACACCCTGGCAGATTTTGGCTCATGACAGGAAATGGCTTAGGTAAGCAGAGATTTGCACAGCAAAAAGACCCTACTATGAGCGAGGGAAGAGACCTTGTGGTACAAACAAAGAGGTAGAGCACAGAAGGATGTACCGATGGGCAGTGTACAAGCTTTAGCTCATCTAGACAGGCATTGCGGCATTGCGACATTCAAAGACATGTTTGAGTGACCAACCAAAAAAAAACTTAGACTCCACCATAGACATGGTGACACATATACTTGTAGTATCTTGTAGTATAGACATGGCTTTGTAGTATGTGATAAGATGTGACGCGATGTGACGTGCCATGACCCAAACATCTCATGGCCTTTGGCCGGAGAAGGGTCGCAGTGAGCGTCGTGGTGGTGTTGTCCATCTTGCTGGTGCGGAATCACCAAACAAGCTTTGAATTTTTGCTGTGTGGCTGCACTTATGAACAAATATGAACATGTGTGTATGTGTATATTAAGGGGCTACGCCCCCTGCCGCCGACCCCTGGGAGAGAGTGAGTTTGGAACCCTTCCTGCAGTGAACATCTTCCACAGTGATGGCGGCCGAAGCTCAGTCAAAGTCGCTGGTCTGTTTTGACAGCTTGGCAACAAGGTCGTGAATATACTCAAGACGGCACACAAGTATGCAACGCATGCAGACCTTCGTTTGCCGTCTTGCTCATCGCACGAATCAACGCCTGGCCCGCTTGCGCCAACGCGAAACCCGCCACCGGCACGCAGCAATCCTAGAGGACATTCGCAAGGAAATTCAGGAAATACACGAAGCAAGACAAACTTCCACGCGAGCAGAAGGTCCCAAAACGGACACTGCCCACTCATCGAACCAGCAGCTTGCTGTCGGGCCTGACACAGCACCGCCACGACTGCACATATACATCTGCCCGTACTGTGCTAAGTCTGTGCAAAGCCCTGTGGCAACAGGGCGCGTCGATCACCGCCGCGGTAATGGCTGCGGCAAACAATTTCGCGTTGCCAATGGCCTGCTCGCAGGTCGCACATATTCGCATGCATGTCCAACATGCGGCACGGTGGTGCACTCAACACTGGCTTCCGGCCGAATTCGGGTAACGCATCGCAATCCCAGCGGCCGGCAGTGTCGCACCAACCAGTGGCGCGTGCATACCTGATGAAGTTTCCAGCTTAAGGTCGCCGCACCGCACGGCAATGCCCCACATTGCTTTCTGAACCTACAAGAAAAGTAGCCGTCTTCCAGATTTCCAAGTTCAGAAACGGCGCCTCCGCCACGCCCAAACAGCAGGGCCCTGAAGGACGGACCGAGCCTCCGGGCAACGGCTCCCACTGCCTAACGTTGCTTTCTCGGAACCTACAAGAAAACTAGCTCTCTTCCAGCCGTCAAGGCTCACAAACGGCGCCCTCGCCACAGCAAAACAGCAGGGCCCTGAAGGACGGACCGAGCCTCCGGCGGCGGCAAACGGACTCCCCAAACAGGCTCTCTTTCCAAGGCCGTACAAGGCCTCACAAAAATAACGGCGACGCCGTCCTACTCCCCCATAACAAGCAGGGCCCTGAAGGGGACGGAACGAGCCCTCCGGGGCAACATGCTCCCAATGCCCTTAACGTTGCTTTTGAACCTACAAAAAACTAGCTCTGTCTTCCAAGCCGTCAAGGCTCACCAAACGGGCGCCCCCTCGCACAGCAAAACAGCGGGGCCCTGAAGGACGGAACTCCCGAGCCTCCGGGCAAACGGCTCCCAAAACTAGCTCTCTTCCAGCCGTCAAGGTTCACAAACGGCGCCTTCGCCACAGCAAAACAGCAGGGCCCTGAAGGACGGACCGAGCCTCCGGGCAACGGCTCCCACTGCCTAACGTTGCTTTCTGAACCTACAAGAAAACTAGCTCTCTTCCAGCCGTCAAGGCTAACAAACGGCGCCCTCGCCACAGCAAAACAGCAGGGCCCTGAAGGACGGACCGAGCCTCCGGGCAACGGCTCCCAAACTAGCTCTCTTCCAGCCGTCAAGGCCCACAAACGGCGCCTCCGCCACGCCAAAACAGCAGGGCCCTGAAGGACGGACCGAGCCTCCGGGGAACCCGCTCCACTGCCTAACGTTGCTTTCTGAACCTACAAGAAAACTAGCTCTCTTCCAGCCGTCAAGGCTCACAAACGGCGCCCTCGCCACAGCAAAACAGCAGGGCTCTGAAGGACGGACCGAGCCTCCGGGCAACGGCTCCCAAACTAGCTCTCTTCCAGCCGTCAAGGCTCACAAACGGCGCCCTCGCCACAGCAAAACAGCAGGGCCCTGAAGGACGGACCGAGCCTCCGGGCAACGGCTCCCACTGCCTAACGTTGCTTTCTGAACCTACACGAAAACTAGCTCTCTTCCAGCCGTCAAGGCTCACAAACGGCGCCCTCGCCACAGCAAAACAGCAGGGCCCTGAAGGACGGACCGAGCCTCCGGGCAACGGCTCCCAAACTAGCTCTCTTCCAGCCGTCAAGGCTCACAAACGGGGCCTCCGCCACGCCCAAACAGCAGGGCCCTGAAGGACGGACCGAGCCTCCGGGCAACGGCTCCCACTGCCTAACGTTGCTTTCCGAACCTACAAGAAAACTAGCTCTCTTCCAGCCGGCAAGGCTCACAAACGGCGCCCTCGCCACAGCAAAACAGCAGGGCCCTGAAGGACGGACCGAGCCTCCGGGCAACGCCAATCACAAAATAGAGAAGGCTTTTTGTAAGTAGAACTCTTAGGGATTCTGCCTCTTCCAGCCGTCAAGGCTCACAAACGGCGCCCTCGCCACAGCAAAACAGCAGGGCCCTGAAGGACGGTCCGAGCCTCCGGGCAACGGCTCCCACTGCCTAACGTTGCTTTCTGAACCTACAAGAAAACTAGCTCTCTTCCAGCCGTCAAGGCTCACAAACGGCGCCCTCGCCACAGCAAAACAGCAGGCCCCTGAAGGACGGACCGAGCCTCCGGGCAACGGCTCCCAAACTAGCTCTCTTCCAGCCGTCAAGGCTCACAAACGGCGCCTCCGCCACGCCCAAACAGCAGGGCCCTGAAGGACGGACCGAGCCTCCGGGCAACGGCTCCCACTGCCTAACGTTGCTTTCTGAACCTACAAGAAAACTAGCTCTCTTCCAGCCGTCAAGGCTCACAAACGGCGCCCTCGCCACAGCAAAACAGCAGGGCCCTGAAGGACGGACCGAGCCTCCGGGCAACGGCTCCCAAACTAGCTCTCTTCCAGCCATCAAGGCTCACAAACGGCGCCTCCGCCACGCCCAAACAGCAGGGCCCTGAAGGACGGACCGAGCCTCCGGGCAACCGCTCCCACTGCCTAACGTTGCTTTCTGAACCTACAAGAAAACAACCTCTCTTCCAGCCGTCAAACCTTCAAAAACGCGCCCTTTCCGGCCGTCACAAACATTCAAAAACGGCCGTGAGTGCCTAACGTTGCTTTCTGAACTGCCTAGAAACTAGCTTCAAACCTTGCTGTTTCCTGCCGTCAGCTCGAGTCCAAGGACCCTGTCGCGGGCCTCAAACACCATGGCAGTGAAGGACGGATCGGGCCTGCGGGCCACAGCCGTGAGTGCCTAACGTTGCTTTCTGAACCTACAAGAAAAAAAAAAAAAAAAAGAAAAAAAGAACAAAAAGAAACAAGAAAAAAGAAAAAAAAAAAACCTCAAAACCTACAAGAAAACCTTGCTGTCTGACCCAAAACGGCGCCTGCGCCACAGCCAAACAGCAGGGCCCTGAGGGACGGACCAGGTCTGCCGGCTCAAACCTTGCTGTTTCCTGGCGTCAGCTCGGGTCCAAGGACCCTGTCGCAGGCCTCAAACACCATGGCAGTGAAGGACGGATCGGGCCCGCGGCCGGCAGCCCATACTGCCAAACGTTGCTTTCTGCAGTGCCTAGAAACTAGCTTCAAACTTTGCTTTTCCGTGCGTTCCTGCACTGCCAACTGCCAACTTGCCTGCATTGTCTGACAGCTGGCTTTCGTGCGGCACAGCTCCGGTCAAGTCGAAACTAGCTTCAAACCTTGCTGTGTCTTGCCGTCAGCTCGAGTCCAAGGACCCCTCCGCAGGGCCCCAACACCATGGCACTGAAGGACGGATCGGGCCCGCAGCCGGCAGCCCACGGTGCCAAACGTTGCCTTCTGAACTGCCTAGAAACTAGCTTCAAACCTTGCTTTTCCCTGCCACTTTGCCTGCGTCGTCTTGCAGCTCAAACCTAGCTTTTCCCTGCGTTCCTGCACTGCCAACTGCCAACTTGCCTGCATTGTCTGACAGCTGGCTTTCGTGCGGCACAGCTCCGGTCAAGGGACCTCCTCGCAGGGCTAAAGCACCATGGCAGTGAAGGACGGATTGGGCCCGCGGCCCGTAGCCCAGAGTGCCAAACATTACTTTCTGTCGCTCGTTTACTCTTGCTTCTGCATTCTTGCTTCTAACTTCTTGTTTCGTGCTTCTTTCGCTTGCTACGTTCGCTGAGACTGCCCCTCCTTTTTCGCTTCCTTTTTTGAGCTTCTTACTCTGCACCTGGCTTCCCTTTCTGTCCCCCCCTCGCTTGCCCCGCTACGTTCGCTGAGACTGCCCCTCCTTTCTCGCTTCCTTTTTTGGGCTTCTTACTCTGCACCTGGCTTCCCTTTCTGTCCCCCCCTCGCTTGCCCCTCACTTGCACTGCACAACACTTGTTGCTTGTAATCTCTTCTCTGACGCGCTCCCCCTGCTGTCGGCAGGGGTCGGCGGATATAACTCTCTCTCTCTCTCTATATATATATATACACATATATTATCATATATTACACATATTTATATGCATTTACATTCAACATATGAAAGATAAATCAATACTTGATGAAAAAAGGGTACGGGCGAAGCCATGCCTATAGCCAGAATCCCATCAACAGCCCAACTCTTTTGGCGATGCCATTGGGTTTGGGCCCTTCCAGGCGGACCTGGTGAATCCACCCCATGGAAGCAACGACCCGGCCCCTGTGGCTGGTTCAGTGGCGAGTGGTCCTGGGCAGTTCCGGAACTACACGGCCGACACACGATACACGGAGAGCGATCCCTTGAGACATGGCCTGGATGTGAAACAGGTGGGGTCACTCAGGCTCAAACCTCCAAAGATCTCCAGAGATTCTTTCCAGCATCGCCAGTCCATTCCAGTCCTTTTTTTTCCTTTTCGTCTCCGCTCAAAATTTGGTTGGGTACGCCTGGGTTGGATTATCAGATGTATATAGGTATTTCATCATCCACTGATTGAAAATCGACCGGGGATCATTGGGCAAGATTCGGATGGTTGCTATGGTTTTCAGGTGGCTGCCACGCCGTTTGCGATGGGCCCCAAGTCTAATCCAAGTTCTCAGACTTCGAGCTTTCGCACCTTGGACATCTCCAAGGCAAATGAGGGCAGACAGAATTGGACTCGCATCCTGGTGTACAGTCCCTAGCAAATACTTTTTTCTTTTTGATTTGGTTCCTCCTATCAGTCTTTATTAAACATCCCCGATCTTTATGATCTTTATCATCCTTACAGAATGTTTGCTTGGATCTTTTCGGAGCTGGGTTTTCATCAGTGCAGCCCCGATTGGCCTGTCAGTGCGGCATTTTTCTCTGTGCTACGTAGTACACGCAAGTTTGGGGAGGTCTTTTTGAGTGAGCCAAACATTTTTGGAACGCGGGCTTTCATGGTCTTGCACAAGGCGCATTTCTCAGTCGCTGAGGAATAGATACCTTTTTGACTCCGTCCGGTCATGCCCATGACGATGAGTTTGGCCGGTCTCCTCAACGAAGACCTACGAGCCGCTCTCGAAATGAGGTGGTCAAACTGCCCCGGAATTCATTCAGATGAAGCCTTTCGATGCATTTTGCGGTTTGGCCAGTGTTGTCATCAACAAATTCTGCTCGCATCTGCTCGCCATGTTGCCATGGGAGGCCAGCGCCAAAAGCTTGGCGCAGGACGTGTTCATCACCGACCTGTCGGAGAAGTTCGCCGAGCTGCGACGGCAGATCCAGGAGGACACCCAGCGCCTCTTGCAGCCCATGTGCCACGATCGAAGGAGGTTTCAATACCTTCGGTGCTGAGTGGTATGGCATGGAGTGTGGTAGAATTTAGGGCAGGTAACAACGCCATGTATCACCATGCAACATATGTAACATATTGTAACATTTGTAACATTATGTAACATTATGTAACACTCTTTGCGTTTCTTTGTGTTCTGTGGTGTTGCCAACACTGGCCAACACAATACGGGCTACAGTTCGGGCCGAGCCAAGGCAACATGAGCTGGACTCTGAGATCTCCAAGACCAAAGAGATTGTGCAGACAGTCCGCACTGACAATCTCAAGGCTGTCGAGGAAATCAGGTACCTTGGCTGCCTTTTACAAAGATGACACCCATGGGTTTCAATTCTTGATTCTTAAATATTCTTGATACACACAGCCATTCATTTGCCTTGCTCTGAAACTAAAAAATCCAGGCGTTTGCGATCAATGGAGCAGCACAAACAGCTGCTACAAGCATATCCGACCCCAATCGACAAGGATGTGTTTGAGACAGATGCTGGGCGAAAATGAGGGATGTGGAGGCTGGAGGGAAGTTGTAGCTGTGGCCTTGCAAACTTGATTGGAAAACGAGTGATCCCCACCAACTGAAATTCTATCGGCACTTTATTTGCATTGTATTGTATTTGACATATCTGACATTCTATTTGCGAATAGCTTGACATTCTATCTGACAAATAGTCTGACATTCTAGCTGACACTTTATCTGGTATATGTTTATAGCATATATTCTGACATTCTATCTGACACACATTATAGTTTGACATCTTTTCAGATATGTTATCTGACAATTTATCCGACATTTTATCTGGCGTTCTATCTGGGATTCTTATTTGACATATGTTCTGACAGTTTATCTGGCACTATATCTGACATTTTATTGTGCTCGGGTCCGGCGGGGCTCGGAGAGCTGGCGAGCTTGTGATAGAGTTGTGTAGAGGAGGCTGGTGAGGAAGCTGGCCATGATGTGCTGGCGAGGCAGCTGGCGATGACGTTGGCTATGAGCTTCGCGACTTGGCGAGGAGGAGAGGAGAGGAGGAGGATCAGGAGGAGGAAAAGCTTAGCAAGATCTAGAATCTAGAGGCCCTCACCCGGCAGGCGAAACCAAGACGGCCTTGGACCGTAAGACATACGATGAACTGGTCATCGTTTTAAATTTCTCCAAGGATGATTCGAGGGAGTTTCAATTACCTTTCATACACGTTGAAACCTTCCAAACACCTCACCAAGGAGATCAAACGCGTGACAGAGGCGATTGAAGCACCTCAGCTGAAACTGCAATCCGACAGAACTGGTCGCTGACCTCGCTGTGTCTAAGGGCTTGTCTGATGCTGTCGCTTCGGTCAAGGAGGAGGTTTCTTCCATGAAGGTAGCGGTACGGTGTGTGTGGATGTGTGTGGTGTTTTTTGAAGAACTTTCCGGAGTGCAGAGCTAGCTCAAACCATGAAGTTGGTGAGTTGTGAAGCGTTGTGAAGCGTTGTCTCAGATCTGTGGTTCATACTCAGCTCGCGAAACCACATTCTAGTGCTCTCATTGTTGCTGGCCTGCAGGAAGCGAACGATGTGCTGCCCCCAAGCAGAGGCATCAGCTTTCGCCGAGGTCGCAGTCCTACTGCGACTTAGCTAAGGCATGAAGGTGCAGGGAATACAGCGAAGTTAAATCAACCTCAAAAAGGGAATCTCGCTTAGACTCATGTTGATTCTGCCTTGGTGGCCTTGTTTGCCCTTTTCAGTTTTGGTCCTGCCGTTCCTCTCCCAAGTCCTCCCAACCTCTTGCTGACAAGCCGCTTCAGCTGTGCTTTGCCCGAGGAGGCCGCCCATCTTGCGGTTCCAGGCAACAGCAACCTGGATGACACGCTTCAATCCATTCGAGATGTTCTGTCAGAGATGGATTTCACGGACATGTTGAATGACATCAAACGATCCATTCCCGCGGACGAATTCAGAATGGCTCTAACCATGGTCCAGGAGAGTTGGGGACGAAGTGTGCTGAATCTGTCACGTTTGGGACAGCAGTGTGCGCTTTTTCTTCATTTCCATAGATAACTGGGACCCAAACGTAGATAGACCAGCAACCCATTTTCAACCTAATATTGGCCTAATCACTGCCTAATCAATATCATGGCATGGGTATGTCAAATTGGCATGAGCATGTATCAGCCAGGACCTGGGATGAATACCTGTCAACTTTTGAGCATCCTGTGTTTAGTCTTGGTTGCGTAATTGAGACAGGGACCAAGTGATGCTGGTGTGCACCGAAGGAGCAGATGGTGGAAGTGTTCAAACAACTGCGTAGCTGGTCAGCGCTAGAGTGGGGGGTCAGTGCTAGAGCGGGGACAAACCAACTGGATCCCACCAAGCTGATCTTCCGGATTTCACATCTGCAAAACGTGCAAAATGTTGGGCCCTGACAAACTTAGGTGCTGTACAGGAGGAGGTGCAGAATCGACCGAATGAGGTGGACTTCACACCTGTTCTCGATGCCTTTGTCACTTGGCAGGAGTCAGATTTCGGGTCCTCACAATCCGAAGGTCCCTTTAAATTTGGCAGAGGCCTGCTTGACAACCTTTATTTAACTTTTTTGCAGCCCTTCGCTATTTGCTGCAAAATCAATTCTGCCCCCAACAACAAACAAACCTCCTCCGCAGTTGCAGACTTGTTTCAAGAACTTTTGTGGTTCACATTCAATGGAGTAGCGGATGGTAGCAGAGCCTGAGGCTAGCAGCCCACTCCATGACATCTTAGAGGTCAAATCTTCCCTGGAGCAAGCGAAGGCAGGACTTTTATTCACTAGGCCAGAGGGGATTACATTCCTTGATGCCCCGGTATGTCCAGGTATTCAAGTCGCTTCGCGACGAGAACCGCCCGCACGCAGAGAATAGGACAGAGAGGAAAGAAGCGGGCGTACTTGGCCCAACCAAAAGCCGACTGGGGTCAAACTTGGCCGTCCTTGGCCTTAAGTTGGGCCGAACAGGAGCCTCACTTGCGCCCAACTTGCGCCTAACTTGCGCCGAACTCGGGCCAGTTGGCTCCAACTTCGGCCCAACTTGAGCCCAACTGGGGTCCAACATGGCGCAATTTGGGCACGTTTTGGGCGCAAGTTGGGCTTGGCATGCGCAACGTGGTCCTGTGTGGGGCCATTTGGCGCCCAAGTTGGGCCCAAGACAAGCCCAATGCGGGCAACCTGGTCTCACACGAACCTCAAAGCCAAAAACGTCGGAAATAGCGGTAAAAACGCACGTTTTCAGCGTGTCGCATTGAAGCCGCAAAACTGGCTCGGGTTGGGCCCAACTTAGCCGAAAGGGGCCAGGCCCAACTTCGCTGTCTTGACCCAATTGGAGCCCAAGTTGGCGCCAATAGGTATCAATAGGTCATATTGGGCCAAACTTGGGGGGCCCAAAGCGATCCAGATGGACCCTACATTGAAGCCATGTGATGCACATGGAAGTCCAAGTCAGTTCGGCACCTTAGGCGACAGCTTCACACCGAGTTGGGCCCAACGACAGCGCAACATGGGGAACATTGCTTCAAATGAAGCGTCATCAATAGCAAAAAAACATGGAAAATAGATGAAAATACCAGTGAAAACGGGCGTTTTGAGAATTTCGGATTGGGCCGGCAATGTCCAGGCCATATGGACTTCGACTTGGGCCGAACTTGCTCCCAAATGGGTCCTAGTTGCGGCCAAGTTGCACCATGGAGCCAATTGGTCCAAGTTGGGCCGAACTTGAGGCCTTCCTCGCCGAAGTTGACGAAGCTGTACCAGTCTGACAGATCTGTCCGTATCCCTCGCTGCTAAACTACCACACCTCGGCACCTTTGGTGCGGGCGGATTTATATCGTATTTGTTTGCACGAAAGGGTGGTCGGACCAACTACATATATACAACATCATGTGACCGACATGAACGAACATGACATCCAGAGGTGAGTGATATTCTCTGGACGTGAGGATAGGTTTTCCATCCATAGATTTTCCATCCATAGACTGCATGTTAAGCTGGGACAGGTAGATATGGCGAAGAACACAGAGCACCTGGCTGCCCTGTGGTCGCAGTCCCTTGGTCAACAGAGAGGAAAATTCAATGCCCGAGCCACCAAGAAAAACATGATGGGCAACAGAGCGAAAGTGTCCAGCGCCCTTGATATCCCAACCAAGTAGAAAGGAGTCTCTAACTATCCAAGCAGTTTGTCTAGGAGATCCTTCCTTTTTTTGACAAAACTTGAGCACAATTCATACCAGTTGAGAGTTCAGCTACTATCAATCGTTTGAAGTCCGACTTGCTAGTGGATGTATCATCATCATCATCATCATCATCATCAGCATCACCATCACGATTTTGATCATTGATCATGATTATGATCTTGAATGATCATGATGTTGTAACAGCGGATCTCCCATTTAACACACTTCACCCATAAGATCCGATTCGTGGTTGAATCGAGGCTGCCGCCTGTTGACTTTGCACCGGTTTTCGACTGCGTCAGAGCCAATCGAGTCGAAGTGGACATGTCACCTGTGCTGACAGCGGTTCAGGCGCACCGGCGATGATATCCTGGGAGTGCCATTTCTAACCACTTTTGGAATTTATCAACGGTTCATTGGATGCTTCCAATTTCAGTATGATAGCCGGGATAATTGAAAAACATGCCGTGCTATCCCCACTAGAATTGCATGAAGGCGCTAACGCGTTTACCATCACAGATTCCGACCTTGAACATCATTTGAAGTGCTCAACATTTTTTCGCCTTTGTGAGGAGGTGAATGTGAAAGAGAATATGCAGCAACAATTTGGGGAAATTTTGGCGGAGATCAATCACCGACAAAGCAATCTCGACTTTTCTGAATTGTTGGAGTCTATCAAAGCATCGAGACTTGGATGAACTTGTTCTGAGCATCACCAAAGTCGGTCATTGCTGGGTGAGGCCGCGATGCCAAAATGTCGGGGTCACATTGAGATCACTTGATTCTATTCCTACAAATCAGATTTCCAGCATCGCAGCCAGTCTTCCTTCCTCATTTTCCAGGGCATCAAATTAAGATGGAGAGACTTCACCGGATCTTTTTCATCGAACTTGGTACAAGTTCCCGGCTGGACCGAGGAAAATGAAGGTGGATTTCAATGGGGTAATTGCGAGCATCAACGACTCGTGCGAAGAGGTCGGCAACCTCATTACAGAGTTGAACCTTGGCCACATTGAAAAACACATACCAGCATGCGTATGGCGGTTCTTCAAGTTTCACGCCAGAGCCATGCTTCGAATTGTGGTTGCATGATCAGTCTGCACTGAGAAACGGCTGAAACTGTCCCAGGAAACCATCGCTTTCAAACTTGGAGCAATCGAATGCCTCGATGCTGGAGCGACTTCAGGTGCGGCAGATGAAACCTGCTGGAACCACAAAGAAAACGTGATCGCCCAACAAGATTTGCAAGAACAACAGCAACATCTGAAAAACAACAGTGAAGATATCCAACCCCAATTGAATGGGAAATCTCAGCTAACATCATGCATACAGTAAAAAGCAGAGCCTGCTAATGGCCGTTGCTGAGAGATGTGCTTGTGTCCTGTAGTGGTGGCTGCACAGGAGTTGCAACAGGTCCAAGACAAGGGCGTGCTTACTGGCATCGCAGGTCTCAAAGATTGGCCGCTTGGTGGCTGGAAAGGAAAAGGATGAGGTTAAGGGTTGAAGACCTGCTGCAACAAATGAGGTTGGACAAACCCTTGTAGAATGCGGCCTGCTTGCTTTGATTGCTGATGAGAAGCAAAATCTAACACTGATGCGATTTCTCATGGTGGCAATGGTTACCTCAGCAAACCGGCATTGATTTTCTGTTAGATGACTTCAGGACAGAGCGACTCTCCCAGAAGTTCTCCATACTGCTGCAAACAATCAGTGAAAAAGAAGACCAAGAGGTGAAGGTGCGATCCGGGGGCCAGGTAGATGTTTTAGACCGTCCAAGGCAGCTGTTGGGTTATTGTGGAAACGCACTGATGTGCGCTGACGTGTTGCCAGGTGAATTTTACTCCGGTGCTGGAGGCTATAGAACGGAACAAGGCGCAGCTGAGCCGACCACTTGTCTGTTTTAGGCCTCTGTCATTTGATTCATTAACCGCGGGGGAAGCCATGGCTTGGTAAGCCGATAATTTCACGTGTCAAAGGTGGATATGTGTTGCAGCTTCCACCTTCATGGCTTGGTAAGCCGATAATTTCACGTGTCAAAGGTGGATTTGTGTTGCAGCTCCCACCTTGGCAGTCACCTCGTGAGTTGCCTCGTCGCACGATCCGCAAGATCGCCCCGCGGAGGTTCATATCGATTTCTCTCCGATACTGGCATCAATCAAGAAGAACTGTGACTTCTCAGAAACTTGTCGCGCCTTTAGCCAGACTTTGGATTTTTACCCTTGTTCATTTGGGAACAGAAAAGAAAGGGAAAGAAGGAAAACAAGGAAGGCGAGAACAAGCAAAGGACGGAAGTGAAAGTAGCACGGACATGGAAGGATTCAAACCTTCAGAGAATGCGCTCAAAGTCAGCTGACTTCAAAGACAACAGCGCCACACGCATAGGGCAACAGGTCCTTGCAGCAAGAGTTAAGTTGTTCTTCTACTTGTTACAAGTGCATGAATGCAAACATAGCTGTGAGATGCTGTGAGTGCATGGACTGACAAACTCTTTAATTTTCACCCTTGTTCATATGGGAACAGAACATACAGAACTGACAAACTCAGACATGTCATCTGGGTTCACCAATGAGGACGTGACTGAAGACATGGCTAGGGTGCTGAAGACCATTCAGGAGATGAGTCTCAGCTGCATTGAAAAACCAGTTAGTTAAGCTAGTTGTGGTCGGAGTTGGGGCGGATTCTTTAAAAAGGCGAGGAATGTCGATGGAATATGATGGAATTACAGACAGCAGATGGTGGCATTTTTCTGGGAAGGAACTTCATACCCTCCGATGTGTAATAATTTGTGGCTCAGCCATCTCCGCACCTGAGCTCAGGAAAGTGCAAGTGGACTTCACTCCAGTTCTGCGGGCTGTGCGCGAGGGCAAACAGGCTGGATGCCATTTGTGATGGTCGGGCCAAGGTGGGTTGGCTCAGTGCACATTTGCTCCGTTGTCCATGAACCAAGGAGACAGTCTTTGAACTCTTGAGCGCCTTCCGGGATCAATGCACTGACAATGGTGAGCTGAACGACAACATCGTCCGGGCCGCTGGATGTCCCTGGTGTGCAGCATGTGCAGCGCCCGTGGTGTGAAAGTTCCTATGTGGACCAAGGTCCAGTTGCGGGAATCGACTCAGACGAATCTCAAACAGTTGAAGGAAAGCATGGAAAAGGAGTCCAAAGAGGCCCAGCTTGAACCCCGCACCGCTTACACTTTGTACATCCTGATACAATGAATTTCCACGAAAATGTCATTGCTTCGGCAGGCTCTGACATCCGAAGTGCTTCGATCTATTCGTGAAAAGGAGGTGAGGATTGACATCGAGATCAAGAAAGCCCTGGAGCAGAACAATGATCTGGCAGAGAAAGGAGCCTCTGAGATGCAGGCCGTTCACCGGTGCACCAAAGAAGGGGAAGAACAGGGAAAAACAAAATGAAAACCATGGAAAAAACACATGAACATGACAGGAAAATCTCACAACACTACGTGCTCCAGACTGGGTTTGGCCCAAGTTCTGACCGGAGGCCAAATTGGAGGAAGAGCTTCGTTCGCTGCGTGATTCTGTGACTAAAGAACTCAAACAGAATGAGACCCGCGGTACAGCCGAAAGTCAGAAACTAGAACATGCCTTGCGAGCCATTGAGGTGCGACGCTTGGTGACAGGGATAGTCGACTGGCCAGCTTCTGTTTGATGAGGGAAATCAAAGGAAATCCGCTGTTTGAACATTCACATGTACAATCCTGTGACTACATGAATTCTTGCAAAGAACAGGGATTTCAAAACTGATGAAGCTGAAGTGGACTGTGCAACTGGTTTTGGAGCCATATTTATGGAGAATCAGCTTTTATATTATATATATATAAATTGCAGAAAGGAGCTACTGTATGACGATATCAAGCGTTGAATATCGAGTCAGCAAAGATGAAATCAACACCTCATCATGTTCACTATTTTCTCAATCTGGCTCCCATTCAGTGGTCCGGAGGAATTTGACATTGAAATCAGCAACAGCAAGAGGCAAGACACCCACAACTTGCTCTTTCTTGGCGATGCTTTCAGGTGCGCCCGCAAGTCACCATGGATCTGGCTCCCGTCTCAAAGTTGGTGGAGGACCATGGAACCAGTATGCCAACAGCATCAACAAACCATGCAATGAACCCGAAGATGCTTTTCCCTTCCGCAGGATGACCTTGTTTTGTATAGGGAGCATTGTTCATTGTTGATTGATGTTGCTTCTTGATTGTAATGCAATGTGGTGGATATCAACACGACGGATCCCGAATTTGAACTTTTGCAGGAGATTCAGGTCCAGCTTCACCGCATCGATCAAACCAATGTGCATTTGACCGAGGTTGTCCAGGAACAGGCCAGGACATTCCGGAGCATGATGTAACCAGGTGTACCGTGAACACTTGAGCCACTGGTTGAACAAGTTGTCAGAGGCTGATCAATGGATCCAACTTTGATTGAAATCTCTTTGGCACAAGGGGAACCACAGATTTTGGCATTTTGAAACCCATTATATAAAGAAAATAAGATATATAAGAAAATACATCATCCCCCTTTTAGGATCTTTTAGGGCCATGTCTTTGCCCAGCTGCAGGCCCATGGCCAAGAAAATCTCCAGGAGGCGTTGGCGGAAGCTTCGGACGCTTCACAAAGGCATGGAAGGAATCCAACAACTGTAACTGTAACTGTACAACTACTGGATGGCCATGGCGGCCATGGATTTTGGATGATTTTGCATGATTGTTGATGATTTTTTATGATGTTTGCTAATTCTTGTCCGCAAAAGTTGGTGGTTGTTCGCTGAAAAGTTGCTGCTTGGAAAAGGATTCCTGGCGGATACGCTCAACAACAACGTTTCGGACCTTTGTGGGCGCGCGCGCCGACATGCTAACTTTTTGATTCATATCTTCAGCCACGCGTTGTCATCTGACACTTTCCCAATTTTTTTGGGATCGCATCCAACCTGAGACATTCTGGCTTGCCGGTAGAAACCATGGCCTGCAACAGTGTTTCTAATCCGGGACTATCCAATTTTTTTTTGCATTGCCAAAGGAATTATGTGTAACATCACGCGTGTGTGCAAGTGCAAGAGAAGATCTTACAACGTAACATCACGCGTGCGTGCAAGTGCAAGAGAAGATCTTACAACGCAACATCACGCGTGTGTGAAAGTGCAAGAGAAGATCTTACAACGTAACATCACGCGTGTGTGCAAGTGCAAGAGAAGATCTTACAACGTAACATCACGCGTGTGTGCAAGTGCAAGAGAAGATCTTACAACGTAACATCACGCGTGTGTGCAAGTGCAAGAGAAGATCTTACAACCTAACATCACGCGTGTGTGCAAGCGCAAGAGAAGATCTTACAACGTAACATCACGCGTGTGTGCAAGTGCAAGAGAAGATCTTACAACCTAACATCACGCGCGTGTGCAAGTGCAAGAGAAGATCTTACACAACGTAACATCACGCGTGTGTGCAAGTGCAAGAGAAGATCTTACAACGTAACATCACGCGTGTGTGCAAGTGCAAGAGAAGATCTTACAACGTAACATCACGCGTGTGTGT